GGGCTTGTAGTATAGCTTTTCTCTAGCTGACGCTCCTAGGCAAGGGTGGGCGTGATGGAGCGGGGTGGGCCCTGCGACGGCCTCTGTCGCTTCCGGATTCACCTAGGCACCATAGGGAACTGTCCGTTGCCCGCTGGGGACGGGGGTGAAACCCGAGGTGTGGTGTGCTTGGCTAGAGAGGGTTATGCGAAGGGTCCTGTCACAGCCTCTTTCCGGTATGTCGTGGTGGCATGTCGGCGCACGGTAACGTGTCGTGAGGCTGTGTCTTGTGGGTACAGTTGTACACCTCTGATCAGAGTAAAACTATTCGAATAGCCGTGCCCGCGGTTATGGGCGGTCAACCAGATTCACCGTGATTAGTCTCACCCTAGCTTAGTCTAATGGAATTGATTAGTTCAGGTGGTGGGTTGGGCCTGTTGCAACGTGGTGTAGCGTTGGACAGTGGATGGTTACTATTAATTAATTACTTACAACTATTTTACTGCTTTCTACTGTTTATAAATGCTCGCTTTATACAAATGAACTGCTCTAGCTATCCTTTGGTTATATCCTGCACCATACCCCCTATTCCGGTATGACTTACTGAGTACGGTGGTTGTACTCAGTCTTGCTCTACTTTTCCCCAACCCCAGAGTTTGAGTATGCGTCAGATGGTGGCTATTCCGAGGAGTAGGCTTCATCCGATGCGTCGAGGATGCGTGTGGAGTGGTGTTCCCGCTGCAATCCAAGTCAAGGCTTAGCACCAGTTATCTTTTATTTTCCGCTGCATTTATGTAAGACTTTTATAATGTTTGTAAGATGTGGATCTGTATGTCAACTTTGTCGTTTGTGTACCCTAGCCGGTCCTGGACAGGGGTTTTAATGCACATTCTGCTTGGAATTCTATTCGGGAATTTCTAGGCGTGACAAGTTGGTATCAGAGCCGACCTTGACCGTAGGACAAGCCAAATGGAAAACCTAAGAGCCCTCGAAATCCTTTTTCATTTGCATATGTTCTTTGCAAATTGGATTTGTTTCGGGAAAAACTTGGGTTTGTTCTTTGGGTTCATGGGAAAAATCTTGATCGCTCCTTCAATTGAAACTTGGTCGAATGAGGTCAGTCTAGGGTTTTAGTAAAATTACTTGGGATTTATTTGACAGTCAATCGGGATTTAATGGGAGGTATGCATTAGGCCCTAACTATGGAATATGGGTTGCAAGTTATTTATGCTCTTAATACCATTGTTAATATTATTATGTACCTAATTCCTCATTATCTTATTGCTAGGTATGTCAGTCTTATTTATTCGCTCTCATGTAAAAATGATCTATGCACAAAAATTCCGCTCTTATTCGCTTATTTTACTTGAGTCCTTTATTGTTTATTTTATAATTGGATTTGAGCATGCATTGATTCTCCGTCCTTTGTCTTCTATAGATGGCCGACTGTCCCCTAATGCACCAAGGTCAGACTATGGGAGGCTTTGTTGCAGAGTTGTCCCGCATGGCGTTTGTGATCGGTTTTCCAAGGGAGCCGCAGTACACCAGCATCCACCCTCTCAGTGGTGAGTTCCCGCACTAGGTCCACTTGGAGATTCACGGCATACCCACCTACCTACCCTCCATGGAGGTGACAGCTTGTGGGGGCACATTTGAGCATGCTTGTGAGGAGGCCGCCCTCAGGGTGATGGCCCATCTGAGGGAGCTGCATGACGACACTCTGAACGCCACCGCCTACCGCTTCCATCCTCGCCGCGGTTCCAGCTCCAACACCAGCACCTTCAAGTCAGCTTGGGGAGAGAACGATGTCACCTTCGGCCACATGAGTGACGTGATGGAGGGCTACGACAAGCTGCACGCCATGCTCCACAAGGCAACCAAGAGGCTCAACGACCAGAAGCTTGTGAGGATCGCTGAGTTGCAGGATGAGTTGTAGGATATTATATACATCATTTGTCCCATAAATAATTTCCTGATCATAAACCTGAACAGTTATTTGTTCATATCTATTATATTATTAAAACAACTTTGAAAGGAGGCACCACGTTCGCTGTGGGGGCTAGAAATTCTCACATTAATCGGAGAAAAAGAAAAGGAGAGTCCAAATAGAAATACAATTTAAAAATAGCTGAAATTCGAAATTAAAAATAAGCAATATTGAGAGAAGAGTCCATGTAATAACCCAATACGAGATTAATCAAAATTCGGAATAAAAATAAAATAAAATCAAAAATTAGAAAAGAAAAGAGTCCAAGTAGGAATACAATTTAAAAATAAATGAAATTCGAAATTAAAAATAAGAAATATTGAGAGAAGAGTCCATATAAGATCAAAGAACCCAATACGAGATTAATTAAAATTCAGAATAAAAAATAAAATAATATCCAAAATTAGAAAAATTAAAAGAGACTTCAAGTAGGAATACAATTTTGAAACAACTAAAATTCAAAAATTCAAAAATAAAAATATTAAAAGAACACTTGTATTAATTAAAATTTGAAAAAAAAATTCTGAAATTAGAAAAAGAAAAAGTATTTCAATTAGGAATACAATTTATAAAGAACTAAAATTGGTGATAAAAAATAAAGACTGTTGAAAGAAAAGGCCATCTAAAACAAATGACAAGATAAATTAAGTAACATGCTTATAAAGGAGTAGAGTGGTGGCGGTTGATACGACATATAAAAATTGTCAATAAAACATCAAATAGAATTTTAATAACGATTAAAAGGAGGGATGACAGGCAGGCCGTGAAGCAAACGGGCAAGGCGGTTGCTGGGACTTCTAGAAAGTAAAAAAATAAACCCCATTGATAATCATATTCGATTTTTAAAATCTCAATGACAATAAAAAGGAAAAACAACGGGCGGGGTGTATAGGAGTATAGTTGCAGAGCCGACGACGGTTGGCGGGACTTATAGAAAATAAAGATTTAGAATCCCAATGACAATAAAGAGTAGGCAGTGGATGGGCCGTATAGGAGTATAGTGGCATCGTTTAACAGGATTTCTAAAAAATAAAACCCAACAAGACAGTAAACTCTAAAAACTACAAAGTCCAATTTTTAAATGTTCAGAACTTCTAAAAAGTAAAAAATAAACCCAATGATAATCATGTTCGATTTTAAAATCTCAATGACAATAAAGAAAGAAGGCAGCGGGCGAGCCATAAAAGAGTACAATTGCAAAGGGCCACTGACAGTTTGGCGGGACTTCTAACAAGTAAAAGAACGATAATTATGTTCGATTTTTAAAATGCCAATGACAATAAAGAGAAAATACAGTGGACGTGTCGTAGAGGAGTATAATGGCAGCGTTTGACGAGACTTCTAGAAATTATAAAAACGAAACCCAACGAGACAATAAAGTCTAAAAACTAGAAGCTCCAATTTTTAAAGGTTTTAAGGAGAATGAATAGAAACAGTGGTAGATCGAGCAATCATATGACAGAAGTAAGGGGTAGCAGCTGGTGTGACTTTTAAAAACCATATAATTAGAAATACAGAGATAATAAGGTTTGGTCTTTCAAAGTCTTAAGACAACAAGATAGCTATTTAATAAATTGTAAGTAAAATCATACTGAAAAATATATGATTTTGTTTAGGTGCTAGCCGCGCAATTGCGTAGGCCACCCAACTAATTTATATAAAAAATGTTTTTTAATGAAGGAACTATATTTGGGAGATAGGTTCTTTTTTACCTTCAGGGAACAACGTCCCCGGCCTCATATTATGCAAGTTCAAATTTGACATATACAATTAGGAAAAAGTAACAAATTTGACTGTTAAATATCACGCGCTCAATTTGGAGTTAATTTTATTATTATTGTTTCTATACAAGTTGAATTTGATCTTGTATGTTAGTGAAGCATTAATATATCACATAATGATCTATTTTGTTATATTATTTCAATTTTTTCTATAACATTTTAGGCAATATGGCAAACGAGGAGATGTCTCCTTGACGTATGAATAGACTTTCCTACGGACTATGCACTGTGTGTATACCCTGCATCTAACGACAATATCTAGTCCATGAGTCATTTTGTAAGTCATCACTTTGATTCATTTTACAAGTCATTTTAGGTTTTCCTAAGTTAAACTTCTCATTTTTCACCCGAATTTACGGAAAAAATAAACACATTGTCATCTATAACATTAAATTAGTTTTATTAAATCCATCATAAAAGGTGTCTTCATAGTGCATTCAATTATTATTATAGATATTGATATATTTTTCTATAAACTCGCTTAGGACAAAACAAAATTACGTGAAATATGTAATGAAGGGAGTACGTTAAAGAAAAAAAATACTGTAGACTGACAACAAAAACCCCCAGCCCAGCCCAGCCCAGCCCAGCTTAGTGAGGTGAACATATGTTGGAACACTAGTGGGCCGAATGATGAGAAATAGGCCTATTTATATGTTCTTTGCTGTCGGGCTCTGCAAACAAATCCTACTGGATGGCCTACTTCAGATGACGCATCTAAAAAGATCAATCAATTTGACAGAATTTATTAAATAGAGAATTTGAGGACGTACTTTGGCAGCAAATCAACGTCAGATACATACAAACAGTGTTACTATTTAGGAGTTAAAGTAGGCATATTCTAGCTTTTAACGGATCGCTGTCTCGTGGTCTGCTTTCTCCTGCAGTGCATCTGCACATCTGCATTCAGATAATAATAATGGAAGAGAGCATCTTAAGGCAAAGGGGGAAAAAAAGAAGAGAAGGATGTGGAGAATGGAGGGGACAGGTGAGCTGATGTGAATCTGATCCGATCCGATTTGATCTAGAAGCAAGTAAAATAGCAGTAGGGCCGGAGATATTGATGAATCTGATGCTACCACTAGTGAAACAGTGAGCAATAAAATAGTACTTCACAGCAGGGTTCCCTTACCGTTTTGGCGGGGTTATCACACCCCCACGGTCAGGTGGTTACCCCGCTCCACAGTATACTGCCGCAGCTAGTATGGAGTAGTTGAGTTTTGTGTGATGTTGTAATCCGACAGGCAGAAAAGTCTTGCGATGCAAATATATCTTTGCACACAAATACAGTACGTAGTACGTCCGCAACACAATTAACCAACAGCAGCTTGTATGCAATGTACGTAGATGCATCACAAGTAACAGTATCACACACACACAGACGTGACATGTTCATATTCGTACCGGGACCAAATTTTATGGATCAACAACAAACATTCCAAACAATGAGATGGCTGGATTATTACAGAGCTGGACCAAACAAAACAAAACACTTAGCTAGGGCCAGTCGAGCGACCACACCTGCCGGCCCCTCCATCGATCAGAGGCGCCTCTTATTATTCCATAAACCTCCCTCACTCATATGTAGAGATAGACAGATAGATTTGATTTGATCCTGCATGTATGCATTGCATGTTATGAGTTTAACGTATACTTGCAGTTTGAAATTACCAACAATGTTTATGTAGCTAGTGAGATTGTCTGTTTGAGAAAGAAGAAAAAAACAGAGCAGAGATAGTGTCTGAGAAGTATAACTTACACCAGGGAACAATCTTCCAGCGCTGGTTGTCACCCTCGCACCACTCCCAGAGCACCAGGGTGGTTCCGTCGCGCACGCCGCCGTGGTCCTTGTCTCCATGGAGCGCGTCGAAGTTGAGGTAGATGTTGTTCACCATCCTGATGCACCGAAACCCACTCCCAACGTCCCTGCTCTCCGTCCACAGCACAGACTCGTCCATGTACTCTGGATTGTAGCGCACCAAACGGACCTGTCCATCCATCCATCCATCCATGACATATTATATATTCCTCCTAGCAATTCTTCACTGCAGTACATACTAACCAGAGATCTTACAACACTTAACTTATTGAACGGGAGTTAGCGAGTGATTTTACTTAACTTTCGATCAGCAGGAATGGTACAGCTTGAGATCCCAAAATTGTGTTCATGGCAATTGCATACTAATAATTCTTTTTCACATGACAGACAAGCACATGGACACCCCACCCCACCAACATGCATGCGGCACATGGATCATGGATGGGTGGATGCCAATCCCGAACTATCACAGATCTTAAGTTGTTGGTTGCGATTGTAAGGATGCAGTAACAGAGTCTCGCAATATTTTCTAGACATGACAATGAACATGCAAGCATATACTATTAATTGTCCCAACCAAAAGGAAGATAAAATAGTATCAATGGTGCGAGCGAGTAGAAGACCTCAGACTAAAAAGGATATTTTAATCCTAGTGATACAGTTTGGACAAGTTGTGAATAGAAATGTGATATTTTAGTCCTGTAGAGTAGCAAATCCTTAAATTAATAATTCAATTCCAAACTGGTTTAATGTAGGCAAGCTAATTTGGACTTGCACGGACGGGGTGACACGCACGTCTCTGGATTGGTGTTGGTTGGCAAAAGATTGTAAGAGAGGCAGAGGAAAAGAGGAAATACGTACAGGGTGGGATTGGCCGATGGAGTGCTTGAGGGCGTCGCCGGTGGCCTTGTTGACGAGCGCCATGGCAGGGTACCCTTCCTCGTCTTTCACTCTCGTGCTGTACTTCATGTCCTTCACCCAGTGCTGCATCCATCATCACATAAATAATTACTAGCAATTGTTTTGACTGAAGATGAGGGAGGGGGATGAATCGCGCGCGAAATTGAACAAGTAGGGAGGGAGGTAGGTACCTGCGTGTGGTCGTCGCGATCGGAGCGGACGAGGCAGACCTTGCCATCTCTGACGGCGAGGCTGTAGTTGTCCTCCCCGGCCTTGCAGTAGATCCTGTGGGTCACCGGTGGGGCTCCTCCGCCACCGTGGTAAGGGCGGGTCTCTTGGACGGGGCTGATGTACTCGGATCCACCGTAGTGCGGCGTGGGCCTCTGGTGGTCGGAGACCTCGTGGGAAACGTGGACGACGTTGCCGTAGCCCCCTCCCCCATACGCCGGAGGAGGATGAGCGTAGTCGTGGGAAGGCGGGTGGCGAGCGTAGGGATCAGCCGGAGGAGGCGCTTGGCCGTAGGGACCCGGCGGAGGGGCTGAGTCGTGGCCGTAGGCGGGAGCGGGAGCGGGATGGCGGCGGCGATCGTCGTCGTCGTCGTCGCCGCGGTGGCCGTGGTGGTGGTGGCGATGAGGGAACTCCATGATGGATGGATTTGGGGGAATGGAGGAGATTTATTAGAGTCAGGAGGTCTAGAGGAGAGATGGCCGGCGCCTCCAATTTATGATTGGGTCTCCCGTCCCGTCCCCGGCCCCGCGCGGGTACCCACGGCCCATAATACCCCCGGTAATCGCTACAGTTACAGTGGGCTCAATCACAAAAAGTTCAGAGAAGAAATCAATCAATCCCTCAATCCAAGCATGAGCTATCACAGTGCTAGGATGGAGATCGACGAGAACGAGACACACGATTTACAAATAAATAGGACTAGTTTACTTTGCATGCGTACAGATACAGATGTGGAGTAACTAGCTAGCTAGTCTCCTTGCTTGAAGAAATAGACGTACACACAGGCTATATGTGTGTGAGAAAGATAGGACCCACATGACAGGCAGGCAGTTACCGGGTCCCCATCCCCGCTCACCCGATGGGTATGAATTTCGCCCGTTAACATCCCCATGGGGATTATTTCTCTCCTGTTTTGGCACCCTAGTAGAGGAATTCCCCACCGGGTGACGGGGAACGGGGCCCCATTGCCATCCCTGCAACTTGGGGTTATTCACACCATCAACATCTAAATCAATCCAAATTCACCCCTAAACACGTCTAAAATAATCAGCCATTCGTATTTCCTCGATTTTAAATATCTATGCTACCCTTTCTGTACTCCTTTGAAATTATGTAGTGACGATGACAGCCAATCTACCGTCCCACTATTGCTTTTGCCGCTTGTACAAATTGTCCCACAATATCTTTTAATATCATAGAGTACTCTAACATTTGATTCAAACGAGTGAATAACAAATAAGCAAATAAGTGATACTAGATATTTTTTATGATATATATATTATGATTTTTGTTGTTAGCTAGAATAATTTATTGTTGAGCCATTTTGAAAAGAAGGAACTTTGTTTAATAGTAAATGGTTGTGAGAAATATTACATTATCACACAATGAAATAGAAAAGTGATTTCAGACGTTTAAAGTCGATCTAGACATTCCCATAGTGAGTTGCTGGTTTTCGTATCTTTTAAGCATGTGTTATTAGAGAGATGTATCTGGGTGGAGTATGCGCGTATATGTCTTATATATGTAACTAAAATAAAATATACAAGAATTTCTGTATGTAATTTCATGAGTAATACTAGTAGAAACTAGGGTAATTGTGTTCCTACCATTATTTTATAGTTTAATTATGATTTTGCTCCTGTTTTTTGGGTTTGTGATTTTGCCCCTACTTTTTAAGTGAAGCAGCCGTCTGCCTCTACTCTGTTAACTCATGGTAACGGTGTTAAATGTGTGGTGAATGGACAAATATACCCCTACTATTGAAATCAATAATTTTGGCATCAACACTGGACATGTTCCAAGTTAAATTTGTGCGTATTTCAAGTTAAATGTTGACAAATTTTGTAAAAGTTGACAGAACACAATATTTAGGACAATTTTCACAGAATTTTAGCAATAATTTTAACACAATTTATTATGTTAACATTTTGAATTGATGACAGAACTTGTCCTCACAGATATACAAACCGAAAGTTCGGTTAATCGATACTTCGGTCTCGATCATCGGTCTGACCGACCAGACTGAAGTATGGTATGCAACACGGCATGAAGGTAGCCAGCTTCGATCCAAAATAACAAATCAAGAAGATCAATCAAATGAAAATCCTTGCAAACGAAAGCCCCCAAACTAGAACTCACAAGTCAATACATCAGCGGCCCCTCGTCTTCTGTATTTCCATGGCAATCACAAATATAGAGATAGCAAAAGGGAGAAGATAAGAGAGACAAAGATAGCCATGAACTCAGAAACGAAGAGAAATTATACACAAGTATAAAGTGTTGTTGCCGTGTAGGATTAGAAGCTCTGGGCCCTTCCCCTCGAGGATGAGTTGCTGCTGCTCGATGAGGAAGCTGCCACCACCATGTTTGCGGACAAGGACGTCGACGCTGCCGCGGTGGACCGTAGCGCTTGTATACGTGGAGGACGTGCTGGGGTGGTGACAAGTCGGTGCGCGCAGCAGCCGGCGGCTGGACGCCGGGCAGTGGCGACGACGGCTGACGAGCCTGGCTGTGCGCGCGCCCGCCGGTCCGCAGCGCGAGGATGCCGCTCCTCTTCGCCCTCCCTACCAGCGCGCAAAGCGCCGCCGTCCCTCTCCACCGCACGCTGGCCCGCGGGGCCGCCGCGCCTCCCTGCCGCGCCCTGGCCTTCGCGCGCCGCCGCTTCTCGCTAGGGTTCTAGATCTTTTCGATTTGGGGAAATCGTTCCAGCAGGTTGGCTCTTTCAGTGAACCAAGGGTAGGATGGTCATTGACAAATTAGAATATCACTTTCTTTTTTCGTTTAATTCGAAAATTCTAGGCCCACCTAACTACCGTCAAAACCAGAGGCAGACGGCTGCTTCACTTAAAAAAAGCAGAGACAAAATCACAAACCCTAAAAAGCGAGAGTAAAATCACAATTGAACTGTAAAACAAGGGAAAAACACAATTACCCCTATAAACTAACGAAATCTTAGATAGAAAAAGAAAATCAATAAAAGGCAACACGTAGTACGTTCTACCGATCGATAGCAACCTTCGTGACTGAATATTCATGTAGTACAGCGTGAGTGTGAGGTGGCATTAATTTGGTGGATGAAGACGCCACCCTCCTCGAACGTACGTGACCACCCCCACCAAATTACACGTCCTCATATATCAACGATCTTCTCTTCTCTTCTCTTCTCTTCTACCACTGCTCTCCCAGTCTAGTACTCCCTAAAAAACGAAAAGTTATGGTTAAAATACTATAGATAATAAAGTAAGTCACAAATAAAATAATTAATAATTTTAAAATTTTTTGAATAAGACAAGTAGTCAAATGTTACAATTAAAAACTCAAAATCCCTTATATTATAGAAGAGAGAAGTACTGTCACAACAAAAACATACACACACCAAGGACAGCTCATTGCTCCACCTGATGAAAAAAAATTCTCTGCAACACCCCCCAGACTAGTGGCGCGTGTCCGATATCTGCTGCATCGGACCCTCTTTGGAGCAGAGCCGAGCCGAGCCCATCCTGCTGGCGCTGATTAGAGCCAAGCTGTCCAGGACCAGGAGTACATCGAGCCGCGCCGTTTTGGCTGTCTTTTTGCTTCTGCAATTCAGACCAAATGAATTTACATGATGCTGTACAAATATATATGGTGTTGTGAACCTCTCGCCATCTGATTTTAAATCTCCGAAACAACAAAAATCTCCAAAACGGATCAACTGTTGGTAACTTTTTTTTTCATTCTGCCAATCATGACCAATGCTTGCATAAAAAATGCCCTATTAAAAATCTAAACCGGCTAAAGGACACTATACAGAAACAATTTTTCTATACGAAAACTTCTATAGTTTGCAGGCAGACAGGCGAGCGGCGGTAGCCGGAGTGGCGGCGGGCCTCCCCCACGTCGCTCGTGAATCCAGTGGTTGTTGGATGTTTTATTTCTTTTGATTTATGTAGGTATTGGTGGCATAAAATTGGCATTTAACAGCCGCCAACAGCGATGCCGGCCGTCCCCCACCTAGTTCCGACGGTGGCAGCCCTCTCTCGCCCGGCCCGCGCGGTTCCGCCAGCGGTGGCGAGAGGAGCCCAGAGAAGGAGGGGAGGGTCGACGACGACAATGGCGGGAAAGTCCCTCACCTAGCTAGGGTTTTAATTTTGGGGGATTTTTATTTTTTTTTTGGATTTTGATTTTTGCGTACGCATAAGCACTTGCACGCGAAAATTGAATTTTTGCGTGCGAGTGCACCACCCGCATGAAAAAATAACGATTTTCGCAGAAATTTTCAGGCATACGGACGCCTCAACAGCACGCAAGAATAGGTTTTGCTCGTTTGGAAAAATGTTTTTTTAGTAGTGGGAGCCGATTTAGGCCTTGTTTAGTTCCCAAAAATGTCACATTGAATCTTTGGACACATTCATAGAGCATTAAATATAGATAAAACAAAAAACTAATTCCACAGTTTGCATGGAATCGCGAGACAAATTTTTTTTGAGCCAAATTAGTCCATGATTAGCTATAAGTGCTATAATAACCCATATGTGCTAATGATGGATTAATTAGGCTTAATAAATTCATCTCGTGGTTTCCAGGCGAGTTGTGAAATTAGTTTTTTCATTCGAGTCCGAAAACCCCTTCCGACATCCGGTCAAACATCTGATGTGACACCCAAAAATTTTCTTTTCGTAAACTAAACAAGCCCTAATACGAAATAGGATAAACATCCGTCTCGTGAATAGAACGGAAGGTTTTTGGGACAGACCGGACGACTTACAAGGCAAACCGACGAAGATGGATAAAACTAGACTAAAACTTGGTAAAAAGTAGATGCGATATTTAAAAAGAAGTTAGACCAGCCGGGTCTTTTCAAATTCGATCATACTTTTCTATTCCCGTTCTATTTGTCAAATTTAGATGTTAACACTAATATCTGAATTTAAATCTCCAAAACGGTGGAAATGGTTGATAATTTAAATCTCGTGATGGCAAGACACCTCTGTCCACTTGACCCTAGAAAAATCCCCAGAAATATTATCACCAATGCTTGCATAAAAAATGCCCTATTAAAAAGTGAAATTATTCAGACTTTATGTGCAGCTGGTAGATGCTGCTCGGTGGCTTTTTCAACGATCAAGTGGACAGAGGTGTGGGGTAGGAGATCGGACATCGGCTCGGCTCCGAAGCTAGACTCGGCTACAGTAGGAATATTGGACACGCGTCACTAGTCTGCTCGGTGTCGCATGGGTGGTGTCGTGCACTCGTGCGGCACTGCCGCAGAGAATTTTTTTCCCACCTGATTGCATTCGATTTTGAATCTTTTTTCCCTTTTTCTAATTACACGGTAGGCACCCACGCCCACACACTATTACACACACCAAGGAATATGTCTCCTAACACGAGACAAAAAAAAAGCAGCAGTATATCTTTGATAACACTAGAAACCCGCCGAAAGACTATGTGTATGTGTGTAATATTAGTGGGCACCAGGATTTAAACTATGGCTGGTGATGCCACCCACTCATGACTCTGCCACACCATTAGTGCATTCGATTTTGATTTTGATTCTTGTTCTTATTTCGACTTTAATTAATTTCCATTCTTGCTCATGTCTTCTCCAGCCTAAAGTCAGTCATCTAAGAAAGGAATAAGTTCACTTTAGATCTCTCATCTTGACGTCGAGTTTGGATTACATCCTCGAACCACAGTACCAGATATAACAAATTCCTAATCTTATAAAACCAGGTTAAACGAAGTCCCAAGACAGTATCAAGGGTGGTTATGACTCACGTGGCACTAGAAACAAAAATACAAAATTAAACCCTATGAAACCCACGTGTCAGTGAAAACAATATATTCTTCCTTATTACTCTCTCTCCCCTATCTAGAGGAGGAGAACCAGGATGACGCCTTCACCGACAGCGGGCTAGAGCGAAAGGACGCACAGTTGCTCGGCAAGTGCGTTGTACAAGTCGCGCTGCGGGATGCTCGGCTCGACACCATCGCCACCACCTAGCTCCTCTCCCGCCGATTGCTTGTGCGCTGCCCTTTTCCTTGTAAGCCATCACCCAAAGATGGAAAAGAGAGAGAAAGAGAGGTGGAGGAAGGAGGAAGAAAAAATTGGTAGCTGATATGTGAGGCCCGTGTGGTCCCCGTCGATTCAGTCAAAATCATACATAATACTGTCTTGAGATCTCTGTTAATTTAGTTTTGTAAATTAGAGAATGCGTTACATCTCATATTATGGTTCGAGGATGTAAACCAACCTCGATGTTAAGATGAGGGACCTACATTGAACTTAATCCTCTGATACATGATCTATGTAGCGTGTAAAGGCCAGGCCGGCCCACTATTCGTTCATATTGGCCCAGGACGTAATACATGGAGTATTCTTCATTGTCGTCTCTCGCGTCGCGGCATTCACTTGGCCCATATAAGTAAATGGAGTATACGGTGTTACTACTAGGAAAAAGTACATACAAGGTCCCTCATCTTGTCATCGGATTACAAAATCGTCCCCCAACCATAAAACCAGATATACATCATCCCTTAACTTAGAAAACCGGTTCACTTTTGGTCCTCAGGTGGTTTTGACCCCGGTTTTGTCTGACGTGGCAGCTGAGTTAGCTCAAGCCCCACATGTCAGTGAACCCTCATCCTCTTCTTCTCCCTCCTCTCTATCCTCTCTCTCCCCTGCAAATGGGCGACAGGACGGAGTGGCGGCGGTGGGCAGTGCGGCAGCGGCGGAGCAGGTGGGCAGAGCAGGCCGACGGGGCGCCCCCACCATAAATCCCACCTCCTCTAGCATCGGGGACGGCTTTATCAGTGAGACCGCCGCCGGTGGCTTGGCCATGCGCCGCGGTGTCCATGTCGGCTGCCACACGGCGAGGTTCTGCGCCGATGGGAGCTGTGGCGGAGGCGAGAAGTGGTGGGCGTCGCTGCTGGGGTGGTCGGGACAGGCGGACTACATCAACGCGCAGCCGACGTCGAGGAAGGAGGCGCGGCCGTCGATAGGGAACCCGGCGGCGGAGCAGCAGGGTGGTGGGAAGAGGTTCAGTGTGCTGATGGAGGAGAAGGCGTGGCAGCCGCACCGACTTGCTGGCATTTCTCCCCATGCGCCATCATCGAATCTGCTGGCGAATCACCGCTCGACGACATGGAAGTGGGGGCAGCGACGAATGGTGTTACCTGGGAGGCGCTGCCGGCGAGGTAGATGACAGCCTGCGCGCGAGATGAGTGGATGGCCTCCACCACCGTGCGGACCTAGCTCTCCATTGTGCAGTCGCAAGAAGTTGCCACTACTCCTACGGCTGAACTCCCCCGTCGGCCCGCCTTGCCCACGCGCAGCCATGGTGCCCCCGATAGCCCGTGGTTCGACGGTACGCTCATCCTCCCTTCCACCACGGCTATAAAGCCAGCACGCGCGCGCACTCCATGTCGCTGCCACCATGCTCTACATCAACCGCCGTCATCTGCCATGTCACATCCAATGTGGATTCCACGTATGGCAGCCACGTGGCTTGGACGATGCTTGTCACTAGCCAGCTGGAAAGCAATTCTGTGACGAGCACCTTTATCATGGATAGAAGCATTTCTATGACGAAATCTACCGTTTAGTCATAGATAAACTTATGTGACGCGAGTTCTACGACGAATCCTATTTCGTCATAAGTTCATCATAGATGTTACTTTACGACGATTATCACATCTTCCATGACAAAAGTAGATTGTCATAGATGTGCTGATCTCTACTAGTGCATCTTCAGTGTTCAATCGACCAAGCTGCCACCACCACCAAGCTCCTTGTCTCTCCATGACCCCATTTCACTCCTCGCCGGCGCCCAATGACCACCACCATTGTTTTCCCCAAATCTGGCCACCACCGCCGCCCCAAATCCCCAAATCCAAAGTTCCACCGCCTCCACGCTGAGAGCCCAACCGCTGCTCTTCCTGCCGTCGCTCGTTTGCACTTGAGGGCCACTTCTCCAAGCCCCACCCGGCCACCGCCCTTCATCGCTGGAGCCGCGACCACCGTTGCCTTGCCGCGCCTCACGTTGTTAGGCGCGAGTGAGAAGAGGAGCACGAAAGAGACAGGAGAAAGGAGAGGATGGTGACGTGTCATACTGGCATGTGGGTCCCACGCTGACTAATCTGCCACACTAGACAAAACTAGGTTCAATACCACCTAAGGACCTAAAGTGAACCGGTATTGTAAGTTAAGGGATCCTGTATAACTGGTTTTTGGGTTGAGGGACGATTTTGTATCTCGGTGACAAATGAGGGACGTCAGATGTACTTTTTCCTTACTACTATTAATTTCACCATGTACGTACTGCCCTATACTTAGTAGTACTGCATGTCTTCATAGTAGATTTAATTATAGAGAGATTCCATGCGTGCACCTGATCTGCTTGCTTAATTCCTCAGTACGCACGTATACAAGCGCTTGTACTGATCAGCTGTCAGCAAGCAATTGATACCTATATATACCTTACATATACACTTGCTAATTATTAGCTTGATTGTGTCTTTCCATTCATATATAGATCAATATACATCATCATACATATAAATTAATGGTTTGTCATATTCAGGTTCGACATCAGCTATGAGCTAGATATATATATAGCGGATGCGTGAGGCAATAACAATCGACAACTAACGTACCAACACAAGTATGTATGTACATATATCTCAAATTAATCCACACCCTTTTTAATTTGCTACCTTAATTATTTCGTTCTCGGCCTATAGGAAGAAATGGCTTTGATTACTAAATTAACCTTGCAACTGGCCGGTTGGTCAAACATGCATTTGGTTGAGAATATTCTCCTTCTCATATAAGTATATCAATCGGATCGATGCATGGTTTAATTAACAACTACTAGCTAGCTTGATTCTACTCCTAGCTAGGTAACTTTCACAAGCAAACGGTTAGGTAACAGTACATGCATGGTTTACGTATAAACTCAGTCATTCTCTTTATATATATATATATATATCGATCATCGATCCATTATTGTTACGTGTGAGAATTCTCTATCTATATGATGCATATACATATATGTAACGGGACCAATTGGCACGTAATTAATATCTGTCACGCGCAAGTTATTTACTCCTAATTAATTAATTAAGCTCGATCGGTGAAGGCTAATCAATAGAAAAATTAATTAGTTACCCTAGCTAGGACAATAACTTACAAAAGCTTCTGCCCCATCGCGGTTCTTGTGTTATACTCCCCTGGTTTTAGCGTAGGAACCCATTGATTTTGTGCATGCATAACATTTGATCATTTATCTTATTTAAAAATTTAGTATAAATATGTGGAAGTATAAGTTAAGGTTATAATTTTTCTGATGATAAAACAAGTCACAACAAAATAAATAGTATTTATATTTTTTTAATAAGACAAATGGTCAACGTCACATTAAAAATCAATAGCATCGGGCATTAAAAACCAAGAGTAATAAAAAACTAGAGTTCAGAAATCCACAACTCTCACCCTAGCTAGTTTTTTCTTTAAATAATTCACCCTTAGCTATATATATTATGAAATTTATACATAATAATATATAATAATTCCACCCTTCATTAAGGTTGTGGACGTTTAGTTCACGCCAAAATTTAAAAGTTTAGTTGAAATTGAAACGATATGACGGAAAAGTTGGAAGTTTGTGTGTGTAGGAAAGTTTTGATATGATGGAAAAGTTGGAAATTTGAAGAAAAAATTTGAAACTAAACTCGGCCTAATTGCTGCTGGATACTCGGACAACCTGTGATCGAGTATGCAGTATTGAGCCAACCGTCTAACTTTCATGGAATTGAAGAAAGCCAAACCTTTAGTACGGATTCTGAATTGCAATATGATCCATGCTAGCATGCGTGTATATGAGGATCAAACTAGTGTAATATATTAAGCCATCCGAATACATATATATTTGTGTTAATTCCCAGAGACAATTAATTTGTTGTAAAACACTGCTATATATTTGGCACATGATTAACTGTTACTTACAACGACTTACAACAACGTATATAATTGACACTAATTGCTAGCTATGTACTCCAGTACACATGTATGTATGTATGTACATTCCTGACAATTAATCTATTAATTAATTATCTATCAGTTTGTGATGAACAAGAATTCAATTCAATTAAATCCAACCCCTCCAATAATTGTGAACAAGCTTGGACGTAACGAACGTAGGTAGTGAAATGATGACTGAACGAATTGAATCTGCTAACCTAGCTTTAGATAGTTGATGGGGGAGGTTGGTCATATGGATGTGTCGTCGTTGTGAGAAGACATCAGCTGATGGCCCGCAGCTGCAGGCGTCTGCGGCTCAAATATGGAGGAGAAGTTGATTTGCGTCGACTTGTTGTTGGACGTGGACGACGACGCATGCAGCATATCTGCAGTGGAAATGGAAATAGAATAATATTCCTCCATAGTTTTGTGCCTCTTGTTGTTGCCCTCGTTCACCGCCGTGAATCCAAGGTGCAGAGATGGCGTCTGATCGGTGGACGGCGGGAGGTCGTCGGAGTAGTCGAGAAGGTAGTCTGAGATGGATGGAGGCCTTGGCATCCGGTGGCTTTGAGCCTGCTGCTGCTGCTGCTGCTGCACCTGCAGGTTGTGTTCGTCATCGTTGTCGTCGTCCATCATCATGTCGATGTAGTGCTGCAGCTGCTGGTTGGCCTCCTTCTTCTTGTAGATTCTGCACAGCACCCACTCGTCCAGCTGCGTACGCGCATGAATATAATTGCGCATATATATATATCGATCAGTGGATGGAGTATATGGAAGAGGATATATATATATGTAGTTAGCACTAGCACCGTAGCACGTACGTACCCTCATGCTGGCGCTGCTGGAGCTGGACGATGATGATGAGGCCAGCTGCTTCATGTTACTAGTATAGGAGGAGGAGGAGGAGGCGGCGGCGTTGGCGAGGCGGTACTCGTGCATGATCCAGCTGGTCTTGGTGCCCTTGGGCGGGCGACCGCGGTAGAAGACGAGGGCCTTCTTCACGCCCAGCAGTACCGTCTGCTGCGTCTCCGAGATGGAGATGGGCTTGTCGGTTCCGGTGGCCTTCCAGTAGCCGGAGCCGGCGGCGCGGTTGGGACGGACGCCGTTGGGGTACTTGCGGTCGCGTGGGCTGAAGAAGTACCACTCGCCATCCGACTCCCCGAACACCGCCATGGCCGGCAGCTCCCACGGGTTGTACTTGTAAATGTCCACCTCGGCGATCACCGGTGCCGGGCAGGGCGCCGCCGCGGCGCGCTTGCCGAGGTAGTGGAGGAGGAGCTCCTCGTCCGTCGGGTGGAACCGGAATCCCGGCGGCAGCCCTGCCCCTGCTGCTGTGTGATGATCACCGCACGCCGCCGCCGGAAGCTGCAGGTCGATGGTCATCATATATATATGGATATCAATCAATTAATCTCGTGATTGATCAATATTTGAATGCAATCGATGGAAGAAGAAGAAAAGGATAGAAATTTGAGAGTTGTGGATGGGGGCAGGCCACCTATATATATACACCTAGCTCGATCGATCGATCGAGAGACCATTTTATTATATATAATTCCTGAGTACATACGTTAATTAATTAATTAATTCTTCCTCCCAAGTGAATACATAAAGTACGTATGATCTAGTACAGTGATACAAATGTCAATACCATGGGGTTAATTTTGTCAACAGTACGTTGTATATATCTATTGTCCGAAATTAATTACTTACTAGTAAAGTTTTATATATATTTCTTCCGACCCGGCCGTAAAATTCAATGGTAAGAGATTGAGACTCCTGTTGGAGCAAGTTTAATAGTATAGTCAACTACTAGCTCCAAATTATCTATAGCCAATGTAATAGCCAATTCATATAATAGTTGCTTACTATACTATTAATACCTGGTCTCACCTGTCATACACATATTACGTATTAGAGTCCGTGCTGCAGCTGGCTATATCCGCTGCTCTTTTCTCTCTTTCTTTATCTTTTTAAAATATGTTTATAACTAGCTTATATAACCTGCTTCTGTACTTGCTCTTAAGCAGCAGCAACAGCTTGTGTATAGTATAGAGAAGCCTTCGATCCGCACGCCCAGCCTCTAGTACTAGATTGGTAAATACAGTCCTACACACTTAATTACTTCCTCCGTAAAAAAAAAAAAGACAAACCCTGATTTCCGTGGCCAACGATTGACCGTTTGTCTTATTTAAAAAAATTATGAAAAAAATTAAAAAGATAAGTCACGCATAAAGTATTAATCATGTTTTATCATCTAATAACAATGAAAATACTAATTATAAAAAAGTTTCATATAAGATGGATAGTCAAACGTTGGCACGGAAACTCAGAGTTTGTTTTTTTCTTGACAGGGGGAGTAGATTTTTAGTACAGTTCCGGCCAGCACCCATGTAGGAGTATATTCGATCTACAAGCTAAATAATTGTTATGTTGCATGCATGGTAGCCCAAATTCGCAGGAACATAAGTAGGAGTATATTATATCTTTGACAGAAACACAAGTATTTCTTCCGACGCGCACCCACCGCGCCGGATATACATACGTATATATACCGGCAGAGTACATATATATGTAACGTGACTGATTCGATTCGATCGGTCACTCAACCGGAATCGACCTCCAAACGTGACTAAATTAAGATGCATGGAATGACACGCAATCTCTTAGTAATTTATACTGTTCGGTTCGGTTCAATCACCATCGCCGCGCGTAAATCGAATTATTCCTACTCTATCTACCTGGGCCAGCAAATCAGGCCTCTCTTAATTGGCTCATCAGTTTGATCTATCATATCACAAAATTCAATAAAATAAAATCAAATCAAATGAATTGAGCTACACCACCATCGGCTAATCGGCTATGCAAAACCTGCAGACCATGCAACATTTCCAAAATTATGTGGCTAAATTCCTGCAGAAACATCAATTAGGCTGTGTTCGTTTGTGTGAGATAGGGTGAGAAAACACCTCGTTTTCCGCGCGCACGCTTCCCAAACCACTAAACGATGCGTTTTTTATAAAAATTTTCTATAGAAAAGTTGCTTAAAAAAAACACCTCGTTTTTCGCGCGCACGCTTCCCAAACTACTAAACGATGCGTTTTTTGTAAAAAATTTCTATAGGAAAGTTGCTTTAAAAAATCATATTAATCCATTTTTAAAATTTAAAATAGTTTATACTCAATTAATCATATACTAATGGCTCATCTCATTTTACGTGTCTTCCCAATCTTCTAGACTAATAAACTAGCTAGCTGTATTCTGCACAAGTCAAATTTGCATCAGTTGCGGACTTTGCCAAGCAAGACTTGCTTGCCTTCTTGTCAAAGATCCGTCTCTCACAAGGCAAGAGCAAAGAAACCTGATTTCTTTTGACTTTTGAGATTCCTCATCCAGATTATCTCAATTGCCGCTAGAATATGCAAAACAACTTAAATTTGATAGGGCGATACAAAACATCTGTGCTGTTCTTTTCTTATATTATATCATCAATAAATATACAGTGGGATAACATTCACATAACACGGCAGAGGCAACAAGGAATCAGTACTTCCGAGAAGTTTCGTCTCCGTGGTGCCTCAGGGACTCAAAGAGGTCTCCACCCGTGGCAGACACAAGAAACATATACAACTCGAAAGTATTTATTCTGTGTCGCAGCAAACCTCAAATACACACCAGTTACCATTCATTCGATCTGGAGCAACTCCCTTCCATATGCATCACAGAGACTACGTACTGGAGCTGATCCTCATTATGGATAGTGCATATATCCTGTGAGTGTGCTCTTCAAATTAGAACCGTGCATATCACTTGTCATCCAATTGTTTTTGTAGAAAGTCGAGAACCGAGAGACGCTGCAAAAGTATTACAGTACATGATAAAAGTCAGTCGTCGAGAGCACCACAAATAGGAGCGCATGGATGAAAGGCAGTACACAAGGATAAGTAGTAGCTACCCGCTGCTCAAGACTGGCCTCTCCAGATTCCAGCTTCAAATTCTCAAGGCATTTAATTGCTTCCTCAAAACCCTCAACTGCCATGCTTTCGTTCCCAAGATTTCTATCGACATCCGCAACTTTGGCAAGAGAAGTTGCTACATCAATGACCTATATCCACAAGTAGACAGATCATGAACAGCAAAAGAAAAAACACTCAAGAATATGTCTGTTCCATGTAGCAGCTAAAGCCTACCACAATCTTACAAAATGCTTTGTTATCTTCTTTTGGTTCTACTGACATTAAAATTTAGAGAAGATAAAGGGCTTGTTTGGTTTGCAACCATTTTGTGTGTTGTACAAATTTCTGTGAAGTTGTTCATTTGGTTTGTAGCCAATACTTTTTATGTGTACGCGTTTTAATTGGTTTTCATTACCAAAATTTTGGCAGTGCCAATTTTTTGGCCACAGACTAAGTAATGAAATAAAGCCATCATCTCAATGGTATTGACAATTTTATTGGCACGGTTGAATTGGGAACAAGCATAAATATAGGTTAAAAGATCTGTAGCCATCATTTATGGCAAATTGCCAAACTTCCTAGTATGGTCTGGCACTTGCTACCACAGACTTCAGACAACAATTTGCTTCAGAGAAAGGAATACAAAAATTCTGTGTAGGAACCCCTTTTTTACATCCATTTTTCTCTGCCTACTAGTATGTATTATGTGCAATGTCAATCAGTACCAGGACCATGAATTATGGGATAAAATAGCTACTGGTCCATGTGCAATTGGAGCGCTCATTGATATGGTATCTAATACACATTTAAACACTTAACATTTCTAATTATGCCTGTATAATAAAAATCTAAGATAAGGAAGAACTTTTGATCAATATCTGTTGATATCATTTTCATGGAACATATAAGATACATCTACTAGCGTAATGATATGGAAGAGCTAGCACAAAAGAGCAGGGACAAAAGAGAGTGATGAATAAGGTTCCTTCTGTTTCTAAGATGATAACTGCAGCCCATTTTGTATTTATAGCTAATCTTAATCAGTAACACAGTAATTACCTGGGAAGCCACAGCTGAGTGTTCTTTTGCTGCACTTCTGCGAACATCCAACGAACGCGCATAATAGCTTCTTGCTGAGTGGAGGTCCCCATCATAATAGCGAAGATCTCCAATTTTATTTAGTGAAACTGAGAGAGTATGGACCAACTGTAGATGTATGCAAAAGTTAAATCAACATGAGAACTTACTATCATGCTATTATGATCATATTAACAACAAAATACAACCTCCAGATCTTTTTTGGGCAATTTCGAGAGGAATTCAGCACTTTCTTCATAGTAAGTGATTGCTGAAGGAGCATCTCCCAAGGTCCGACTGTGGCATGGAATGAGGTCAATTGTGAACAAACAAAGAAAAAATAAGCTAAATACTGCCATGGTTATGTGTCACAAATATTATGAAAAATAATAGAGCACAATGAAATTCATGGAAAAAGTTCAGCCAGATATTATAACATAGGGATAAAAACAAAACACCGTCCAGTGACATGGAAACACAATGAGTTCAGCAACAACTTATGACAGACCCTGAGGCTTTTATATGAGCAGGTACCAGACATCCTGACTAGAACTAGGCTCTTGGTAGCTGGTAGCTGGCTATTACACAAGCTATCAGCTTGCTATTGGCATCAGTATGCTGGCTGGTGTAGGGCATGGTTAAAGGTTTCCCACGTTTTCCGAGCTGTGAATATACTTCTATTCAGACGAATTGCGACCAGTCATAATTGGCATCACTATCAGTCTACAACCTGCTAGACAACCTCTGTGGTCTGTGCATCAGTATTGTAGAACACGCTGAGGCACATAACAGTTTAATATTTTAATGGAGAACAAACGTTATTACAACAAGATTCACCTTTCCCTTGTTCGGAAGGCAAGTTCTATGCCTAGTCAAAACATAGAAAATTCAGGTATTAGAACACATGAAAGATAACTAGGCCCTGAATGAGCAGAAAGATGAACGGGCCAAGGCTAGAATGGGCCCTCGTGCACAACAGATACAAAGCATTGAGCATCTCTCTTCTTTTGAGGAAAGCTACAGACATTTCAAAGTTAAGAACTGTTCTCTCAATTAGAAGAAAAAAAAAGCATGCAAGAATTTAGCTCAATACTCCCTTCGTTTTTAAATGACTGATAGCAGGCACGATTCACTTTTGAACTTTGACCACTAGTATTTTTGTTATATATTTACAAACACAAGAAATGATGCCATGCTATTAAAGTGTGTTATGTCCTAAATATAAGAATCAAACTTTTGTTCAATTAGGTCTAACAACTTAAGAGCAAATAATGGTCAAAGTTTAAATGGGAAAGTCAAACATGTAAATTATTTAGACACGGAGGGAGTAGGAGTAGGCTATAAACGTATCAATAGCAGGTTCACATATATCCTCCAGTCCCCAAGAGAAAATTGTCGTACCAGCAGTCCCCAAGCATTCCTAACACAGCTCCAAGTTGAGAACACAGTTCTTGGTTGTCTTGTTTAGATTTCAATTCTTCCCTGATGTCTTGTGCACACATACTGAGCCTTGACTTTGCACTTTCAATGTTCTGTGCGCGAAAGGCCTGGATATGTAAAAGTCAGAGGTATTATCAAAATATATATAGAGAGCATTAATAAATTAATACAGAGCAGAGGATGAAGGATATATGCAAATTTCAAAGGTAAAAGAAGCTGAGCGTAACTGACCCTCATCGCTTGCTGGACCAGAAAAGCCCCTCTCTCCATGGAGACATCCTCGTAAATGACCTTGGTCTTGTTGTCACTTGCGGCTTCCCCATCGCCTGCAGCATGTGATCTCTTGATTCGGGCATGGCCATCAATGAAGCGGTCGACAAGGCCTTGAAGCTCATCATCGGGCTCGATCCCTTGGATGTCAGCACCACACAATGGACAGTCCTTAAAGCGCAATATGCATGCCCTGACAAGGAAATCCAGTGTTCAGAAGGTATATACTATTGACGGACGGAAGGAATTACTAGTAGAAAGCTAGTATTGAAATATGATACTACGCACTTGCAGAACTTGTGGGAGCACGGGGTGCATTTGCTGCTTTGATGTAGCAGAGCGTGGCAGACCATGCAGCTGAGTGGGCCAAGCTTGAAGGTGTTGGAGTCATAGCCAAAGGGGCACTTTGGTGGCACCACACGAGGATCGGTGTTAGCATTGCCAGTTTTTTCATTGTCGTCGTCGTCGTCGTCGGTGTGATTGATGGTGGTTTTGTTGTCTGATGATGATTTTACGGGGCATGTGGCGCCAGCGGAGGCGAGTTTGGCAAAGGGGCATAGAGAGCTCATAATGGGGTTGGTCGTATCTATCGTAGGTGGATTATTTACCTGCATGAAAGAAAGATTGGTGGCAAGCAGTTGAGTGAAAATTCAATGAAGCATGAGACTAAATGCAGTACAGTAGTAGAATTGAATTGAGAAGAATGAGAGAGATTGTTAAAGTAGGGAGCAGCTTGATTATTAGATAGAGGTTGGGAAAAAATTGGGGTTGGTTTATTCTTCTTGTTGTAAGAAGAATCTATCTATCTATCTATCTATCAATCTCTATATACGATTATAATATAGTAATAGGGAATAGAATTAAATCGCATGGACGATTCATCCCCGATGCATGAAACCCTAGAAATCGTATGATGATGGGGGATGGGGGAGGGGGGCATGGAATCGATACTTACGTACGTAGGAGGAGAAGAGAAGGAAGGGGCGGGCGGCGGCGAGAACCTGGGCGCCGAGAGGGAGAGGAGAGATTCTGTGTCCGCGAGCGGATGAGAGGGGATCGATTCGATTGATTTGCCAACCACAAGCTACTACAACGAAGACGGGAGGAGGAGGAAGACGCGACGCACCGCAACGCAAACGAATCGAGGAGTAGGCCCACAGAAGCCCATAATGGAGTATGTTGGGCCGATAGCCCATTTGCATTAATGGTGGTAGTCCCCACCCCACCACACCACCGCTTCCTCCCACCTCTACTCCATTCCTCTTTCTTTGTTCATCATCAAGGAAGGAAGGGCAAGGCCGCAAGGGAAGACACGGATCGGCGGCCATGGCGGCGGCCATCCTCCGCTTCTTCTTCTTCTTCTTCTTCTTCATCCTGCCCGCCTCCCTCACCGCCACCGCCTCCACCTCCACCTGTATGTATTCCCTCCTCGCCTCGCCTGCCTCATAGGAGTACTACTTTCTTTCTCTACTGCTTCTACTACACTTGACTAGATCCCTACTACTCCAGTTAGTACTAGGGGCGCTGCATCCATCACTTCTTTCCCTATCTCTCTCGCCAACCTCAACCTGCATGCATCTCTCTTCTATTTCTTCTTTCTACTCTCCTTTTGCCCTTGCTTCCTCCCTCCTAATAACTACTCTTCCACATCAATCTGTCTGTCACAAACAAGCAACGAATTCCTCTCTTACATCTTCTTCTTCTTCTTCTACACTCGCACACAAATTTATATATAAAACAAGATTTCTTTTTTTTTCCCCGCCACCTACACCCTTTCTTCGGCTACACTTTCTCCGCACGACCATGTAAATGTAATGGGGATACCATTAGTATATTATTAATAATTAATTTACGACCTGTGTTGTGTTCATCCTCATGTCTGTCACACCTTCTTCTTTAACTTCACTATACTCTACTGTCGTCCTTGTATCAGATGCCAGGGTTCTCATTATTCATACTTACTACCTTATTATTATTATTATTATTATTATTAACTGCCACCCATTTCTCTGCAGCATCATGCCCTGATGGTTGGCAAATCACTCCTGCTCTCGACAAGTGTTTCATCTACATACCTACACCCCTTTCTTGGGACAGATCCGAGGCTCTCTGCCGCAACAACTTCACCGCTCATTTGGCTGCCCTATCATCACTTCAAGACCTCAATCTTGCAAAGTCTCTCTGTGGACCTTCCCCCTCTGGATGCTGGGTCGGAGGTCATCGCAACAACACTGCCTCGGCTTTTGCTTGGAAATGGTCCGATGATTCATCTTCTTGGAATGATACTGCCTTCCCTGCTGACCCATTGCGCGCCAACTGCAGCACTACTGGGTGTGCTCTTGCTACCACCAATGATGCATGCACTTTGGTTACCAATACCCATGCCGCACTTACCGCAAAAAGATGCAGCGACTCACATGGACTCATCTGTATGATCAATCATGGTGAGTATCCCTTTTGCTAATACTGGTGCCATCTGTATAATCTATTATCTCTTTATCACAAATCATTATTTCCTCTCACCATATGCAAATATGTTTGTTCTGTACTGCTGATCAACTCTACTTTATGTCAGAAGACCGATGCTACCATGATCACTGCCACAAGGAGTATTTCATAGTGCTCGTCGTTGTAAGCGGATTCATTCTCTTGACCACTCTAGCAGTAGTAGTTTGGCTACTTGTCTATAGGCGAAGCAAGAGGAGGAGAAGATCGCGTGAAGGTTCCAGTACTTCAGCTACCGCGTTAGTTCCACCGCTATGGAAAGTGTTCACCAGTGAAGAACTTAGATCAATCACAAAGAACTTCAGTGAGGGCAACCGGCTTCCTGGGAATGCAAAGACTGGTGGAACCTATAGCGGAATTTTGCCAGATGGATCCAGAGTAGCAATCAAGAGGCTGAAGAGATCAAGCCTACAAAGGAAAAAAGATTTCTACTCTGAGATTGGGAGAGTTGCAAAGCTGTATCATCCTAATTTAGTTGCAGTAAAAGGATGTTGTTACGATCATGGTGACCGCTTTATTGTTTATGAGTTTGTTGCCAATGGGCCGTTGGATGTTTGGCTACATCATGTCCCTAGAGGAGGGCGGTGCCTTGATTGGCCAATGAGGATGAGAGTTGCTACAACTCTTGCACAAGGGATCGCGTAAGTCATCCTAGCCATCTGTACAGAATCTTTGATTACTTGCCTATTTTTCACAAACATGTTACTCTACTTCTTACTGAGATGTTTAGGTCCCTCTAACATAGATCCATGCATAAACCTAGCTTGCGTGCACTCGTGTGCATGCAGATTTTTCGTACCGCTTGCATGCGCCTGCCTGCACTAATTTATATCCAGACCTATTTGGAACTCATTTGGGTTACCATTTTAGGATGGTTTGTCTTTGCATTAAATTTCAAGGTTTCATTCAGAGTTTTGTTGTTTCCCGTCATTCAGCTCCCATGGTTGATCATTATATGTTTTTGGTTGCTTATTAATTGACACCGGTGGGCTGCATAAATGTACGTGGTAGCATGCATGGGAAACCACTAAGTATACTTACACTTTAATTATGTCATAATAAAGACAATTAGAGAAGCCACCTGTTGTCTTACGGTTCTATCGCTGCAGGTGCATGATTCTAGAGTTCTCGAATTATATTGATGGCTTCTACATCCATATAATCTTTTAAAGCTATATTACTCAAGAGTGTTGTTTGGGTTCCCGTGGAACTAAAATTAGGCCAAATGCGTATACGTCAATGCAAGCCCTTATGGCGTTGTGTTTTGTTTTGCTACTATTAGTTGCTATTTACTTACCAGTGCTCATTTTGATCCAGATTTTTGCATGACAAGGTGAAGCCGCAGGTCGTGCACCGTGATATCCGTGCAAGCAACGTGCTACTTGACGAGGAATTTGGTTCCCATCTGATGGGGGTTGGGCTGTCCAAGTTTGTACCATGGGAAGTAATGCACGAGAGGACTGTGAAGGCTGCAACCTATGGGTACCTTGCTCCTGAATTCATATACAGGAATGAACTGACAACAAAGAGCGATGTCTACAGCTTTGGTGTGCTCCTTCTAGAGATCATCAGTGGCCGTCGGCCTACTCAGTCTGTCGAGTCTGTTGGATGGCAGACTATATTTGAGTGGGCAACACCTCTAGTCCAGTCACACCGGTACCTAGAGCTGTTAGACCCACTGATTCAGGAGTTGCCAGATGTAGGTGTCATCCAGAAAGTTGTTGACTTGGTCTATGCCTGCACCCAGCATGTCCCTTCGGTGCGACCAAGGATGTCTCATGTGGTCCATCAGCTCCAGCAACTTGAGCTAAAGTCAGCAGCATCAGAACAACTGAGCGGCACAAGCACTAGCGCTACATCTCCAATGTTACCATTGGAGGTTCGGACTCCTCGCTGAAATCCACTGCTAGAGGAAAACCAATTCAGTAGTTTCCGATGTCAGTCAGCTGGCAGCACATCTATTGAAGTGTCTGCTTAACTAGTACTAGGAGAAGTACTTGAGGGGAGAAGTTAGGACCCCCATAGGCCAAACCAAATTAACCTTTGTGTAGCAATGGGCTGTTTGTTGTTAAAATGGTCATTGCCCATGTGTACTTGAGTTGGCCTCTATGTAGAAGATATCAGTTTAGTGAGCACAAATTTCTGAATGGTTGTAATAGTGACCTTATCTATATATCTACATTTGATAGAAGGTGTGATAATATCTTCCTGTCTCTATACATGGGACTGTAGTAAAAAGGGCAGCAAGCTAGGTAGCTGCAGTGGGCTTCCGCCTGAGCTTGTTGAAGGTGGGTCTCAGAGGTTGGCTTGCGCTGGGTTCAAATGGCAGCAATGGCTTCTTGATCTGTGTTCCGGCTCCAATGCTGGACGCTGGTGGTGGTGGAGTTGTGTTGCTGTTGCCGGTGCGTGTGCTGGTGGTAGCCCTCTGCTTCTTTGCCCTGGGAGCTTCCAGCCTCTCCAGAATCCTGCTTGTCTTGTCGTCCAGGCCCAGCGGTTTCACTGGGGACGGCAGCTTGGGGTTGGCCCTAGAAGTAGAACATGTGACGGCACTGGTGAAGTCGTCGTCGATGATGATAAGCTGTTCCCACTCCTCGGTGATGCTGGGCCTGGGCGACGCCTTCTCCTTTGACGCTGCCTGTGGCTCGCTGAAGCTGAACGATTGGATATCTCCACCCTCCTCCCTACACAGCCTCAGCACCTTGTTTTCCTCTGGACCCCGGAATGTCAATATTTGTGGTTCACTCAACGAATCAAGATGATGAGGATCCTTCGCGCCACAAGCCGGAGCAATTGATCTGCAGAATCAATCACAACTTCACAATCCAGTCTTATTAGTTGGTCATAGTCCTGGGCTTGGCACCCAAACATGACATGACAGACGCCAGGAGATGAAACCAGAAACCATACATACACCAAATAAAGCATTAGAAATTTAAAAACTTGTGTGTAAAAAAGAGCAAGTGCTAACCCAAATTGAAGGCTATCCTTCACCAGACAATTCAGTCTCGAGTGAAAACCTCTCTCATGTTGTAGAGGGTTGTAATCCTTCAGCACAATCTGAAGTATTAAATTTGTTACCTCACGTGCAGTTCCATATAAGTATATGGCAAAACAAAAACCTTTGGTGGAGGTTGCAAAACCAATGAAACCCATATATATCAAGGAATCATGAAACAATAATATTTCCATTAGCAAACCTTAGATAATGAGGTTTCGATCAAATTCTGGACTTCCTTGGTACCGGTAGAGTTGCAAGGTCGACTCACAACTGGGAGAGGCAGTATCTCTTCAGATCCAGCAAGCCTCTACAGCATGATATGCTCTTACTGTTAGAACCAAGCAAAAGCAAACCACATACACTTGCAATTACGGTAATGGATGTTCATGGACTAAACAAACAGCATAAAAGTGCAGTGCGGTGTGCCTTGAATTATTATTGCAATAGAGCAGGGCGGGGGGCGTCGCCTGTACCCTCAGAAGCATCGGTCCCTTCTCAGATGGTTGGAGAAGATAATAACACTCAAGGGATCCTATCTTCATCGTTTCAGTATTGCATTTTGAGGAGCACACAAGTCCCTGATCAAGCTTGAAAAGTGTCTCACATAGACCATAGAAAACTGCACAGAATATGAGAATACACACTATAGATGTTGAAATGTCACGACCATTTAAGAAGCCAAAGACATATTGCAGATATACCGTTAGACCTACGTTGGGTGTTCTGATCTGAGCACTCATCATCAAGAGCAACCTCAACATCATTAGAGCTGGGAATCACAATATGAGGCGTCCCAATTATGAGTCCTATTAACAGAGTTTGCCATTAAATTTTGTACGGAGAAGATACAGAGCCTCTAAAGACTAACTAATGTAATGCCTATCACAATAGCTAACAGTGTTGGTTACCTTCATTTAGTGAGGCTAAATTGGTGCGCTCAATCACGTCAAAAGAAATGGAGGATGAGGCTCGTCGCAAGCTTGAAACGCCTTCTGAGTCAGGAAGAAACAGTACTGTCTGTTCCCCAATTTTCACAGCAGTATCAGTAACATCAGAAGCTGTGAGCTGTCGGCTAGTTATTGGGCACATCCATTTTGCCTTATTTGTGTTAGCAAGGTCAATAGGGCGACCATGGCACCTGCATATCTGTTCAATATGGTCTGGATTAACATAGGTAACATAAACCTGCAAGAAGCTACAGGATTGCTTAAAGTAAAGTGTGTAGACATGATAGTTATTGTCCGAAGTAAATGAAAAGCTAAAAAAAGGGCATGATGAAATCACCAAATCCATATGGCAAAATTCCTTCAGAAACTTGCAAGGACAAGATGAAAGTGAACGTCAAAAGAAATTAACCACCATAATCAGTACAGTTAATTAGTAATATGTGACACGTATAAATTGCTTCACCTGACATGATGGAAAACCATCAATGATGTGATTTGCTGAAGCATACATGCTGCAAGATATTTGATTAACAGTGCTGATAATGGGAACTCTGAATACAAATACAGCCTGCAATGCCTCCTCCTTGTCATCCTTTAGCTCTTCTAACCACCTCTTGACTAATCCATGCAAAACTTGAGTCTCTGCATTTCCAAGTTTGTAGTTACAGGATGACACTATTATAGTTTGCGTTAATCAAGAGGGTTGTTTTACTTGTATATAAGGAGATAAACAAGAACCTCACCAGGACTGTATCTTCGTACCACACAGTTTTCAAGGTCACAAATTGTGTCTATGAAACCATTGGAATTTTCAGAAACACCATCACATACGAATGCAGCTCCTGTTTCCAGCAATACAAACTCCACTGTAATACACTGTTCTGCTGCGTCCTGATGATGTCAAAAGAAAAGGAATATTAAGCGGGTTACTTGATCCCTTGGAAAGAAAGTTGCAAAGACAATCGTCCACACCATGAGAGATCTTCGGAGAGCTTGTGTGTTTTGTGCAGACATACATAAAGCAATCACTTTTTTGGAGGTATCATCAGTGGCCCAAGAATAGATAGCTCGATTGCTAAAAAGATTTGTTAATGACACATCTGCAGAGGAGAAAAATTGAGTAAGATAATATTTTTTGTATTTGAAGAGCGTGCATTGTACTCAGTTAGAGAGCAGAGATTCAGTCGTTTATGTTGCCTAGTAAGTTTGGTTATGGAAATGATCAAACATTGAACACGGAGATCATCCCTAGTTAGCATGAATATAATTATTACCTCCAGTAGTATGTAGAGATCCATGTTGGTTAGGACGAAAGGCATCGAGAGGCAAATTGTTGACAGCATGATGGAAGTCTCGAAGGTTAAATTTCTCTCCAGGCCTATACACCACCTTGAGCTGGTGGAAGTTGACATGTTATGTTAGTGAGTTTGGGAAATTCACAAAAGTGAGGGGAGGAATATGTATTTGGCTGGGTTTGAGATTAGTGAGCACCGTAAATAGAAATCTACTTACATGAGCATGCAGTAACACATTTTATATGGTGAGTCGGTATTGGTTAAGTTGTTCATGAAGGCAGCTTAGTAGTTTCAGTGAGGGATATGATTGGCAATCAATCGAGATATGAATGATGCAATAAAAAACAGTAGTAATTCCACAATGAGCCACAGACTTAGTCAGTGTATATTGGCCATCTTTTACAAGTAAAACAAACAGCTCAGATTTGCAAAGCATGTAGAGTGAAAACTTAAAGAAAAACAGAGATGAATCCAGAGTGCAAACATCCAGCATCGCAGTGAGAAACAAGCTCATTATCTAAAAATTAAAAAAGAAGAATAGTCAGAAACAAGGGCAGTTACAGATAATAGAGATTGTGGTGTGTGATTTACTAGTGATGGTGCCGGTTGGTTCAATCAATCATTTACTGCTAGTCCACTAGGGAGTGAAGAAGTATGGCAATCGGGGCAGTTAATAGAGAGAGAGAGAGAGAGAGAGACTAAAATTCGGAAAAGTGAAAGTGCAGGCAAGAGAAAAACGAATTAAACCTGAGGAGGCGAGGAGGAGGCGGCGGGGTGGACGTAGCAGAGGGCGAGGCGGTCGGGGAGGTCGGCGGAGGGGATGGCGGCGTAGAGGTTGGCGAGGTGGAGTAGGCACTGCATGCGTAGCGTAGATATATAGAGCTTAATTAATTAATTTGAAGTTTGCTTGCTCGATCAGAAGTAGCCGCCATGGCCGCCATAGCCGCCACCACCACCACCAACACGAGGTAGAAGGAGGAGGTGACGTCACGTCACCTGCTTGAGGAGGTGGAGGAGCGGAGGGGGGATGTTCCGCATGTCGAGCAGGAAGCAGAGCAGCGCCATGGATCTCGATCTCGAACTCTCCTCCTCCTCTGCTTCTCCTTGTCCGGCCAGATCAAATCAACAAAACCAAATCGATCCGTTTGAATTTCGGAGACGCCGCGCGAGCCAAGCCAAGCCAAGCCACTCTTTCTTTTTCAATATGCGACCGACTCAACCTCACTGACCTATCCTTTCTTTTTCTTTTCTTTTTTTTTTTGAATACAGGACAGGAGGGAGGAGGAGTATAAGGACATAAATCATAATGCTAATATACACATGCGTAAGGCCATATTACCAATAATGGTAGCAATTGGATATGTTTTTTCCAAATTATTAAAATGAGATTATTTATCCCACGTTTTGGAAAATACGTTTTCTAACCACACATTTTTCTATCGCATTATTTTAAGGTACTAGTAACATACTCGTATGTTCTAACGATTATATAATTAGAAATGTCTTATAAGGACAACTTTTTTAAAAGGAAAAGGAACTTACATCGCTTTAGCTAATAAGTCCTCGCACACAAGATGCGAGATAAAATTATAACTTCCATCCAAACACACGGCAGGAGAATGACAACTTCAGGTAAAAAATATTAGAGATCTGTTAAGTTTATTTTTTAAAATATTTATTACCTCCGCCTCAAAATACTCGTCGCTTTGACTTTTTATTTGCACCGTTTGACCATTCGTCTTATTTAAAAAATTAGTCTAAATAAAAAAGATAAATCTTACTTAAATTACTTTTGATAATAAATCAAATCACAAACAAAATAAATAATAATTCCATATTTTTTTTAATAAGACGAACAATCAAACGTTAAAAAAATATAAGTATTTTGGAACGGAGGTAGTACTCCCTTCGATTCCATTTTAATTGACATTTTGGACATTGACCTTATTTTTCTATTATAATATGTACAATAAATAAATGCATGTTTTACTTTTATTATAGTGCTTTAAAAGACAAATCTATATATGTTGTTTTAGTTTCTTTAAACTAAATATTTTTAAAGTTATTGATGGTCAAAGTTATAAAAATTTGATCTCAACCTTGTCCAAAACATCAATTAAGAGTAGTATTTAATTATTCTTATAAGGAAACTGATCTGTTTTCAGGGCTGGACGCCGGTGCGCCCTGAGGAGAGGAGAGCACACCTAGAAGAAGTGACGACGCTGGCGAAGTCAGCTCAGCTAGCTGCTCCCAGTGCCATTATCATCATCATCATCAGTGGCTTGCTGCATGTCATATATAGTACCACCATAACACAAGGGGCGATCATAAATTAGCCATCACTCAGGAAGCACAAGCCATGAGCACTTGTTGCCTCACTTGTACTAGAGTGTCTACTACAGTAGTATATAGTATACAAAAGAGGAACTTGGAATTTAAATAGTAGAAATACAGGAGGAGCATCATCTATCTGGCAGTAGAAATCCCCAGAACAAATCACCAGCATGGCCTACTCTTCGCCTAAAGACTCTCACTTGTACTAACAACGATGCACACACGCTAGGCCTGGCCAGGGGTACTCTGGATTCTAGTCCTTACTACTTATTATCCTGCCTAGTGTATCATCGTTACTGTAGTTGCCTTGCCAGGGTGCTGCGCCATGACACAACTCCATTGGCTTCTCTCAAACTCCTAGCTCTTCTGTACTCGATCTCTGCATCCGAGCATGACTGTCCACCCCCAACTTTCTTCCTCACTTCTATGGGTTTTAGAGATATTTCATCCCTCCCCTTTCTGAATGGATGGCAATCTTTCACCATCCCTTCATCCTCACACACATCCCCTCCTTTTGTTCCTGTAACAAAATAAAGAGCGCAGAGACAGAAGATAAGATAGCATCAAAAATGAGCGTTGCAAATTGCAAAACAAACACTACTAGACTTCAACTTTACATCTTGCATTAAAAACCAACTGTTTATCCCACCAATTCACAAGACAAACCAAAACGCCTCATTCTATTATATGTTCAACTACAACTGAATGATCCAAGTCAAAAGCTCAGGGGAATTACCTTTGAATATGTCCAGGTGCACTACATTTTGTGGAGACCCATTTGAAAGCTTTTGCTCTGTAGATTTCTTTGGGCCTGTGATCACTTTTACATTGAAGAGTGATTTATCCACCTCAGTAGCAGGAGCATTGTTCCCAAATGGAGATATACTGAACCCCTCATCAAGCGCATCTGGTATCTCCACGTAGGTTTGAGTTGTAACGATTTCATCTGCGCTGAACCCAAAAGATGCCCTGTATGCTTCAACCTCCTCAACATCTTGTTTGTCCTTTGAGACACTAATCCTCCCACCATTATTATATGGAAATGACTGCTGAGCCTGATCCAGGTAGAACTGGGCAGATGCAGCTGGCCGAAAGAAGTTATTATCTAACATGTAGTTTCTAGAGGCGGCTGAATCAAGCCCAAAAATATTGGACGGTGAATTCCTGGAATATGGTGTGTCACAGGCAGACCTAGAAGTCTTCCAATGTGCGGTGCAGACCTCTTGCTCAGGGATGGGCGAAGCCCTGGAATATGGTGTGTCGCAGGCAGACCTAGATGTCTTCCAATGTGCAGTAGGCACCTCTTGCTCAGGTATAGGTGATGAAAGACCAGTCCTTGGAGTTGCTGAAGCAGGTGATATGAGGCTGCTTGAAGGGCTTTCTGGGTAAAGCGGATAAGATGCCTGGAGCCCTGAACCTCCAGAATATGCTGTAGATAAGTACGGCATGTTGTGATCTTTGCCAGCAGTTTTCAGATCCATAGATGACAAAAGAAACCGCGCATATGGAACATCTGGAGAGGAGGGAGTAGTTGCATGAGCTAGTTCAGGTGGAGGGGTCAGTGGTGCAGTGGAAGGCTCGGTCGTGTAAGTTGAGAAGACAGGTGGTGAGACAAGCTGAGGCTCGTTAGCATATGGCCCAACAGCAAACATATTAGATGTTGGCCCACCCGGAGAGTTTGCAGATATTGACAGGAAGCAATTAGGTGATTGGGCAGTCGAAGGAATTGCAGAATTAGAGAAGGACACCGGAGAAGACGGTGGAGCAAGAAGAGATAAATTCAGAGCCGCACTTTGGTTGGAATTGGCACCAGATTGGTGTGCATTTCCACGACTAGTTGACGCATTCCCATCAGGTACACGTGCTGCAGGAACTATACGCTTCCCACCCTTCTGTGATCCGAAACATGACAAGCCAGACAAACAGCCAGCCCATCCACTCCGCTGATAAATGTAGAAAGTTATTAGTTGTTGCAAGAAATAGGGAGGGGGGGGGGGAAATCATCCAGCATTCCAGCTTGATTTTATGAAGATACATAAAGTTAACTCCAGGAATGAATAATGAACTAATTTACAGTTCAAAAGCAACATACTAATCCGTTCAAGGCTATAATAATTTTTATAGGGCTATTTAGCTCTTCCCTGTCATTTTTATGATCTGTGTAGACAAACAGCATTATTGGCTAATTATTAAGCATGGAAACTACAATTAGAGTGAGCTGAATATAACAACAAATAAGCATAAAGAGAAGTGTGCGGTTAACAAAAGTAAGACAATTAATGTTGTCGTCATATCATGTAATTGACAGGAATGTCGATGGTCTTGAAATGACATAAAACATCCTTGCATGCTACAACGAGTTTAAGATGGCCCAATTGCAAGTTGCAACCAGCACGGAGACAGTACGAACAGTTGGTACTGAGTGAGTAGGAAAAGGTTGTAAGGTCGACAGGAGGTAGCAATTGCAGGTAACAAGTAGTACGAAAAAAAGCAACAGAAAAGAAAAGATGAAGCAATTGCATGAGCAGCAAGAAGATATAGTAATACCCTATCCTGCTGTGGTGGGTGGGAGTGGAATCTGGCCTCCGTCGCAGCAGCAGCAGCAACATTCGCTGGCCTGCTGCTCCCTGGTGTAGCCGCCATTTGTGATAAGAGAAGGCGCGGCGCGGCGCGGTCACATTCTCCGGAAACACACCGACGACCAAGCTTGGGTTTGTCCTACGGATCCGAGCTGAGCTCCTAGTAGAGGTAGAGGAGGAGAAATTAGAAGCAGCAATCATAGAAGCAGTAATGGACGGAGGAGGAGATCTCGACAAACTGGTTACTAGTTGTATTAAGGCTCTCAAAGCTTCCCAGATCTAGAAGAGATGAGAAGCTAGGGTTAACGCAAGCAAATTCGAGGGAGAGAGAAAGAGGATGTGGATGCTCACTCACCTGCCGGAAGCAGCAGCAGGACGAGGATGACGGCGTGCTCTGCTCTGCTCGAGAGAGAGAGAGAGATGGAGATGGAGATCGCCGCAGCGCAGCGCAGGCGCAAGGAGCGGAGACACAACCCACACTGCACACTCGAGTGTTTTTTTTCTTTTCTTTTCTTTTCTTTCCGACGCACAGGCACAGCGACAGCACAGGGGACGCACGCACAAGAGATTACCTCTTCTTTTCTTTTTCATGGGCACACAAACAAAGCAATTATAGCCTACTACTATATGTTAGATTCATGCTATTGTCAACTTACTGTACTTCATTGCCTCTTGATAGAAAACAGATTCTCTTACAGTTGAGTCAGTGATACGTGGATTCCACTTTACTATGACCCACATGTCAATGACACAAATGCAATGCAGTTAAATCAGAGGATCCTTTTTCCTCTCAACGATGTAGTTGGATCAACCTATTTGGCTATTTTTTTCGCACAACTAAAGTTAGGATATCTATTAGCCAATAGACCCATATTGTACATCCACTACCGTTCCATCGTATTTGGATGATATTATAAGATCAAGAACCATTAAGTCTGTTTTGTTAATTAATGATAAATCCAATTGTATGAGACACATATCTTTTATGAACATTTTTCTTGCCTAGTTTTGATTGGATATAAGATAAAAATGTTGAGAGATGTGTGATAAACTCCTCATGTTCTAAATTATATTTTTCGCATGTCCAAAATGTAGGGTGAATTTCTTCTTAGTCCTTTTTGTCGTTCATGTACATAATTCCATCTTCATATTTATATATGTGCACATATTTTTTGGGGGAAGCATGCTCTATATTCGCTTGTCTCCTTGTATTAATGCATTTCTCCTTCCATGTATATGTGAACTATATATGGTTTATATTGGATTGTCAACCATCATCAAAAAAGAAAAGATCAAAAGATCTATGATCAACAATTTGTATTGTTATTCGGTGATTTATGACAATCGAGTTAGTGGGACTTACCTATTTCCATGAGTTGGCAAATAGGTTATTCCTGAACTTCATATGAGCTGAGATAGAAAATATTCAATGATTGTGATATTTAATCTTTAACAAGCATAAAATGTACAGAGATCAAGCTATAAGCACCACTCTATCTTTATATATACATAATAATGTGGTTCTATATATTATTTTGATGTGAATATATAATATTTGTGTTGTCGGTTAATATTCATCAATTTATTCGTATCATTTTATATACGATCGGTTGGTCAACAAGTGGAGACTGATAATCAGATCACGGGGACTAGCAATGTTATTGAGAATGAAAGAAGTAGATCTCCAGAAATGAAAATGGTGTTGATGTTCAAATGAGATCAAGTCACATGAGTCTCAAGATATAGGAATCATGTGTTGAGAGTTATTGATAAAAGGCAATAGATGAACGTCCTAAGTCAAACCTTTCTAAATTTAATCAAGTTTTGGAGGGCCATTTCCCCTCAAAGTTTGTCAAATTTTGGCATAAAGAGCTAACTGACAAGCTTGGTCTTAACGCCAGCAACTCAGCATGAAACATATGCTACTAACAAGTCTTGTTGTAATGCAATTTGTTTGTCTCTAAATACAAAAACACTAGTCTAGTAATCTAGTTGCGACGATTATAAGTTAACAAGAGATGTCTAAGGCTGTCAAGACTTGCGAACGGAGAAGGCTGCGCCGTCGTTGAGAGGCAGCAAGCTATAATAGGCGCCATCTTTGTCGATGCAGCACGCATGCCACTTCATCTTGTATGAACCTTGAGGAAATTCAGACACATCCAGCAGGTAGCTAGAGAATCCCATCCCACTGTCACTTGCTTCGAAACGCGCAAATGCTGTCACCATTTCCTTCTCCTCCACACGGACCTTTTTCCTCTTCTTCTCCCTCTTCTTTCTCAAATCATCCTCTATGTACTGCATCAGCTTGGTATTAAGACCAACCATTCCAGCAGTTTTCTTGTGTATCTCAAACTCTTTGCTTCTTGTTCCTGTTGCATCTAAGCAGCAGGATGCTGAGCTTGCAGCTAAAACGCAGTATAGCTTCGAGTAGCTTCGAGATATCAATGTTACTCCTAACACACATTTCCACTGCAAGCAAAGGGTTAGGGAAAGCTGGAGGCCACTTGGTACTGATATCCCGTCTCTGTTTTCTGGATTTGAATCATATATATGAAGTTCAGCACCAAAGCAAGGCCTGCAAGATATATAGTAAACAAGCTAACCATTATTACAGATATCTATTCGAGCGATGCATTACTGAAACACAAATTTCAGAGAGGAATAGTGAGATATACATAAAATAAAACTCTGCGATCATCTATGTATTAAATAGGCACATGTGGCTTGTGAAAAAAAAATTAAGTGATCCAGCATGGTGAACTTCTCATCCACAACAACTAATTTTAAGAGAACAACACGCATACGTTACCTTACTCTGAAGAAGTATTTGGGTAGAACAAATGGCAATTCCATAACCCTCTGTAAAATGCTGGACAGAAATTGCATCCCTCCATGCAAAGGAGATACACTGTCCTCTCCAGTCGCTATTCCTTTGGTGTCCCCACGTAAGCGGAGGAAATATGCCACAGCAAATTTGCAAAGACGATAAGAATCCTTTTCCAGAATACCTGAACAATTCACAATTCATTCTTGTGACAATCTGTATGGAGTGCACTTTATCACAACAAATGGGCATTAATTGTTGCAGTTGTGAAACAATTTGGCTATCAGTCCTATCCACTCTTTCATGTAAATCTTGTACAACTGAAGCGTGAGAAAACCTCTCTGGAAGCCTGCAAGACTCCACACTACTATGTACCTTTGAGAAATCCACAGAAAATGCAATACAAAATGCCAGAAGTGAGCACATGAAAGCAAGCCTGGCTATGCTAGAAAAACTTTGGCGATCCATGTCCCCATGGGATACAGCAAGTAGATCATAACTATGTGCCAGTTCACTTAATCGTAATGAACAATTCACCAAAGCAAGTAATTGGCTGTTATTATGCTCTCTAGGTACACTGGAATGGTCTCCAATAGCATCATGATGAGATTCATCTCTCTGATCAGTTAAATGTGCAGTAAGGATACCAAGAAAATCTGCTAGGATCTCAAGAAACGATGCCCTGAGACTAATAAACCACCTCTGGAAAAACAGCTCATGACTTGAAGAGGTATTCGATAAGAGGTGATCAGTAGCTAAGAATGTTTTGCTGCAAATATCAGTAATCTTTGCTTGGGAACCATGCAACTCTGAAGAGCCAGCAAGACTACTGTCAACATTTGTTTCAACACAGTAAAAACTCTCATGAAGATCGCAATCTGTTTTAAGCTCACTGACCAACTTAATGATTGCTGAAGGGAAAAGCAGTAGCTTCATCTCAATTTCTCCAGCTGAAATAAGCAGCAATGATTTGAACCAAAAACTGAAAGAGCCTGACCCAAAATCATCTGCAAGTTTTCTAAAGACAAACGACACCACAAACCAGAGGCCTTCACGACAACAGTACATAGCAGACATATAGGCATCCCAATACCTCTGCTTTCTGAAAAGCATTTTTGTTATCCGAATCGCACAGAGCTCCTGAGTTAACCAAATAGAAGGACTAGAGAATATGTCAGGCTGTTCTGTTGGATCACCTGATTCTTGATTGCCATCTCTAGTTTTACAAGCATACCATGAAATACAAGCACACATTATCAGATGGAAAAATTCGTATGTGCTACAATACTGAGAAGCATTCTGCTGCACACACTCAATCAGCTCCTTGATTCTATCATAAAGATTGCAGCTAGCACCAGGAGTTTTAGAAAGCATATTATGACAAGTATTTGCAAACTTGAGTGTCGAAAGAATTATATTACGCACTATAAATACTTCCTTCTTGCTACTAAATTCAGTTGGGTCGAATTTTAACTTATCAAAATCTGCTCCCATGTGAGAAGCCATCACACTAGCAGTCTCTGGCTTAATATCATTTGAAGTGCCAAGTACTTCACGGGCAGAATATGTTTGAAATGATTCAACATTGGCAACAGAAACTTTGGAGCAATCACTGTCATCTAGTCGGGCTAGTTCTTTTATCAGGCCTCTTAGTTTATCAAGAGCAACAGCAGCAGCAGAAGGGGTAGCACACAAGAAGTTTTAGCATACTGCTTAACATAGATCTGTACATCTTGAATTCAGAGGACATATAAGTATGTCTCCTTGTTGCTTCCTTGTTTCCAGTGCTTATTATTTGATTGACCAGAGATATATTATGATTCACCATTGATGTTACAATCTTATGCACGAATTTGTCCTCATCATTTTCTACATGAGTTGACAGGAAGTTGCTGGTAATCCCTTGACACCCATTGTAAGTCAATGATGAACCTTCCTGAGTAATCATGTTCTGATGTGATCTTGTTTGCTGAAGACAACATAAGGTGCCAGCAATAACTTTAAGAGCAGTACCTTGCATCTCCCAGGAAGAAGAATGCAAAGAACTCTCAGCAGCCAGAACAAGCTTAGATAGCTCAGAAGTATCGACAAAATGAACAATTGGAGCTTTGCCACAGACTATCTGAAAAGTTTTTATAAATCAATCAGCTATCATAATGAGGAAAAAGAGATATCTAGACAGCACGAACAGAAGACCTTAGTGTTCACCTTTTGAAGAACCGTAAATGCATCTCTCTTACAATCAAGTGGGAAATCATCATCATCAATTAGCTGTAATAACGTTCCAAAAACAGTCCTTAAAACAGGAAAATGGCAGATGCTTCCGTGAAACATAAAACATAAACATTTCAATGACACGGTCTTCATGCAATGAGAAGATTCATGCTCCAGGAACAATAACAGCAATTCCACCTGAAATAGTAAATCGAAATAAAGTTTACTTCGAAATCAATTCACAAAGGGAACAGAGAACATTGGTATTAATGACCCCAGCTTGTCAGCAAGAGGGTAAACAAATACAGATAGCTAGTAACTCAAAAAGAAATTTGAATCACCTGATTCTTGATTGTCATATCTAATTTTTATAATGTCACTAAGGTATCTTTCAGTAGCATGTCAATCACAGGAAATGACATGAGGAAATGGGATGCCATTAATTGTTTCTTCAGAGGTTTGAGAAAACATGAATCAGGTTATAAAGTGCCAAGCATTCACAAACAAAGAGAGTATAATATAAACAGTAAACACAGACACATGATTATTGCAAAGTGAACTAAATTATGTAACACAGAACATAATTGCAGTGATGGTTTAGAACAAATTAAGTCAAATACATATGCTACCAACTAGTGGATTACACTACCTGATCGCCAAACAGAAGAACTGACTTGGATGCCAATCTTGAGAGTGACAAGAGCATGTCAGCTTTGAAATTATCTTCCAACGTGCCCAGAACGATCTGCTTTCCAACCTGTGACATCAAGAGTGAAAAATGCTTCCTTAAAATGTGGTGAAAACAACTGCAAGAAAAAAAAAACAATGCAGAGCATCCACCTAAGGTCGATGTATAAAGAAAAATATATCATTAGTCCCTTATGTTCTACTACTCCATTTCAGAACACTAGCCAGTTTTATTGGTAAGTCCAATTTCACAACATAAAGTCGACAGATAGCATCGAGAGTATCATCACATTTTTACCTATTTCATAGATGCCTTATTTTTTTCATAGGATGTTTTCAGAGCTTTGGTCTTCACATTAACCCGTAATGCAAAAACTAACTTCACACTTGTAATAACTAACAGCTTAGGTGTTCAAGGACTAGATTATACTACTATCACTGTAAATCAGAGCAGTGTGTAATTTTAAATTTCTTTCTTTGACTTTATGATTCCTTGGACTGGAGTATGTGCACATGATTGATAGGTATCTATTGTTAAACCAATGAATGATGCCTCGTATGTAAGAAGTGAACAAGCAATGCAAATGTTGGCCAACTTAAGAGTAAAAAAAAATCGAATTTAACCAAGAAGCACACATATATCCATTAACACCTCATGAACTCTATGGATAACAGGCAACGTACAGTACAGTCAAGCTTGGGGAAAATCTTAATTGCTGCCATGATAATTTGAGCTTGTGTTGTTGGTGAAGCAATTATTAACCTTGGAAGTGCTTCAAGTGTAATGTAAGAGAAATCCACTGATAGCCTAAAAACAGCCAGCCGCAAACAATGCCGCGTTGACCTGCGAAATGATAAGCATAATAATTAGTGGTGTCTAAACTTTGCGCTGGTGTAGTGGTAAATGGTAAAGAAAGAAATAGACCAGTGGCGCCGTGCATTGGAGGAAGAGAAGGTGGAGAGAATGAGAGAGCGGATATGCAGGGCTTTGGTGGGCGAACATCCGCAGCGCGAGTGCCCTGGCCTGGGGGCAGGCAGCGTGGTAGGCGGCCTGGGTTCCTGCACACATGCTGCGGCGAAGGAGGAGGAGGGCGCGGAGGATGCGGGCGTTGTGGGCGGTGGTGAAGTGGGTGGCGAGGAGGCGGAGGAGGATGGTGTGGGCGAAGAGGCGCGGTTCGGAGGCCCAAGGCGGGGGGCGAAGAAGCTAGGTCCGAGGTCCCGGAGACGAGGGGCAATAGCTAGCGTCGATGGCGTGGCTGCATGCTAGGGAGATTAGATTGACTGAGATTGCTGAGGGGTAGCTGTACCAGTACTGACCGGGGTGGGGTGGCGGGAGCGGAGAGCCCTGTCGAGGTCGATGCTCCATTGCATGGCCATGGCCGCCGCCGCCCGCCGGTAACCCTTCTTCTTCTTCTTGTGTTTCTTTCTACTTACAGTGGGGCCTCGATTCGACCGTGTAATGGAATGAAGGTGGTGGGCCCCCACCCCCACAAGCCACTCTCCACACTTTGGTGTTCCTGGTATGTCACCTAGACCAACAACTATGTTAAGCCATATGTTCCACAGTGCAAAATCTACAAGACCACGATACAAGTAGGTATGGTGGACTACCACATTTTCACTTCTCTTTCACTTTCCCCTCTCTCTCCCCCCTCTCTTCCTTTCCCCCACCGCAGAGAGCCTGGCGCGCGGAGACGGCGACGGCGCCGGACCAAGCAGTGGTGGAGCGACGGCGGGGCGACAGCGCCGAGCGGCGGGATGCGCTCGCCGGCGCACCACCCCCTCCTCTCCCCCCCGAGCGGCGGGGCTGCTCGGAGCAGCAGGGCGGCGGCGGCATGTCGGCGGCGGGCAGACGACTTGGAGCGGGAGACGGCGACGGGCGGATGCGAGGCGGCGGTCGGCGCCCTCCTCCCCTGGAGTTCGGCTGCTTCGCCCCCTCTCCTCTCTCCTCTAGCGGTGGTGTGGGTCCCACTGAGCTGAGGAGGGCGCGCGGTTGGACGACGAGGCAAAGGAATACTAGTCTTCGCTTTTTTGGGTTGAGGCTGAATGCCACGTCGGCCCATTGTGAATGCCCTTTAACAAAACAAGGGTTTATGGCTATGGGATCTGGCTGAGGCATTGACCTACCTTGGTCCTTGGCAGAGAGAGAGAGAGACTCCCCCTCACTCCTTCCCCGACGACCTGCTCGATCCGATCCAATCCGCTCCTCTCCAGTCCAGATCGGAAGGAAGCCAGGAATGGGGCACCCCCACCCCCACCCTTACGCGCCGGCGGAGCTTCACCTCCCGGGCTTCGTGCCTCTCCAACTGTCCCAGGCCCAAATCCTCGTGCCCTACCTCGCCACCTCCCTCTTCCTCCTCCTCGCCGTCTGGCTCATCTCCGGTATTCCTTTCTTCCTTCCTTCTCCTCTCGGCTCGCTAAATTCCAACATCTCTTTGCTCAATCTTCTTTGCTTCCATTTGCTTTGCTTTGCTGCAGGGAGATGCAGTCGTAGGCTTTCCGACACCGACCGCTGGCTCATGTGCTGGTGGGCCTTCACCGGCCTCACCCACATTATCATCGAGGGAACCTTTGTCTTTGCTCCTAATTTCTTCTCCAACCAAAACCCTTCTTACTTCGATGAAGTTTGTAAGCCTCCTTTTCTTTTCTAACTCCACTATCATTCATCTCCCTTCTATTTACTATTATCTTATTGGATTATTACGCACTAGCTACTAACAATAATCACCATCCTCCTTTCCTTTCCTTTCCAGGGAAAGAGTACAGCAAAGGTGACTCCAGATATGTCGCCAGAGACCCTGCTACTGTTACAGTTGAAGGAATTACAGCTGTCTTGGAAGGCCCTGCTTCACTCCTTGCTGTGTACTCATCTTTTCTTCCATTTCACCTCACCATGCGCACCTTACCTCTCTCTCTCTCTCTCTCTCTCTCTCTCTCTCTCTCTCTCTCTCTCTCTCTCTCTCTCTCTTTTCCATTTCTTACATATTTAACGATCTTCTCATTACAAATGCATTTTTCACATGTTTTTCTACCTTTCGTTATACTATTGTTTTTCTTTCCTCTTTCGAGTTAACCTTTTGCTAGCCAATCTAGTTATTCCGGAGCATCACCTTCTGAATTAACATGTACTAGCCAATTAAGTCGCCTGTTTGTGCGACCATGAGTAATTCACCTATGATCACATTTTCCCTATCTCATATTGTAATATTATTATCTTTTTTGTACAACAAACCGTAGCCCTTTGATTATAACACTGAATCTAGCTTGCCCAAAGTTGTACTCTCTGGCTTCCAAGTTACCGAAAATGGAACTGAAAATTATACTCTCTGGCTTCCAAATGGATATAAGTGAAAACGACTGAAAATTTGTTCGCATACAGAGCTGACTTTAAATTCATATCATAAGCGGAAATGGAATAATAGGCAATGGAAAAGTATTTTGGTGCCAAACAGATTAAATTCTGTGTTTTGGACTTGTAATTAGTAAAGGAAGGCAACAGCCATGATTAGAAGGGAATTGTGGAAATAGTATTTACAGCCCAAATACTCCTATCTAAATGCAACTCAATCTGGAATTAGAAAAAAAAATATGTTGGCAAGCTAGGCTCATATTAGAACTTCATGAGCTGACGTGCTTGTCCAGGAAAGTGTTTTCAAGATTACTAAAGCTGGTATTAGCATATCCAACCGCAGCATACTGTTTTACTGCCCTAAGTACATCTTGTTTCAGTGTCTTTCTTTGTTGAAGGTTTCCAGAAATCATACAAAGCCACATGTGCATATAGTTCTGCATATAGTTCTCCTGTCGTGTACTAATTGAAAATGAGTTACTTTCATAGGAAAAAAAACTGGGGAATCGATAATAAAGAACTAAAACTCCTTTCAGCAAATATATGCAAAATTGAATTCCACCAAACCAAGTATTAACTGAAGCATTTGCTGGATCTGCATATATGCAAACAAAACATTAAGGCTTAAATAGGAACTTTGTTTGCTGGAAACAGAAAGAGATGGTAAATCGAAAGGAAAGTTAGAATCATTAACAGAGCATAAAAAATATAGTCAAGCCAAAACGAATCATGCCTCCTATCTAAGCCCCCATGGACTCAACCTTAATTTATGAACTTCTATAATTCAGTCATAGTTTTGCAGTAAATTCAGTCATCTTGCTGTACTTCTTTCCAATTCATCCCTATAGGTCAACATCTCAATTGACAGTTGCATATTCATTCCAAATTGTTCAGTCACAGTGAGTCACCATATCCCTATAGGTCAACATCTTACTTGGACAGTTGCATATTCATTCCAAATTGTTCAGTCACCGTGAGTCAATTGAGCAACTTTTTACTGTAACACATTGAAGGAGGCAGCACTAACCTTGCAATGAAGTCATGTGCTTATGACCTCACAGGGTCTCTATCTCATGAGCTGATGGTACCGTAACGGGCATGCCATTTTGCTATTTGCTCATTTCAATCTAAACTGGAAAGAAGCAATTTTTTATTGGCATCCACGATTCCAGGGGTGTCTCCCTGCCGCTGCCACCTTCTCCACTCCCATACCTGATGCGTGGGAGCAGGCAAAAGTGCAGGGATAGGGAGGAAGAAGTGGAAGATGGCGGCGTCGCATCATCCCACTCTGTTGCTCCCAGAGGAAAATTGTTGAGCTGCTCAGCCAGTGAAAGAGGATGCATGTGGTACCTCAGCCTCGCCGCCACCCATCTTCACCGTCGGTATGGTTTGGATCCAGCGATTCCTGAGCTTGCGGTGGCTTGCCCCCGAGCTCAGTGCGGGGTGCTTGAATCTGATGAGGAACGCGGTGCGGCCTGGATGGAGCGGCGGCCTCGATTTGGCCACGGTGGGGATGAGGAGCCAACTTCGGAGGCGGTGGGGGATAGGAGGAAGATGCGGCAGCTGGGATGACGAGGGGGTTTGGAGTGGAGGCGGTGGTGTGGCGCAGCACGCAAAGGAGAGGAGGGGTCGTGCTTTGGTAGATGGGGAGGGAGGAGGGGGTAAATATAAAAGAATCGATTCTAAGGGTATGGAAGGATCTAGTTTTGGTATAAGTTTCATGAAGGATGTTTATGTTCTTTATCCATTTGGGGAATCTGATGGTTCTTATTGGCTCATGAAAATATCGAATGGTTGAAGTTTTGTTGATGACGTGGATGCGTTAACTTTGCAAGAAAGGATTCATCTTTCATTTATTTAGATGTATCTGCATCCATCATACATGCTCCAAGTGAATGCATTTTTTTTACATCATGCCAATCGCATGTTGCATTTGCCACAAGACATAAATCGTCGTGGACAGCAGAATCCAATGTTCATGGGCTTTATGGAGTAGCTTTTCTTGTCTTCAACTAAACAATCCTGATTGATTGATGATTGGACTGGATCCTCATAAGGGAAGTAGCGGTGCTATAGGAATTGTATGTGTTTGATGCCTATAAAATCTATCCACAGAATATTTGTGTTCTCCTTTTTGTTAGTTTACACATTGGATTGACCTGTCTGCAAGCGTCAATATCAATATGTAACTGGTTATTAAGCCAGACTATTCACTATTGTACATCCTGCATTCCATGTACTAGTTGATAGGAGTTTCTTTTGCCCCCTAGACAGTTGATATGAGTATAATATAGCCTTTTGTGGTTTATAGTTTCCACCTGACCTGACAAAAAGTTTGCTGCTTGCAGCTATGCCATCGCATCGGGCAAGTCCTACAGCCATATCCTCCAGTTCACTGTCTGTCTTGGTCAGCTCTATGGATGCCTGGTGTACTTTATTACAGCCTACTTGGATGGCTTCAACTTCTGGACTAGCCCGTTCTACTTCTGGGCTTATTTCATTGGTGCAAACAGCTCGTGGGTTGTTATACCAACTATGATCGCCATAAGGAGCTGGAAGAAGATTTGTGCAGCATTTCAAGGTGAAAAGGTGAAGACTAAATAGGCAAAGGGTGCACCTTAGTCACAGTTTGGTTGGAAATTAATAGACATTTGTGCTATGAACAACATCATTGTTCCTGCAATTGAAACCCTTGTGTTACTGAAAAATTGCATTGTACCCTTGGAGGGAACATCAGTGTTAATTGGATGTGACTTTATGCAGCTATTATGTATTGCTGCAAAAGAAATTGGGTTTTGTTTATCCTCTATCATTCAAGCTCGCTCTTCTTTACCCTTGAAGAAATAAAAGGGCAGGGAGTTGCCATTTTGAAAAGCCTGCAGGTTAATTCAGTTTTTCCCTTTTAAAGACAAAACCAATTTCTCTTTGTGCAGACAAGTGAAGAAAGACTGTTAATTGCAAATTGCCGTGCGGATATGTGTCTGTTTCCTTGTGTTCTCTGGTATGTGCGAATTAGCTGGTTTTGCCCTGATGGTCTTGTATAGAATAGGAGTAAATCCCTTGTGTACCTATGAAAACTTCCCTAATCTCCTCTATACCTCCCAATTTTACTCGATCCCCTCTGTACCCCCAAATTTTCGCTTTGATCCCTTCTATACCCCTCCCGTTAGGTTTCCGTTTGATTTGTAACGTAACCTGTGTGTTACATTGTCAGTATTTTCAAAAAATACCAAAATACCCCTGGCAGTGTGAACCCTAGCTAAATAGATCCAGTACCTTCTCTTCTCCCCTATCCTCTCCACGCGCAGGCCGCGCCGCCGGTCTCCAATCGCGAGCGCCGCCGCCAGCCACCGCCCTCCTGTCGCGCACGCCGCCGGCCACCGCCCTCCCGTTGAGCGCGCCGCCGGCCACCGGCCTCCCATCGCGTGCACCGGCGTCCAAGGCTCTCCCGTCGCGCGGTGGGGCGCCGCCGGCCCCCATCCTCCCGTCGCGCGGTAGGGGCACCGCCGGCCCCCGCCCTCCAGTCGCGCGGTGGGGCGCCACCGGCCACCACCCGTCCCGTCGCGCAGTAGGCCACCGCCGGCCGCCCTCCCGTCGCGGGCGCCGCTGTCCAACGTCCTGCCGTCGTGCAGCCAAAGTCCACCACCCTATCATCGTTGCGCGACCCAACACCGCGTACGAGTAGCAGCAATGTAAATTTCTTCTTGCGTATTTAACATTTGCAGTTGATGAGTGATTGATTTCTTGTTCAGAGGAGTGGGTTGTTCATTGGTGTCGGTAAGCGAAACAGTTGAGGCCACCATCCCCTTCTCATGATGCAGTGATGTACTGTTATGGATCTTATGACATTATAATCATGATGTACTGCCCAGTTAACTTGATTTGTCATTTGCAACATTTGTGTATGGAGTGCAAAGTTGGTTTGGTTCCTACACTATTGAGTATGATATGAACTGTCCTGTATGGATGATGGAAATGAGATTGATATGAAGTGCTCTGTATGGATGATGAAAATAAAATTGATAAAGTGCTTTGTATGGTTGCTACTGTTTTGATTGATGATGTATGCTCTTGATGCTCTTACTGATCCGGATTATTTTGTTTCACAAATTTCTATATGGATACTCTTTTCATTTCCTTCCTGCTATTAATGGTGCTAATATTTTTGTATAGATGCTCCAAATTTTTTGCAATGGATTTTCTCCTTTGTCCGCAATAAGTTCCGCTTCCTGTTGACTGTACCAAAATTTTGTACTGAGGAATTTTTTTGATTTTCCAACCCTATTATTTTTTTCAAAACGAAAAGTTTCATGTATTGCATTTTTTCCAATACCACAATAAAAGTTCTAAACTCATTATTAGTCTCATAAATACACATACTGTGCAGTCAACATTTTTTAATTTTTTTTCAATCTACCTAGTACCTGCTGTTGCTCCTCCATCTACAAGGGTATTATCGACATTTGCAATTACACATAACTGGGAAATGAAGAAAACCTAACGGGAGGGGCATGGAAGGGATCAAAGCGAAAATTCAGGGGTACAGAGAGGATCGAGTAAAATTGAGGGGTATAGAGGAGATTGGGCAAGTTTTCATGGGTATACAAGGGATTTACTCATAGAATAGCTATTCTATACCCCCTCTCTCGAGGGCTAAACCCATCTCCCACATCAGTCAAAGGTCGGTCAAAGGCATCTCACGTCAGTCAAACCGCGGTCAAACCACCTGCTAACTCCTCTCACCACCCACCTCTTCTCAGCTCTGTCTCGCGGAACGGTGCAGTAACGCGACAGTCAACGTGCAGTAACACTACGTCTTATGTGTAGTAACAGCACTTAAATAATGTTAAAATATAGTCATGATGGATCTACTTTTGATAAGCGCTTTTTTTCTAGCATCATGGTGCAAACTATTTTAAAAAATAGTACATCACGTGAGAGATATTGTTCTTCAAATCTTGGCTTTTTTAGAATTTGACTCTTCACAAGTAGTAATGCTATAGCATTACTTGTTACTACTGTCAGTTGCACGTTACTACAATCCCACCGCATTGTTACTGTAAGAGTGCAGTAATTGTGTTTTACTGCTTTTTTTTTGGATAGTGTTACTGCATAAACATGTGGTAACGTGTACCTACATTTGCAGTAACACTCCACTTTTGTGTTGTAACAAATATATTTAGCATGTGAGACATTAACCCATATATCCTCCACATGCAGTAACACTATAGCATCATTGTGAAAACGGTTTTAAAAATAATACATATCTTGTGAGATATTGCTTTTCAAATATTGGCATTTTGAACTTTAGCACTCCATATGCAGTAACAGAATATGTAATTTGCAGTAACATGGGTATATACATGCAGTAACATGGTTTTACCAAATGTATAAAATTGTTCAAAACACTCGTACATCAATCAGACCTCACTAAAAGCCACCTACAGACTTTACCTATAGCCCACCTATTCGATTTTCATCTCGTAAAACTGACATAGTAAAACTACGATTATCGTGCAGTAACATAACTACTTGGAAGTGGTAACATGCACCTATTATGTGGTAACACTTCTACTTTTGTGCAGTAACAAATATGGTTAGCATGTGAGACTTTAACCCAATAATTTTTTAGAAATGGCGCATTTTTTCTTACATTTTTTTCCTTGCATGTTTTTTTAAAAAATTTACCGACGATGGAAATAATATTTCTTGCACGTTTTTTTAATGGAAGATGGAAAACCTTTTTAGCATTTTTTTGCGCTTTTTTCTCACGTATTTTTTTGAACCGTTTTTATTTTTCTCGTGCATTTTCTTTTTTTAAATAGTTAGATTAGATTAGAGATAGAGAAGAGATATATACTGATTAGAAATCGAAATCTGTTTCGCCCTTTCCATTTTTTTCTCGCGTGCATTTTTTTACGAACCATTTTTTTCTCCACTTTCTTAGGGAGAATTTTTTTAGATGTTTTTTCAGATTTTTTCGCCTTTATAGGAATCAGACTTTATTTTTCCGTTTTTAAAGGAATCGGATCTGGCCTTTATTTTTCACCACTTTTTTTTTTGCCTTTTATAGGAATCGGATCTACGGTTTTTTTTCGCCACTTAAGGGAAACAAAATTTTATTGTTATTGTTTTTCTTTTTTTTTCTTTTTTCCCTTTCTTTTTTGTAGTTTTTCTTTTTCTTTTTATGCACCTTTATACCCTTGTTCTCTCCCTTTTATTATTTTTTCTTAAAAAAAGACCTCAAGTATCTTATTGCAAGATTATAGGGACTCAAATGTAAATATAAAAATTATAGGGACTTAGATAGAAAAGTACAAACCCAAAAATTAAAATCATATAAAAATAGAATGATCTTCAATCTGGCTCATCAATTTTTTTCACCAAGATGTATGGGATATCACGGTATAGATTGAAACTGAGAGGAATGTGCCTGGGATCTCGGACTCAAACTTTTTTTCGCTATTTATTTTGTTTTGATGGGAGTCGGACCTGAGAGGGAGTCGGACTTTTTTTTTTAACAGACGAAGGAAACATATCTTATTTTTTAAGTAAGTATATATATAAAAGATATGTTTCCTTCGTCTGTTTAAAAAAAAAAGTCCGACCCCCCCCCCCCCCCCCACACACACAGATCAACAGGTATTTGAGTTGAAGTTTTTTTGTGATTAATGAAGCATGCCAATTTCAAATAGAAGGGCAAAATGCAACTAAATCAGCTGGGGTCCCCAAGTTCAATCTACAGTCTGAGATTGGAGGAACCGAAAAAGGAAAACGTGGTCGGCAGGATTCGAACCTGCGCGGGCAGAGCCCACATGATTTCTAGTCATGCCCGATAACCACTCCGGCACGACCACTTGGTGAAATACGATGAACTCTTTATCTAATTAAGTAAAGTAGTAAGTACATTATTATTATTGTGATACTTGACCTAGTAGACTACTAGAAAACCCAAAAAAAGGGGATGTTAAGAGTGGGATTTGAACCCACGCCCTTTCGGACCAGAACCTTAATCTGGCGCCTTGGACCAACTCGGCCATCTCAACTTTCCTGGCCGCATATTTAGTACTAATTAATTGGTGAAAGAGGGACGGTTTAGGACGGGATTCGGTGCATATTCATGGTGCTAGTCGACCATCTCGATCTCTAGTGTTTTTTGTGGTCAAGACTTTTATGCCATGGTTTATTTTTCATCTTGAAATTAAGTATAGAAATCTATCTATCTATTATATTATTAAAGAAATAGAAAAAGAGCCTCCACGTTCGCCCTCATGGCCTAGAAATTCTCACATTAATCAGAGAAAAAGAAAAGGCAGAGTTCATATAGAAATACAATTTAGAAATAACTAAAATTCGGAATTAAAAAATAAGGAATATTAGAATAGGAGACTAGAGTCCATATAGAAATACAATTAGGAAATAACTGAAATTCGGAATTAAAAGTAAGGAGTATTAGAAGTAGAGTATAGAGTCCATATAGAGATACAATTAAGAAAAAAAATAGAAATTCGAAATTAAAAAATAAGGAATATTAGAAGTAGCGTATAGAGTCCATATATGAATTTAAAACTAACTAAAATTCGGAATAAACACAATAAATTTCCTTATACCTGATCGATCGGATACTACGCAACATCACGATCGACATGCTTCGATCAGCAGCCAAGTGTCCGTACGTTCTGTAACAGCAAGACCTAAAGCGCCAGAACCTTCTGCTAATGACTTTAGCTGATTAACGGATATATATTCCCATCATAATAAAAGGGCAAGAGCTAGCCTCCCACTGACAATATACAGCTAATAATAACTAGGAATCGCTGAACAGAGTATACTCAGAATAATTTATACATCAAGTATCTACGAATTGCCGCAGTTACAGTTGCAAGATAAAAAAATCAAAAAATGTCTAAGTCTGGATTACTTTTTAATTAGCTTACCTGATTTGTGGAAAAGTGCCTCCTCATTATTATCTTTACAAGTAATAATGCAATTATGAGGAACTGCAATTGCAAAGTTGATATAGCATAAATATACGAAAATGCTACACACACGACTGGATCGTCCGACTTTTGTCCGACTACGGAGTACGCAGCAACGTTAACGTGCGGAACGTCGATCTTCGTGGGCTGTAGGCGTGCAGAACCTACAAACTTGTTGGCCCTTCGCTTCGAAATGCTAAGTCTAATTTCAATCGACAGATTAAACAAGACATTAGCATGTTTATTTTTATGCAATGATTGGACAGTACAGTATACTTCGTGCTTTATGGTTTTTGATGTCACTGTACTTTTTTTTGTGTGTGTATATGCGCGAAAAACAGAATATTAAGATAGCAAGCTTTGGATTTAGCTTGACGAAATTCAGGCAGAAGCTGCGCGTAGCGACGTGCTCAGCCGTTCCAGTCGTACACACTGGTCGGACGGAGGAGTCGTACGTATAGCAGGGTTGATAAATATATCATTACCACGCTTGAAGCTAGCGTGTGCCATATGCTGCAAAACTCATCGGCGTACTCCAATAGTTTAGGTAGCACTATGTAGGAGTAGATCAATAAAAAAGAAGATATTGGATGCCCTTAATTTGTTTGATTGATCAATATAATGTCACTTAGCAGATACTACTAGTACTAGACTGTAGTGGTGTAGAAATACTATGAACTAGTTATGTGGGGTGGTGGGGGGCTTGATCCTGTACTTGTAGGCTTTGGCGAAGTAGATGAAGACGATGAGGTTGATGGTGCTGAGCACGGCGAGGAGCCAGTAGAAGTAGTCGAACTTGCCGACGTTGATGTTCTGCGCGAGCCAGGAGGGGCGTCCGGCGTCGATGTCGCCGGTGATGGAGTCGACGGCGGTGTTGATGGCGGTGGCTAAGAAGCAGCCAAGGCCGCCGGCGAGGGCGGCGTAGGCGGAGGCGAGGCTGCGCATGGCGTCGGGGGCCTCCTGGTAGAGGAACTCGAGGAGGGCGACGAGGCAGAAGACCTCGGCGAGACCGATGAGGCAGTACTGGATGAGGAGCCAGTAGGCGCTGAGGCCCGGCATGGGAGTGAGGAAGAGCGGGAGGAAGCCATGGCGGATGGCGTAGGCGCGGCGGTAGCGCTCGAAGAGGCCAGCCCAAGCGACGGAGAGGGTGGAGAGGAGGAGGCCGAGGCCGAGGCGCTGCAGCTGGGAGGCGCCGTGCGGGTGGCCGGTGAGGCGGCGGGCGAGCGGGGCGAAGGCCCTGTAGTAGAGGGCGAGGAGGAGGAGGATGGCGAGGCAGGGGAAGACGGGCATGCACGCCACGGGGAGGCCCCTGGTGTTGAGGGTGTACGCCTGCTGCACCGACAGCGTCAGGAACTCCGTCAGCACCACGCTCAGCATCACCGTGCACGCCGACACCGGCGCCAGCCGCACCAGGATCTTCACCTCCTCCACCTGGGTCACAGTGCAAAGACGCCATGGGTTATTGATTTCTTCTTGGCCCTCCACCCTCACCGCCGCCTTGTCCAGCCACCTCAGCTCCTCCGTGTGCTCGATCTTGCCGCTCCCGCGCACCGCCGACTTGGCCCCGCCCACCTCGTACAACAGTTCCGTGGTGTGCTTGATGTGACGCTTCCTGTAGGCCGCCACTAGCACCTGCGCCACCCTCGTCAGCGGGCTTCCCCCCGGCACGCGGTGGCGGTACAGCGGCGTCCCCATGAAGAAGAGCGCGTTGGATGCGGCCATGGCCAGCGCCAGCGCCCCGAACGCCGCCGCCCACCCGTGGTTCCTCTGCACGTACACCAGCAGCGTGAAGGCCGCGATGGCGCCCACGGTGACGGCCAGGTAGAAGAGGTTGAAGAAGCGGTCCAGCACCGGGCTCCGCTCCTCGAACTGGTCCGCCCCGAAGGAGGAGACGCAGGGGCGGATCCCGGCGGCGCCCAAGGCGGTGGTGTAGAGCGCGGCGTAGAGGTAGGCCATCTGCCAGGGGTGCGGCTGCTGGCACTTGCCCAGCAGCTTGGCGAAGCCGTCGCACTCGTCCTGGCCCGGGGCCTGGAGGGCGGGCATGGTGGCGCAGAGGGTGAGGGCCACGAGGCCCAGGAGATAGAGGGTGGTGAAGGCGGCGATGGTCCAGTAGCGCCCGAGGTAGGCGTCGGCGAGGAAGCCGCCGAGGAGGGAGGAGGCCTGGGAGATGCCGAGGAAGTTGTTCACGGCGTTGGCGGAGGCGGCGAAGGGGCGGTGCATGACGTTGAACATGAAGATGACCATGTTGAGGGACAGGCCGTAGTAGGCCATCCTCTCCGCCATCTCGTTCCCGAAGATGAAGACCGCCGCCACCCACCCGCCGGTGCGCGCCAGCTCCGCCGACCCCATCGGCGACCCCCGGATGTCCACAACACCAACACCACCATCATCATCGATATCTCCTTGGAAGTGGGAGGAGAGCTTGTTTCTCCTCATCTGCATCTGGGGACTAGTACTAGTCATCTCATTCTCATCTGCTGGAATTGGATGATGATCCATGTGATGTCTCCTCGATCAATATGGAAGAAGCAAGCGGCCGGCCGGATCGTCGACGGCGGCTCAAATCAACTGATCTGAATTGAATACTACTCCCTCCGTTCCATAATATAAGAGATTTTGAGTTTTTGCTTATAACATTTGACCACTCGTCTTATTCAAAAAATTTTAAAATTATTATTTATTTTATTTGTGACTTAATTTGTCATCTACGTACTTTAAGCACAACTTTTCGTTTTTTATATTTATAAAGAAAAATTTGAATAAGACGAGTGGTCAAACATTACAAAGTAAAAACTCAAAATTATATTATGAGACGTATGGAGTACAAGAAAATGATGTTGGGGCAGTGCGGAGCTGTCATTTTAGTTTGTTAATGGGGGTAGTCGTAGATAGTAGTACAGAAATACAGGTAGCATGCAGCAGCATCAATATTCAATGAGCGCGCCACAAGCAGAGGAGAGGAGATGAACCACCAACGCCCTTCCCTGCCCTGCCTGTACTCTACTGCTCCCTCCGTAACAAAAATAAGTGCAGCCATGATTTTCCGCGTCCAATTTTAATCGTTCATCTTATTTGAAAATTTTTTAAAAAAATTAAAAATATAAGTCATGAGTACAGTACTATTCATATTTTATTATCTCATAGTAACAAAAATGCTAATTATAAAAAAAATTCAAATAAGACGGATTATTAAAGTTGAGCGCGGAAACTCAAGACTGCACTTATTTTGAGACGGAGGTTGTACTACTTGTGCTACCTGCAATGCACAAATGCTGGGAACGACCAACCAACAAATGCTCTACTAAAACAACAGCTAAGCTGCAAAACAAAACAAAAATAAGTACTCCAATGTTTGACGCCATTGACTTTTTAGCACATGTTTGACCGTTCGTCTTATTCAAAAAATTTAAGTAATTATTAATTCTTTTCCTATCATTTGATTCATTGTTAAATATATTTTGATGTAGGCATATAATTTTACATATTTCACAAAAGTTTTTGAATAAGACGAACGGTCAAACATATGCTAAAAAATCAACGGTGTCAAACATTTTGAAACGGAGGGAGGGAGTACTACTTCGGCTGTCCCATAATATAATAATCTATGATCAAATATGATATTAGATGGTACAATGAATATGAATAAATTTTCTAATCAAAATCTTTGTAACATGTAAATATTCTATCTAATTATAGGTTGTTATAATATAAGACGGAGAGAGTAAGTAAGTTCCATCAATTAGTCGATGAATGAAATGGAACGGGGTTTGCAACACGGGAAAGGACATTAATAATGTAGGCTGTGTGTTTAGGTCGTGTGTCAAAAAAAAATTTTAAGTATACGGACACATATTTGAAATATTAAACGTAGACTAATAACAAAACAAATTACAGATTCCACCTGTAAACTGCGAAACAAATCTATTAAACCTAATTAATCTGTCATTAGCATATGTTTACTGTTACACCACATTGTTAAATCATGGCGTAATTAGGCTTCAAATATTTGATGTGATGGAAATGTTAAAAAGTTCGAAGAAAAAAAAAGTTTGAAACTGAACACGGCCACATTGGGATACTCCATTTGTACTGTAATCGGGAGATTAAGGTTGGTTCCGTTCATAGGACAGTCCGGGCAGGGCAAGGGCAGCAAAGCAATTTAATTTGGTCCTACGTACTAGTACTGCATACGGAGGATGCATGTCTATAGATCTTACATCAGTTATTGATTTGTCGGTAGCCAGCCGCCGATGGATGAATCGATTAATACTCGCTCGTGGACGGCGTTGACTTTTTAAAACATGTTTGACCGTTTGTCTTATTTAAAATTTTTTGTGAAATATGTAAAACTATATGTATATATAAAAATATATTTAACAATAAATCAAATGATAGGAAAAGAAATAATAATTACTTGATTTTTTTAATAAGACGAACGGTCAAATATTTTTAAAAAAATTAACGGCGTTAAACATTTTAGGAGGGAGGAAATAGGAGTATTAATAGAGGGAACATCTGCCGATCGATGTTTATGCATCATAGTGGTAGGTACGCACGGCATGACAAGAAGAAAGGCATGCGATGATGCACAACAAGTTGAAGGCAATACATGCATGTTGTGATGTTCAACAAGAAATTACTAGCTACACCTCTAGTTTTGCTAGCTAGTGGCGATTGATACGATGCACGTACTACACACACGTATATATATATATTAGCTGTAGTACTCCCTCCGTTTAATAATATAAGGGATTTTGAGTTTTTGTTTGTAACGTTTGACCATTCGTCTTATTTAATTTTTTTTTTACAAATATAAAAAACGAAAAGTTGTGCTTAAAATACTGTAGATGATAAAGGAAGTCACAAATAAAATAAATAATAATTTTAAAAAATTTTGAATAAGATAAGTGGTTAAATGTTATAAGCAAAAACTCAAAATACCTTATATTATGGGACGGAGGGAGTAGTAAGTACGGGCGATTATATTGAAGGAAGGATCTAAGATAATCCAGTGCGACATGCGTGCTTCAACCGAAGGGACATTTAACTCCATGCCAATTTTAAGATGTGACAATTAATTATTTATCACTCGCTGTTTATGACATGTGGATTCTCATATGTCTATGACATAGACATATGGATCCAGTAACAAATCATTTAGCCATCCGTAAGAATGGCAAATAATTAATTAATCCTCAACCGGACCTTCCGTCTTGAAATAATCCAGTACGAATTACTACTACTAACTTGCTAGCAGTATATTTTAAGATGGATATGTAGCTAGTACTACTAACTTGTACAGTAGGAGTATTGTATAATGCCTTCGTTTCGTTTCGTTTCATCCGGCCGGGTTGACTGATCAATTGATCGCCGTCGATCGATTTAATATTTAGGCCTTGTTCGGTTAGATAAGGATTCAATCTGGGTCATAAATGATAATTGTAGTAAAAAAATTATGATAGATAGAACAAGGGACCGAGATTTATTTCAGACCGGAAATTAATTTACTCATAATAGGAATAATAAGAGGTGTGGAACTAATCTAAATATTTTTGTTGTACCTAATATGAGTAAATTGGTTCCCGAGCCAAAATAAATCTCGATCTCTAGTTATACTTATTATAAATTTATTGTTATACCTATCATTTTCAGCCTGGAACGAATTCTTCGTAACCGAACAAGGCCTTAATTGGAATTGATGAATCATCCATCACTCCATGGCTCCATGCAACTAGCTAGGAGCTGCTGTTGTGGTGGTATACTCCTGCAACCAACACGTACTTGTACAAGTTGGTTGGTGTAGTGGAGGAGCCACTACCACTCGTAGTGCTAGTGCCTGCACCACCACTCAAAATGCCACCAAATGGACTCGATATGAATGAGTTGACCAATACACCTGTCTCTCTTTCTCTGACCTCGATTAAGAATTCTTGCTGTTTGCTTTCGCTTCTTGGCTGCTAAAAACTGTGATAATCCTCTCCTACCATATTTACTTCGATAACGAACCATCCCACTATTTTCTAGCCAGTAACAAATCAAAATATTACACATTGATTATAAATACTTATGTGTATAAATACATACATCAATATCAACTTACTTCAATACACAAATAACAAATATATTTAATAAATAAATATAAATATAATGATCATTTAAAAATAACCTTAAAAAAATTATATGATCATCATTTTGTAACGGAGAGAGTACTATGTGTGTGTGTCAATCCATCACATATATGGTTAATACATTCACGTACGACTGTTCTTTGATAGCTAGTAAAAAAAATAATTCACGACTGATACAGCTACCGGTCTCCTTAATTGCTGATGCTGCTGCTCTCTCCTAGTCCCTAGTACATTCCTCTTGTGAGGGAGGGAATAATTAATATTTTTTAGGCTTTGACTTATTTAGAGCAAGTATAGTGAAGCACAGTTAGCCGGCGAAATAACTGACCACGTCACCCAAATCTGAGGTGGAAGAGAGAGAAATCCTAATAGAGAATAGGACGAGCGATTGGTGAGACGCTCGCTTGAAGCAGCAGAACCGAGATAAAAAGCTTCTTCTCAGCCTGCTGCATGCGACTAAGCCAGCAGCTCCTTCTCTCCCATTTGCTACTAGTACATGCAAGCATTAACTCTTATAGCCAACCTCTACGCCAGTTCACTATCTGCAATGACCTTCTCAAATGCTTAAAGTGACATGGCCACCCTATTGCGCCAGCTGCCGACGAAACCATTAACCATGCTCTTATAAGTTAAACATTTTAAAAAATAATAATTAAATTTATAGGAAAACATCATTGTCGGAGCGAGAATCCTCACACTCCATCGATGGCTCGGGGCACCACGGGAGCAAAGTGGGAGTTGACGGACAAAGGTGACCCGAGGACAACAGTAGCCTTAAGACAAGCTTTCATTACCTCGGAACCCCTACGGCCGCTGCATATGGGCCATGGCCCCAAGGATAGCGCCAGGAGGTCTCTCTGAACGAATTTGCTTCGTTAAGGAGATTTGATATCCGGTCCTACGTGTACTCCCTTAGCCTGTCATTCTGCATTAATTGTCGGGTAATACAGTTTCTATGAACATATCACTGGCGATGTGGGGGATATGGCCGTGCATGCTTCGCCTTGCTTGCCCACGTCACCCCGGAGTAAAAGATGTGTGACGCGCATTTGCTCCGTATTCACCTGATGGACCCCTCTTTTTACCAACGTCGTGGGCTGATAGGTGGACCCTTCACATCCGGTCACCCTGCTTGGAGGGACAGCAATAAGACCAAGCATATCAACCCCTATGGGTTGGGGCCCTTTTTTTTATGCATGCATGGGACTACGGACTCCCCTTGACGTATAAAAGGAGCATCCGTGCCACATAGAAAGGGATCGGACTCAAGCAAAGTTAGTTTCTAGCCACATTACAATGAACAAGGGTTCATCCTCTCTCACTTAGACAATGAAGAAGAGTTCATCCTCTCTCACTTAGAACAACCCAATCATCTCCTTGTAAAGTTCATTATCCATAGCAATATCACATGAGTATGTGTATTATGTTTTCGAGCGGCATCTGTATAAACCACTTGTCTCCAACCCCACACGCAAACCGAGTACGAGCTCGGAACCTGCACACTAGCAGAATTCTCAAGGGAGGGTACTTTGCCTTCCCACTAGAAGAGCTTATTGCTTTGACAATAGCAATATTTTTAACAGAAAACAAACATACTATCAAAATGTATTTTATGCTACATTTAATAAAAATAATTTGATGTCATAGATAGTGTTTAGTTTTTCTATAAATTTGATCAAGCTAAAAAATTAACTAAGAAAAAATAAGTCAAATATGGAAGGGAGGGAGTATGACTAAGGAGGAGAAAGGGAATGAAATCAAATCCGATTAATGGTATGCCGGATAGGGCCTTCCCTGGCCCAATCCACAGCAGAATTCAGCATGGAGCCCAACCTCCCGTCCCCCATTCCCCTTCTCCATCTCATCTCACTCCCAACACTCTCTCTCCTCGCTGCCGCTGCCGCCGCCGCCGCCGCCGCCGCCGCACACACGCGCCGGAAATGAAGAAGATCTTTGGAGCCAAGAAGAGCAAGGACCCGCCCCCATCCATCCAGGACGCTACCGAACGAGTATTCTCCTCGTCTAGGCCATTTGCTCGCACGCCATCTCTCTTAGTTTGAACATTTCCTCTCTATGTGTATGTGATTGAAGATCAACAAGAGGGGGGAGAGCGTGGACGACAAGATCAAGAAGCTGGACGAAGAGCTCGGCCGTTACAAGGAGCAGATCAGGAAGACACGCCCTGGACCCTCCCAGGACGCCATTAAGGCCCGCGCCATCAGGCTTCTCAAGCACAAGCGCATGTACTCTACTCTACTCTTACTCACTATTCTACTACTAGTAGAGTATTTGCTACTACTCCACTATGCAACTCTGATGAATGTACGTTGCCTGTTTCAAGGTACGAAGAACAGCGCAACATGCTCTACAACCAGACCTATAATCTCGACCAAGTCGCTTTCGCTGCCGATGGCCTCAAAGACGCTCAGCAGACCGTACGTACTACTCCACATATATAGCCCGCCTTGTTTGTTCCTACTGTCTCCATGTCTATGAATTATTGCCGAACCATTCTTTTGTTTGTTAATTTATCGATTCCTCAGATGAATGCCATGAAGGCCGCCAATAAAGAGCTCAAGGGAATGATGAAGACAGTCAAGATTGAGGACATCGATGTATGCTTCTCTTTCTCTTTAGTTGCTACTTACTACAGCTACCTTACCAAGATATTCCTTCCTCATGTGCATTTCTTTATCAGGTGCTACCATTTGAGCTGTCCCCATCCTGTGTTTTGTATCATGCCCATTCCTTGAAAAAAACTTGCTGTCAAATCTTTTCTTTTTTATATATTGAAAGGGAAAAACCTGCTTATAGATTTTTCATAACCATGCAAACAGACCAATTGTTCTCTCAAGGACAATTGCTCCAGTGCAGATATTTTATTGGGCATTGCATTCCTAGTTTCAGACGCTATCCTTCATTACATTTCAAGCTAATCTGCAGGATTTGCCTATTGTTTAGATCATCAACACATTTTACACCAGTATATCCATTGATTTACAAGAAAACCATACAAAAACCACAATTGTCAATCTTTTTTAAGTGCGGTTATCAACCGCCCTTGAAATTGCTTGTTGGACTATCTTGAGTATTATCATCTTTTTTCGCGTAAAACGAATGCCCTGATCCACCTGTAGAATATGCAAGATGAAATGACTGACCTGATGGATGTGAGCAACGAAATACAAGAATCCCTTGGTAGAAGCTACAACATCCCTGACGATGTTGATGAGGAAGAACTAATGGGAGGTATGGACGCTGTACCATCAGTTGGCCAATTGGAAAATGATGGTTGGCAATTTACTTGGCATTATTGTCATTCATAGGCATCTGGAAGTAATAACATAGATTCATGCCATAAATTGCCTAGCTTGTTGCCATGCCTTCATTCTTCCTGGGACCATTGCAGGGCTGGAGATAATAATCTATCTACTGTCGTTGTTTCTTGAACATTGCAGAACTGGATGCTTTGGAGGCTGATATGGAGTTTGAGTCAAGTGCAGTCCCATCGTATCTTCAACCAGACAAGGAATCCGATTTCGATGCAGAGCTTAATTTGCCAGCTGCACCTACCGCTCCTGCAGCAGTCCCAGTAAGCAGGCAGCAGGTTAGTTTATATTATTGTTATTTTTATTCAGATGCTTGCTTTGTCATGATGATTCGAGAACTATCTAGTCCCATGTATGTACTAGAGGAATGAATGATGAATTTTCCTTTCCTTTTTTCTTAAGAAGTTGTTATTCATGAGTTAGCAGTGTCTGTTGTTCACTATCCCAAGTTCAAATATTCTTGCATAGACTAGGTGCATTGTTGATCAACAGCTAAAACAACCATGTTTTGTATGAACCAATTAGATTGGTCCGTAGTTTACCTGTTTTAAGCTTGTACTGAATGTTGCCTGGTGCTATCTGGTGCAGGTGGATGAGCTAGGATTGCCAGCAGTCCCTCGAGCATCAATCCGCAGTTAGAACAGTAATTCATGTACCTTTGCTTGTGATTGGCATTGACGTGAGAACCCATTGCTATGCAATTGCAGTTGAACAATTAATCTGTGTATGTGTTTCTCTTCATGAGTCGCCTTGATTTGTTAAACCGAGCTTGCAGTCTTATATCTTCCACTCTGCCTTTTAGAAAAGGGGATTTCGAGTTGTGATGGGTTGAGGTTGATTAGATGCATCATATGATGCTTTGTCGGTGGTGGTGGTTCTTTCAATTTGGAATACTGTCCTAGTGTCATTGGAAGCGTGCTTGGTTGCAAGTACAACATCAATAGGTTGCCTGCTTCTGCTTGCTTGCCACCTAAAAATTGTACAAAGTATTCTTTCTAGTGGATTGTGCAAAGAAAAGAGAAGGTGAACAGGGAGGGAAGAAGAAAATATCTCGGAGGTAGGTTGTTTTCTTACTGCAACATCAACTGCATGCTGTCCTTTTTTGGCTGTGCCTGTTTTGCAATTTTGTAAGAATTGAGGTAAGATAAGTATGAAGAGATAGGGTAGAAATATCTTTACAAGAGTACAAAGATGCGGGGCATTGGGGGTGGGGCCCTGTAGCGAGCAAGCCAAATGGGAGAACACCACATATCAGCTGAATCTTATCCATAGAAAAGAGGGAATTGAAGGGGCAGGAAGGATATCCCGGCCTTGTGGCACACTTGACTGGAGATGTATAAAGAGAGGAGGATGTGAAGAAAGAAGATATCTACCACCAAGCTAATTAAGCAAAAGAAGAAGAAGAAGAAAGAAGAAGAAGAAGATGCAGACCGCTGCTAGCAGTGTCGTTGGATTGTCGGCCGTGTTGCCCGCTGCTGTGAAGGGGCGCAGCCTGCAGATTCAGGCTCCTCGCCGTGTTGCGTTGCGCGTTCGTGCGGCGGCGGCGGCGGTGGCAGTGGAGGCTGCGGAGGTGGACTACAGCTCTAACATCTCGTAAGTACTACAATTGTCTGTCTATACATGATGCATCTATCGATTGATCCTAGCCTAGGCACCAATTATGTTTGTACCAAACTCACCATTGCATTGTGCACTGCAATGCAACTCATCATACCATTACTAGTAGTATATAGTACAGTATATGCCATGAAGTGAAATTGACTACTGCGCGCAGGGTGTTTCCGATGGAGGCGTGCGACCTCATCGGCGGCGAGGCGTGCAACGTGCAGATGTACCCAGAGGCCAAGCTCTCATCATCGGCTGCTGTTGCTGTTTCTCGTGCGGCGGCGGAGGAAGTCGACAGGGACTACCTATCCTACGACGAGCCCACCACGTAATTAATTAAGCTCTACTACTATACTACCCAACTGATGAAATCTAGTGTAACTAACTGGAACTGAAATCGGAAAACACAAAATTGCACGCAGGGTGTTCCCCGAGGAGGCGTGCGACGATCTGGGCGGAGAGTTCTGCAAGGCCACCTGATCCCATTCCCATCCATGGAGAATTGGAGTCTTCTATCATCCTTCCTCCTCTGCTCCACTACCTTAATTCCATGTAGCTACAGATTTATATGTTAATCATCATGTAATGGTACATATCTCCTTGTTAATAAGGCACGCTAGTCTAGCTCCTCAAAATGATTTACAATAATATAATATTTACATACATATAATACACTTACTCCATCGAACAATACCTCTGTTATCTCATGGTTACTTCCCATGATCCCATCATCAACACCAACATTCATCACACTTTGCTGCGTTAGAGCAGGTACAATGGCAGGCTATAAGCCAGCTACAAACATATTTTACGAAGATAAATCAAGAGAGAGAAGAGCAACGGGCTACAGATTTGTAGCCAGCTGTAGCACGGACTCCAAGACGCAGTGTGTCTATGACAGGTGGGACTAGATATTAATAGTGTAGTATGTAACTATTGTATGAATGGGCTATTAGATTGACTATAGATGAATTGGAGCTAGTAGTTGGCTATACTATTGAACTTGCTCTTATATAGCAACAGGTACAGTATATGAATTAATTATCTCACAACTATTGGAAAGTTGGCGCCAGAAAACTGAGGGAGCACTGAAACAAATTTGTTGTGCGGAAACATTTATATTAAAAAAAACATATATTATGGACATATGTGATTACCTATAGATCAGCTCTAATCTGCGCCGGCCTCTCCGTCGTACTTGGGACCTGCCAATCCAGATACCTGTCAATGTTATCAAAACTACCTCCAGGGCAGACAACAGTGTCCAGAGAAGGCTATTCACCTAGACCAGGAGCAAATACATCATCCGGATACTTCCTCCGGTTATTCACCTAAAGCATTTCCCCTCGCTTGTTGTCATGGAGGCAATATGACAATATGAGTCATGGACGCTTTGCCAAACTTACCTGGAATCAATCAGCAACGGGCCGGAGCACAATATATGTCGATACCTGCTGCATAGTGCATACACTAGTGAGTACTATATGACAAAGAAATTGAAGTGTGACGCCAACACTATAACTCGTGACATTATATAGGCTGGAGATAAATATTTATGCATGTCTTTCCGAACGCAATAACTATATTCACGAATTTTTGTGTGTAACAATCCCAAAGCTAATATCCTTGAAATTTTGGGCAAGAGAACAATATTCATGCATTTTATTTTCCAAAATTTGAATACTCATCAATTTCCCCCAAGGCAAGAACTCACGAAAGTTATAGACCGAAGGAAAAAAAAAACTCCTACGTCTAATATTCACGATTTTTGTGAATGCTAATAGTGCTAAAATTTTAGGCTGTAGAACATTATTCATGCATTTTGTTTTCAAAAGGTTAATATTCATAAATGTTGGCCAAAGGTTATAACTCACAAAATTATAGGGCGAAGGCTAAAAATCACGAAATGTTTGGTCCTAAGGTTAGCATTCATGAATTCTATGAAGAATGGTTTCAAGGCAATACTCTTCAAATTTGGGTCGGAGAAAATTATTCATGATTTTTTTTCAGAAGTTTGATATTCAACAATTTTTTCGAAGGCTATAACTCACAAAATTATAGGCCGAAGGCTAAAATCACAAAATTATAAGATATAAGGTTAATATTCATAAATTTTATGTGCGTCGATCCCAGTGCAAATACTCATGAAATATTGGAGTGAAAAAAATATTTATGCATTTTCCCCAAAAGATCATGAAATAATAGGCCAAAGGCTAAAAAATATCGAATTTTCTTCATCCTAAGGTTAGCATTCACGAATTTTATGTAGAAATGTTTCAAGGCTAATACTATTGAAATTTTCGGTCGGAGAAATGTTTTAAAATCATGAAATTTTTGTCCTAATGTGTACATTTGTGAATTTTATCCGCAATGACGCCAATGCTGGTTGTTGTGAAATATGGCATGGAGAACAATATTCAAGGGTTTTTTTCTCAAAGGTTCATAGCAAGGAAAGTTTGGCAGAAGCCCGAAGGATATATATCATGAAATTATAGGTTGAAGGGCAAAACATATATTTTTTTATCGTAATATTAATATTGAATTATTTTGTTCTGAATGGGCCCAAGGCAAATATTCGTGAATTTTTGGGATAGAGATAAATATTCATTTATTTTTCTAAAACTTAATACTCATGAATTTCGGCCAAAGCCTAAAAAATATGTTATCTGATTTGTTGGGTCGGAAAAAACTATTTATTCCCCCCCCAAAAAAAATCCTTTAATTTTCACGGATTTTGTTGCTAGAGAAAAATATTCATGCATTTTTCTCAGATCATTAATACCAAGCCGGAAGCTAAAAAAATGACTTTTAAATCCAGAGGTTAATGTTCATGAATTTTGTTCCAAATAAGCCCAACTCAGATACTCTTGAAATTTTGGACCATAGTTCATGCATATTTTCCAATGGTTAATACTTAGGAGTTTTAGTTGAAGGATATAACTCACGAAATCATTGGATGAACGATAAAAAATCATAAAACATTTGGTCCTAAGTATATTACTCATGGATTTTATGCTCAACGATCGACGAAAAGTATTCATGCATTTTTCCCAAAGGTTATTACTCATATATTTGTTGAAGGTTATAAATCACAAAATTTTCCCCTAATTTTTATTGTGTGCAGCAACCACAATGATAATACTAATGTATTTTTGGGCCAGAGAGAAATACTGATAATATGTCAGAGAGAAAGGTTAATGCTCATCAATTTTTGCCGAAGGCTATAACTCCCGAAATAATATGTCAGGCTAAAAACCATGAAAGTTTTGATCCTAACTTTAACATTCACATTTTTCTCTCTCCAAGTGGGCCAATGAAAATGCGCGTGAAATTTTGCGATGGGATAAATATTCATGTTTTTTTCCAAAGGTTAATACTCATGGATTTTGCTCGAAGGCTATAAGTCATGAAATTATAGATCGAACGATGAAAATCATGAAATGTTTGGTCCTAACAATAATATTCATGAATTTTGTGTCGAACGATCCCAATAGTTGTACTGATAAAATTTTGGATTGAGAAAAAAATATTCATGCATTTATTTTCCAAAAGGTTAATAATACTCACATATTTTTCTTCGAAGGCTATAACTCACAAAATTATTGGATGACCGCTAAAAATCACAAACCTTTTGCTCAAAAGGTTAATGTTCACGAATTTTGTGTGCAGTGACTACAATGCTAATACCATGAAAATTTTGGTTGGAAAAAAAATTGATTCATCCCCCCTCCCCCCCAAGGATAATACCCATCAGTCTTAGCTAAAGGCTATAACTACCGAAATTATATACTGGAGGCTATAACCTCCGGTATTTATCTCCAGCCCAAAATTTCATGAGTATTTGCCTTGGGTCAGTTCGGGATAAATGTTAGTATTCATGAATTTTTTTGTTTCGATTGGGCCCAAGGCAAATACTCAAGAAATTTTTGGCCGGGAATAAATATCCGTGCCATATATTCTCCCAAGGCTATAACTCATAAAACTATATGCCGATGGATAAAAATCTTGATTTTTTTGTCATGACGTTCATATTAATGAAACTTTTTTGAACTGACCCAAGGCAAATACTCATGAAATTTTGCGCTGGAGATAAATATGCGTATGGTTTCCCCAAAAGGTTAATACTCTTTAATTTGAGTAGAAGGCTATAACTCACAAAGTTATAGTGCAAAGGCTAGAAATCATGAAAATTTTACTCCTTAGTGCGACGACCCTAATGATAATACTTGTGAAATTTTGGAACAGAGAGCAATATTCATGCGTTTCTTTTTTCCCAAAAGGTTAATACTCGTCAATTTTTGCTAAATTCTATAATTCACGAAATTATAGGCCGACTAAAATTCATGGAATTTTTTTTATAATAAGGTTAATATTCAAGAAATGGGCCTGAGATAAATATCAAGAAATTTTGGGTCATAAATAAATATTCATGTATTTTTTTTCAAAGGTTTATACTAATAAATTTTGCTTGAGGGATATAACTCATGAAATTATAAGGTGAAGGATAAAAAAATCATAAAATTTGATGTTGTAGCGTTAATATTATTTTCCATAGGCCTAAAATAATTCCGTGTTTTTTAAAAGGTTAATATTAAAATTTTCACGAGCATTAAAAATATGATCGATGATTTTTATAATTCATGAGCTATAACTCATGAAATAATACGCAGGGGGCTAAAAATCATGTATTTCTTTGCCCTAAGGTTATTATTCATGAATTTTGTTTCGTATGGGCCCAAGGCAAATAGTCGTAAAATTTTGGGTGAGAAATAAATAACCACACATGTTTTTTTTCCAAAGTTTATTACTTATAAATTTTGGCCAAAGGCTATAACTCACGAAATTACAGGCTAAAGAATAAAAATCATGAGTTTTTTTCCATAACGTTAATATTCATGAATTTTGTGCATGGCGATTCCAATTTTAATGCTCACCAAATTTTGTGCATGAGAAAAATATTCATGTTTTTTATAAAAGTTATGAATTCTGTTTTCCTAATGTTAATATTCATGAATTTCTTGTGCAATGATCCCAATACTAGTACTCACAAAATGTTGGGCAGGAGAACACTATTAGGCTGTGTTCAATGTATTAGCTAAAATAAATTTGGAAAATGGATTAATATAATTTTTTAAAGTAACTTTCATATATAAATTTTTTTTGTAAAAAATACACTGTTTAGCAGTTTGAAAAGCGTGCGCGCGGAAAACGAGAGATGTGGGTTAGAGAAGTGGAGATAAGAACTCAGCTTTAATGTTTTTTTTTCAAATGGTCAATACTCATCAATTTTCGTCGAAGGCTATAATAGCTCATGAAATTATACCGAAGATAAAAACCACAAAATTGGTTAACCTTAAGGTTCATATTCACAAATTTAATATGTAACGATCCTAATACTAATATTTATTAAACTTTAGACGCTGATCCTGAAGCCAAATGTGGATCCACGAGGATAGCCACCAACAAAAGCTTCCGGTAACGCTGCCAACTGTGAACCATACCAGAACAGTAACAAAAATACGGAGTTATAAATTTTGTTGCATCGCTTGACCAGATGACCATCCTCTCCTTTTCGGTTCCTGTCAGATCCATTGATCATGTTATGAAACAACAGGGTGATCTCATCCATATAAAAGGATGGATCGCAACCGAAGGCAACCGCGCCTTCCCTAGGCGCTCCTTGGCAACGGACGTGATGGTTCCCAACCATCGCGTCTCCGGTTGCCACCCCTTCCCTATCTATATATTATACCGCATCGATCAATAAAGATACCGCTCATTCATTCCCTACATTCTTGTGTGCAATTCTCTCTCGCTCAATCCCTCTCGCTCAATCAATCTTATTCACTTTCAACATGTTATCAGCACTTTCGCTCTCGCGAAGGAGATCGCGAAGTGAAAGAAGAAACTACATCGCTTTTGATCTCAAGGAAAAGCGAAAGAATCAACAGGAAAGGTACGAGATGTCTACCTTCAGTTACTTATCGACGCCGTTCTTGGCCGATCGACGCCGTTCTTGGTATTCCTCGCCATGACCGAGCCCGCCATCTGCACCACCTCCTCCATCGTACAACGAGGAGTCGCCACCACTGCCACCATCACCATGCCAGGCGCGGGCCTAGGGTTAGTGGCCGCCGCCACAACCCTCGGCGCCGCATCACCATTGCTGCTACTCCAACCCCGCCATCACCCGCGCCACGACGTCGCCGACGCCACGCCAACGCCGCTCCCCCACTCCCGTGGCACCGGAGTCCGGCCGGAACGAAACCATGGCAGCGCGCACGGGGGAGCCGGCCTACTTCAACCCATCGTCGTCTCGCCGTCATGCCGGTGAAGCCACTGCTCGCCGTCCCGGCCTCCGCTCCACATGGCTCGCCGTTCCCCATGGCTCCCGCACGCTCTCAAATGGCGGGATGGGGAACGGTGTAAGGGCTCGACCGGTCTCCGACTCCGATGAGGAGTTGGGGCCGTCGGCCTAACTCTAGCCGGCAAACCGCCGGCCGACATGGGGGATGCGGCGGCGGCGGACGGTGGATGGCGGCGGCGGGCGGTAGAGACGGCGGTGGATGCAGGCGGTGGTGGGCGGCGGCGGAAATGGAGGCAGCGGTGGCGGCGTTTCAGGGGGAGAAGGTGGCGGCGGAAATGGGATCGGCGGTGGATGAGAAAGGCGGCGGTGGAAACGGCGGCCAAAGTGGTGGAGGAGGAGGCGGCGAAATGGCGGCGGCGGCAGAAGAGGTGGAGGACGCGCGGCCAATCGGTGGCGGCGGCGGCGCACACCGCGAGGGGAACGGTTAGGGTTCTAACCGTAACACCCCCTCGCCCCCTGCGCCCTTTTCCCCTCGGGCCGATGGGCCGGCCGCACAATAGCGGTGGTGGGCCGAATCCTATTGATTTCGGCCCACCACCCATTTACCCTTTATTTTTTTTAGTTTTTATTTTCTAATTTAGCAGCATTTTCTTATTAGTCCCTATATCTTTGATAATTTAGTACAAGCAGTTCAGTTGTACAAATTACTATGTACTGGTCCTGTAAACCACTGATGTTATATGTTACTTAGCATAGGTGTTTATTTAAATACCCTGCTTCACTAAATTTATTTGTTGTCTTAATAACATACCTTTTGCATACTATTTCAAGACACACTCTACTTTCTCGCTTCATTAATTTACAAAATTCTATAAATTTTGTATTTTGATTTAGCAAATTCTCTCAACTATGTACAACATGATTAATGGAGGATTTAATGCATGTTCGACTACAAACTTTGACTCGGAAATTAATCACATGTAGATGGAGTCCTATACTTTGGTCATATCGACCATAACTTTGGCAGCGAGTAACCCGCCCATCTCACAGAGGTCTACATCTCACAATGATTACCCACATGTGTTATTTTCCGAGAATATGTTTTGAAAAATGAGATTATTTGAAATTTGGTTGAGCACAAGGTAGTGGAGTCCTAAACATTGGCTGCGGTATATTCACCAGAATATATTTGCCTGGAGACCGTGTTTTAGGCAGCAAGTATAACTTGCCCACTATTAAGAGATCTACTCCACTGTTTAATTACTTGGAGATTATCCACATTGTGCCATCTAATTTCGATCTCTAACTCAAATTGTCAGGTCTATAGCCTACATCTTTTCGAAACATTACAAAATATGAAGTCTTACATTACGCATTGAGATTACAACCACAATATCATGTTTTTATTAATTTACCTCTGTAATTAATAATGATAATCATGATTATAGGGACATGGCAACTATAGAGTTCGACGAACTCGCCCTCGATGGGAGTAACTACCCAATTTGGGCTTCCGATATCAAAATATTTTTTTCTTTCTTCTTGCGGGATTTCAAATGCAATTGAGGAACCCAATGATTGGGATCCACCAGTTGAGAACAGAAAGCTATATATTGCCTTTTTTCCTTCTGAGGCTCTACATCTATAAAGATCTCAAACATGAGTACATGTTGGAGACGATCCCTCTCAACCAATGGAAAGCTCTAATAGAGCGTTATGATCAGCAAAAGGAACACATTTGGCATGAGGCTAATTATGGCTGGATTCATTTACGCCTACAGGATTTTAAACTGTGGCAGAATACAATCATGCTGTTCACAACATTTGCTCCAAGTTGATATTTTGCGATAAGAGCCAACGAAAGCAGAAAGATAGAGAAAACTCTATCAACTATGTTTCCGGAGGACAAGATACTAAACCAACAGTATCGCACTTAAAGGATTCAAGGGAAATTCCTCGAATAACCCTAAGAATCTGACTGGAAAACGCAACATAACAACAAGGTGCAAATCCAATGGTCGATAGAAAGGAAAAGAGAAGGGTAAGGCACCACAACCTCGTTGCAATAGCAACAGGCATTGCAACAGGTGTGGATCTGACTATCATGTCACTAAAGATTGCCACATCCCAAAAACATCTTGTTCTCCTGTATCAGAAATCCCTAAAGGCGAAAAAGTCTTCTGAGGAACTAAGATTTGAAGCTCACTTCATCTTACAAAAGAAAGACCGGATGTTGAAAGTTCTCACTAGGCTCCTATTGAACCAGAGAACAACCTCGCTCTTCTCCCAGAGGATACCGCTGCATTTTCTGCAATGGATGACATGCTCATCGAATACTGCTCAACGGACCCACTTGGAGATTTACTGTAATCTCAGTGCGTCCCACTTAGAGATAAAGCTGCTTTAATCTCAGTGTGTTTGAGACAGTATATTGATATCCTATAGTTTGTTAAAACAATAATGGTTGTAATAAGTCGATGAGTACAAACTCCCTTATATTATAAGGTTATAAGACTTGCTAGTCATTAGAGTATGTACTATTAACATTTGTAAACGTCATACTATGTATCTGATGTTTTAATTATTTTATGTATGTATATATATTGGATAAAGAATTCTTAATCAAGCAATTCTTCTTTCATTATAGATGTCTAAGGATATCACTCCGATTGGAGAGGAATTATGTCTTGTGGACAGTGGTACCACAAACTCTATACTTAGGGAGATCAAATACTTTCAAACTCTCAAAAAGAGAGAAGGCAAAGTTTTGACTATCACTGGGCGCGATACTGTGATAGTTGGCTCAGGATGAGCAATTATTACACTCCCAATGGGTACACAAATTACAATCAAGGATGCTTTATTGTATCTTGATTCAACCCGTACCCTACTAAGTTATAGAGATATCCGTCAAAATGGGTTTCACATTGAAACCCATATGGATAATCGAGAAGAATTTCTTCTCTTAACCAAACAAAACAGATATGGCAAATGCATTTGCGAGAAAATTCCATCTCTCACATCGGGATTGTACTATACATACATTAAGCCCATTGCACATGTTACGTACAAAGTAATTTTTCAAAATGTTGATGCATTCCACACTTGGCATGATCGACTTGGGCACCCTAGTATCGGGATGATGAGAAAAATTATTGGCAACTCTATTGGTCATCATTTGATCACTGACAAATTTCCCAAATCCTCCGATTTCGTATGCACTGCATGTGCTACTGGGAAACTGATTTTGAGACCATCTTATCTCAAAATTAGAGCCGAACCACTTAAATTCCTTGAACGCATTCAAGGAGATATCTATGGCCCTATTGTGCCAAGATCTGGACCGTTTAGGTACTTTATGGTTCTGATTGATGCATCTACTAGATGGTCTCATGTGTGTCTTCTATCGACACGAAACCATGCCTTTGCCAAATTAATGTCTCAAATTATAAGGCTGAAGGCAAATTACCCTGAACATAGGATTCAATCAATCCGTATGGACAATGCTGCCGAATTTACATCCCATGCTTTCGATGATTATTGTATGGCATTGGGAATTCAGGTTCAACACTTTGTTCCATATGTCCACACACAAAATGGTTTGGCTGAATCATTGATAAAAAGAATTAAGCTTATTACTCGACCATTATTGATGAATTGCAAATTACCTTCGTCGTGTTGGGGTCATGCAGTTCTGCACGCTGCTGACCTTGTCCAACTACGACCAACTGCATATCATGAAACTTCCCCAATGCAGTTAGTACGTGGAAATCTTCCAAATATTTCCCATTTGCGTAAGTTCGGTTGTGTTGTATACATACCGATCTCACCACCACAGCGTACTGCTATGGGCCCACACAGGAAAGTGGGGATCTATGTGGGATTCAAATCTCCGTCGATCATAAAGTATTTAGAACCCTTAACATGTGATCTATTTACTGCCTGGTTCGCTGACTCTATCTTTGATGAGTAACATTTCCCGGCATTAGGGGGAGACTTCAAGTACCAGAAAGAATGCCAGGAAATTGATTGGGATGCCCAAGGTGTTCCAGCCTCAGACCCACGTACTACTGAAACTGAACTTCAAGTTCAGAAAATTATACATTTGCAAAGACTTGCAAATAATCTGCCAGATGCATTTACCAATTATAAAGGTGTGACTAAATCTTTCATTCCCGCTCAGAATGCGCCAGAAAGAGTGGAGGTACCAAATAAAACCACTCAACTTCCACTCACTAAAAAGAGAGGAAGAAGTATGGCCACTCAGCGAGAAACAATTGCTAATAAACAAAGAAAGACGGTAAATGCAAACCAACCTTTAGTTGGTACACACCAAATTGACACTATATATCAAGCAGATCGTGATAGTCTGCAACCTAGCTCGGTGGTGCACAATGCTGAGACTAGGAATTCGGAAGACCATAGACACATTGTTTTGGGAGATCACGATGAGTCTATAAGGGTTGATGAAATTGCCATCAACTACTCTGAAACTGGAGAATCTTTTGATAGAAGAGCTACAATTGTCGACATTAATTTTTCTGAACAAATTGCTGATTGCCTCCAAGTTGATCCAGAACCTAGGTCTATAAAAGAGTGCCAAAAGCGCTCTGATTGGAACAAATGGAAGGACACAATTGACGCAGAATTAGCCTCGCTTTACAAAAGAGATGTATTCTCGGCTGTAATGCCTACTCCTCGTGGTATCTTTCCTGTGGGATACAAATGGGTTTTCGTCCGGAAACGGAACGAAAACAACGAGGTGGTGAGATATAAAGCAAGGCTTGTAGCACAAGGTTTTACGCAAAAACCTGGCGTTGATTTCAACGAAACTTACTCTCCAGTTATGAGTGGTATAACTTTCCGATATTTAATATCATTGGCAGTACAAAATCGTCTATTTATGCAGTTGATGGACGTAGTGACAGCATATCTTTATGGGTCACTTGATTATGATATTTACATGAAGGTTCTTGACGGAATCGACATCCCGAATCAGAAGGTAAATCGTAACATGTATTGTGTTAAGTTGCAGAAGTCACTTTATGGCTTAAAACAATCGGGCAGGATGTGGTACAACCGATTAAGTGAATTCCTTTCGCTAAAGGGATACACTAAAAATGATGATTGCCCGTGCGTCTTTATCAAAAAGTCCCCCACAGGATTTTGTATTATCTCGGTATATGTCGATGATCTCAACATCATTGGCAATACACAAGATATTAATGAAGCACGTCATCATTTAAAGACGGAATTTGAGATGAAGGATTTGGGTCAAACCAAATTTTGCTTAGGTCTACAACTTGAGCATTTACCTTCAGGAATCCTTGTGCACCAAAGTGCATATATCCAGAAAATTTTGGAGAAATTTAATATGGACAAGTCATATCCTTCCAAAACCCCTATGGTGGTTCGATCTCTAGATGTGGAGAAAGATCCATTTAGACCAAAGGAAGATGGTGAGGATGTACTTGGACCTGATTTTCCATATCTTAGTGCTATTGGCGCACTTATGTACCTTGCAAATAGTACGAGGCCAGATATTGCTTTCTCGGTAAATATATTAGCAAGATACAGCGCTGCTCCTACCAACGCCATTGGACTGGAGTTAAGAATGTCTTTCGATATCTTAATAGCACAAGAGATCTTGGACTTTTCTTTAAAAAGAACCAGGATTCGACTTTAATTGGGTATACTGATGCTGGCTATCTATCTGATCCCCATAATGCTAGATCACAAACAGGATTCGTATTTTACAAGGTGGAACTGCTATTTCATGGAAGTCTTCTAAACAGACTTTGGTAGCCACTTCCACAAATCATTCTGAAATAATTGCATTATATGAGGCATCATGTGAATGTGTATGGCTTCGCAGAATGGTTAACCACATATTAACATCTTGTGGTATTGGTTCATTGGAATCACCTACCATTATCTATGAAGATAATGCCGCTTGTGTTGTTCAGATGGAAACTGGTTATATTAAGAGCAACATCACTAAGCATATTGCTCCTAAATTATTTTATCCTCATGAGCTTCAGTAACATGGAGAGATAAACATCTTGCAAACTAAGTCATGTGATAATCTTGCTGATTTATTCACAAAATCTCTACCATACTCCACATTCTTTAAATGTGTCGAAAGAATTGGTATGAGACGACCCAAAAATTTGCAGGATTCAAGGGAAGCATCTTCCTCTGGAAAATAACTTATTTTCGTAGTATTATACTCTTTTTCCTTTGTATGAGTTTTACCCTTTAGGTTTTCTCATTCAAAGTTTTTAACGAGGTAATATCAACATAAGTTATATGTCTTATCATTTGGTTTTTCCCCACTGGAGTTTTTACTAAATGATAACTGTAGACATTATACTATTTTGGATCATACTATGAGCTTTACTCATAGATATAAAATAGTCAATAATATATATCATGGTTCTCTCCTTATTTTTTCCACTGGGTTTTCGAGGAGTTTTACGTTATGTATTTAACTATACTTATTTCTAAGATTATCTTTACAGATATCTAAAACAGTGAAAGAGCAATGATCAAAGCTGGATTCGATCAAGGGGGAGTGTTATGAAACAACAGGATGATCTCATCCATATAAAAGGATGGATCGCAACCGAAGGCAACCGCGCCTTCCCTAGGCGCTCCTTGGCAACGGCCCAACCATCGCGTCTCCGGTTGCCACCCCTTCCCTACCACCCCTTCCCTATCTATATATTGTACCGCATTGATCAATAAAGATACTGCTCATTCATTCCCTACATTCCTTTGTGCAATTCTCTCTCGCTCAATCCCTCTCGCTCAATCAATCTTATTCACTTTCAACAGATCAGACCAAGCTAATAGAGTATACTACCTCCGTTTTTTAATAGATGAGCTAATAGAGTATACTACCTCCGTTTTTTAATTGATGACGCCGTTGACTTTTTCTCACATGTTTGATCATTCGTCTTATTCAAAAAATTTACGTAATTATAATTTATTTTGTTATGAGTTATTTTATCACTCATAGTACTTTAAGTGTGATTTATATCTTATACATTTGCATAAAATTTTTAAATAAGACGAATGGTCAAACATGTGAGAAAAAGTCAACGGTGTCGTCTATTAAAAAACGGAGGGAGTATGTTAGTGTAAGTAACATCTCCCGGGCTAGTCCATGAGTATACTGTAGGAAGCTGAACATCTCCCGCTCCCGCATTACAAGGTGTGGATTCCAACAACAGCTCGTCCGGATTTGATGGAAGAAGCTACAAATAACGGACAACATACCACTGATCATTCAATACAGCTACAAAAAATCCACAAGAAATGCTTCCAGCGACAAATGTCTGTATTCATGCATTTACAACCTGTCACCTACATGTTTTTGTTTCAGATTTGTATATCTACCCTACAAAAGTTGTATATTGCCTACAAAAAGAATTCAGTCTTCATCAAAAAGGCATTAGAGGCATTTCCCTCATCGATTTTTGCATCTCCAATCTGAATGAAATTAATTTATGCTGTTCGCTACACCTAGCCAAAACTTTGCAGCTATAGCTAATATTACTGGTAGTCAGGTTTCAGCACCCACGTTGCACCATTTGCACCTCTTTGCAACGTAGCTATTTCCTTCAGCAGATTCTTAAACAGCAGCATATCCTTGGACAGTATCCGGTTCTTGAAGTGTTCAGTTATACTTGTTGAGCTGGCGGAACCACCATGCTGCTGTATGAAGGTGCACAATTGGCGGATTAGGACTTCAGGCTGTACGATCATGCTCCTAGTAGAAGAGCTTGATGCACGGCCATTCCCTGATGAACTCGATGTGTGATTGGAAGCTGATCCCAGGTTGAGTTGATGTTCTAGTGCATCTGAAGCTGCTCCCTCTCGGGTTCCACGTATCCTGGCCAGAAGCTCAGCGGAGGACAGTGCTTTGCCATTTAGAGCACCCACCTGAAGACTTTGGCCCCTGCCATTTGAAGTTTCTGATGGCTGAGAAGAATTAACCAACTGGGTATTGAGTGTTGACCCAAACTTCCTGCGGACAGAGGATGGTGCCCCCGCAGCACCAGCTCTTCCAGTCCATGTAGGAACAGAAAAACTTTCATGACTTCTGAGCATCCGTGATTGGCGTAAAGCTTCAGCTGCCCTTTGTGCCACCTGTGTAGCTTCTGCTTCTAGGCGCAGCTTCTGGTCATCATTAGCGTTCATTATGGCATCATGATTGATCGCACTCTGAGGAAGTCCAAAAAAGAGTGTATCATTTTTTAGAAACAAAAATTGAGGCAGCTAATTTGCCTTAAAGAGATAAAAAAAATATTGCTTACATGAATGCCTTGAGCATCAAAAAGGCTCTTCAAAATGTTGCATTCTTCATCTGCTTGGTCAGGGCAATGGTCTTCTTTACCCTGTCCATGCCTGGATGAGCTCGGTTCAGTCCCAGAGGTTGTCGGTGTAGCAGAGGCTGCATATAGCTGGTCTTGTTGCTTGTCACTCGGAACTCCGATATTCACATCCTCAGACAATTGGCTGAAAATATTTGATGTTTCAGTTGAGCCATTATTGTCATCATCTTGCAGCGTAAACAAATCCTTCATGTCTCTGGCTTTAAAAAACCGCCTCTGCTGAGGGTCTTTCAGTACTTTGTTTGTGAGGAAATGCTTGTATATCTGACGATGGTAGACTTTCTCCTCTATTGTCCCACGCGTGATCAGTCTATAAACTGTCACATCTCTAGTTTGCCCAATTCGCCATGCACGTTCCCTAGCCTAACCATAGAGAATTTAATCTTGTTAGCATGGTAATTTAGATAAATGCAACTTTGCAGAGATATTTTCTTTTAAAGATAAAACAAGATATAAATATATAATCCAAAATTTAATGAATAAATCACAAGGCATTACTAAGCCAGCAACAGTATCAGTAGACTATGGTACAAATTATTCATCTGCCAGGTAATCTATCACTGGCATGCAGTTTTTCGAAGTCGACATTTTATTTAAGTAAATTAAGACAGTTATTTAGAACCTTCTTAGAGTTTTGAAAATGCTTTGGGAGAAATATTGAAACAATTTGCAGAATTAAAGAAAAATATAGAGACTGGCAGTACAATACTCTTACATAAACAGTACCTGCATGTCAGTTGAAGGATTCCAGTCAGGATCATATATAATAATCCGGTTTGCACCAGTCAAATTCGTACCCAGTCCACCAACTTTCGTGGTCAGAATGAAAATAAAAATTTCATCTGTGTTATTGAATTCATCAATAAGTGCCATTCTTTGCTTTGCAGGTGTAAGTCCATCCATTCTTCGGTATTGGTATTCGCAAGCTGTCAAGAAGTTCTCCATAATGTCAAGCATTTGTTGTGTCTGAGTGAAAAGAAGAACACGATGACCTTGTTCTTTCCATACTTTAAGAACTTGCTCAACCACTTTCATCTTTCCACTTCTTTCAGGATTCCCATAGTCAGGATTCTGAGCAGCATGTTCTCTCTCAAGTAGATCAGGATGATTGCATATCTTCCTTAGAACATCTATCCCATAAAGGGAATTTCTGTTACCATCAAAGATTTGTTCCACCTCCGAACTAGCAAGAAATGCACGATAAGTAGCACGTTGCTCAGTAGTTAGACTACAGAAAAGAACATGCTCTGTTTTCTTGGGAAGCTGTGCATTGACATCAGCTTTCATTCTTCTAAGAAGGTACGGCATGACCAGGTCACGTAGGACAACAGCACATCGATACGCCGTGGACACTTGCAATGGTGTTGCATTAGCGTACCCACCAACAGTAATTGGAACAGAAAACTCAGCCTCAAACACAGGCAGGACACCTAGTTTTCCAGGGAACACAAAATCAAAGAGAGACCAAAGCTCCGAAAGTTTGTTTTGAATAGGTGCACCTGTCATAATTATCCTGTGCACGGTCTGCAATTGCTTGCACACAAGAGTAATCTCAGCATTAGGATTCCTAATGCGGTGACCCTCATCCAATACAGCATATCCCCATTCTATATCAAGCAACTTCTCCCCTAGGATCCTTAACTGCTCATATGTGGTCAGAAGCAAACCTGATCCTGAACTCACAACACGTGAAATCAAGTCATCCCACTTCTTTGCAGGTTTTGAACATGTAACCGCTTCTTCCTGATCACTATCCCAGGAAGCTTCACTGTCAGAATCACTAGACCTCTTGCTCTTTTTAGATGAACTGTTTGCAGAGTCATGTAAGATCTCAACCTTGAACTTTGGATACCATCTACTGGCCTCCCTTCGCCACTGTTGCAAAAGGGTTACAGGACAAACAACAATGCTAGGCTTGTAGAGCCCACTGTTATGCAAGGAACCAAGAAATGACAAGACCTGCACAGTCTTTCCCAGGCCCATTTCATCTCCAATTATTCCACCAGCCCTTTGACAATGCAACTCCCATAGCCACTGCACTCCCACTTTCTGGTAGTCAAATAGTTGCGTGTAAAGTGTGCCAGGAATTCTCAAACCTCCTTCAAGGGTAACATCAGTTAACTCATCAGAGCCTTCTGTAACTTGATCTTCATCATCATCTGAAACTGACACAGCTGCCTCTCCAACATCGTTGTCTGTAAGTTCAGAAAGTAGAACAATATGTTCAGAGCAGTGATCTCACCCAAAGAGTGTTATACAGAGAAGCAGATAGAGTATTCCTTTTGAAAGTGCAACTGTATGTACAATAACAGGAAAGCCTACAAGCTGTGAAGAACCCTTGACTTACCATCCAATGATGATTCCTTAATTGAGTTTGCTTTCCTCCATTTCTTGCCAGGCAGTGGTCTTTTGGTCTTATTTCTTGGTCTCTTCTTTTCCTGCTCATCTGAACTGGGAGAGACAGGACGCTTTAGGGGTTTTCCAAGTCTCTGAAATGGGGCAGCAGGTGCATCTAGCTTAGGTAAAGACTCTGAATCAAGCAATTTGGTTGCTGGGCGGTTCTGTGCAATCTGCTTTAGCGACTGAGCAACTCTAGCAATCCTGGAAGCTTCCATGGCTTCTTCAGTTTGTCCTGCAGAATCATCTTGTCTATGAGAAGGTTCGGGTAGTTCCACACGTTTCTCGAAGCCCTTCAACTTATGGAATGGTGTCAACAAACCCTTCCTGATCAGTTCTTCCCTTTCCTACAGAAGAAGAGAAAATATATCGTATATTGTTAGAAGAGAGTGAGGCATAACGGATATGAGAGGAAACAAGGCCCAGAGAGGCTCACAGTTTCCATAAATCCCGCAGAGGCTCCATCAAGCACTGCATCGAAGTTGTTGTCATCATCATAGGTGACAGTTTTCATCGGGCGTTTCACGATGTTTTTAGGCCCTACGGGTGGCTTTTTGTGCCTCGGCTCGTCTTGGACCAGCATGGCCAGCATTTTATCTTTTCGATTGGAGGCAGATGGAGAAGGATGTGACTGTAGTATCTCTTTCTGTATCTGTGCTTTAGCTTTCCTGAGGCTTGTAAGACGGTCGGCAGCAAGGGCTTGCTGGAGGTGTCCTGCTCCATGATGATCTGGCTGGTCCTTGCCTTTATGCTCATGTGGTTTATTTCCGGATGGTTGCTTAAGCTTAGCTCCTTTGATGGTGGAGGCTACAGCATCAATTTCAATTTGCACAGAGCGCAGTTTGTGATGCAGTTTGGCGAGAGCATCATCAGGCTGATGACCTCCATTGATGGTTGGTCCAGATGAGTCGGCAGGATCAGTTGTTGCCTGGAATGGAGGTATCGATCAGATTGTGCAGCATGAGTTACACTATACCTGTGATGTGATATATGGAATGGATGGGTTGTGCTTGTGGGCGTGAGAGAGAGAGAGAAGAGTGCATTGCATTGCGTAGCGTACCTGTGATATGATTCTCCTTTCAATATCGTGGATGTCTGCGGACGTGACACCAAGGCTGTGAAGCAAGCGTTGGTCATCGTCATCGTCCTCCATGGAGCTAGTCACCTGAAAAGAGAGAAAAAAACTCCATCGATCCATGGGTTAGCAGCAACACAAGAAGAAGAAGAAGAGTAGGAGGGTTCGTCCGCGGGGCAAGGGGCTCACCTCTGAGTCTTAGGGCATAGATGCTGTGGTGTGCGCCGATTCGCCCACGCCCCGCCGCCAAGTCGAAAGAGAAACCCTACTCCCCCCGACCCCGACCCGACTCAGAGGGGAGAGGAGAGGAGAGGAATCAAGGGAAGGAAGGAGGATGAGAGGCGGAATCGGAGCCGGATGAAAACTGGCAAGGCAAAATCGATCGATGGATGGATCCCCAATCCCAATCCGATCCGCCTCTTCCTCTCTTCTCACAGGAGGAGGAACAAAAAGCCTCAGCCGCCCGCCACCGCCTCTCCCCTTCCCGACCCTAAGTTAACCCATTGGAGTATTTCATTTTTAATATCTGACGACTTTCGGTATTTCTCTTTTTCTTCCATGACACGATAACTTACTTCAAAGTATTTCTCATATATCTTACTACTATACTATATTTATTTGCTTACCTCTTGTTATGAAAATGCCTCACTAAATACCTATTGAGCGTCTTTCAAGTGTTACATTTAGAATTTCCCGCGCTTTCTTTTTTCATTTATTACGTATGGAATACTTCCCTATGTAAATGAAGTATATATTGATTCCCTATGTCGCACCCCAATCACATAATTTTGTGCGAGCATAGATTTTCATAACATCTATACTCTTACATTCTGCTTCCATATAGTATACAATTGTATCAAAAATAAATATCAAAAGTACAATTAAAATAAATAAACATATATAGCTCACAGTCTCAAGTCTCAACGGGGCCGCTCGGAGAAAAAACAAACCCCACAATTACCCAACTTTTTTTAAAAAAAAAATAATCAAACTTTCCAAATCTTACCAGTTTTTACCGGTTTACCAACGGTTTCGCTATGTTGAACACAAACTATGTTGTCAATATAAAACATTGTAATTTATAGATGATCTAATAGCTCAAATATTTCTTCTCCAATTTTCGCCACTTGAAAACATAATAGATTGTTGTATCGAACGCATCATATTTCGTCTCACATGTCAGAAACAAGTTCACCACGCATCCATAAGCTTAGCTTCTCGATTTACTAAGCGAGATCTACCAACATCAATCCCATTGGCACATACAACATAAATGTGAAGCCTCACCCGCCATTCTCAACAACATACAATGCAATGAATAGGTATCTGTATCAGGCAACTTCAAAATGATGCATTGAGATTTCATCTGTTACCAAATGCAATGAATAGGTATCTGTATCAGGCAACTTCAAAATGATGCATTGAGATTTCATCTGTTACAAAATCTACTCTCCAATTCTCTGGGTTAGGTTTTCAACTTCCAAAAACACAAACAGAGAAAATTCATACAGTTCAAGGATGCGGCAGCCTTAAAGCTCTCGCGCTATCAATCTAAAAAACCTGCCACCATCTCTTCCTCTTTTTAATAAAAAAGAACAAACACTGCCTTATATATGGTAGGCAAGTATATCAACGCCTCTTCTTGCTTGCTTTTGCACCGCTGGATTTTGACGGGCTTGCAACCAGGTAGATAAACACTCCAACCAAGCCAACAACGGACACCAGCGACCCGTACTTCGCCACAAGCCTCTGCAAATGGATAATTTCTCAGTAATTTCTTCTACCATAGATGCACTAGAAAAGTTGCTCCTTGTAGAATAAAACAAAGAGTAAATTTACCTTAGCCTGAACCAACAAGGAGAGAACATCAAGAATTCATACACGGCGCATGCCAGAAACATAAACAGCATCAGCACATTAGGATCATAGAGCGAAACAGACTAGAATGTACATGCAATGGCACAATTACTTACCCATTCAAACTTCTTTTCTGGAGGCCTCTCAGCAAGAACATCAAGTGCAAGGATGGGGGTTGAATAGGCCTCCTTCACCATACAAAAAAAAAATTGAGCAATTGCAAGCATAGCAGAACAGCATTTTTCTTTAAAAAAAAAAGAGCTGAAGTTTTAAAAAAGTGTGTAAGTGTAACAGATTAAACCTGAAGCGCAGCCTTTGTGGGAACACGATAGGTAATAACCGCAGGTGAACCTTGAAACCTGCCCTGTACTTTGGTCTCCAAGACAAATGCATGCGAAGCAGTGACACCACTAGAAGCAACAAAGATAAAGTCATTTCCTGTAACACCTTATAATGAATCACATAGCAGAGAGATGCTGCATGAAATGCACTCACGGGTCAAGCCTTTCCAATGTCTTTGACATCTCTCCAGAGACAAGCTCAAATGCCTCCTTTGGCCAAGTATCATCATTAATGCTCACATCATAGGCAGTTCTGCAATAAATTTTACGGTCAGTTTATTACTATGTGATATACATAGTTGCTTGCCATCATATCACATAGAGAAAGTAAACTAATCCAAAATAGGAAAAGAAAAACAATGGCAGATTTTGGCAATTTAATGCAACTGTAGTCTATAGGTAATGCACTTTCAGGGAAAAGAATAGATAAACCAGAACACCCTTTGACATCATATCAGAATGGCAGATGTTTTTTTGTCGAGTCTGACATCCTGAGTCTGAGTAGGATTCGGGCACCCGTTGCATGTACAATTCTTTTCTGCCGAATCAGACACGCGAATCCAAGGCAGAGTTTGAGGCCTGTGTTGGTGTCCAGGTAAACACTGGCAAAAATAATATTTAAAACATTCTCATTCTCCATGGGCTGCTAAGCTAATCTTTAACAGAATTTCCACCAAGATCCAGTAAATAATTCCAAGCTAAAATTTAGCAATAATCCATATTTCTGTACATAAAAAGAGTCAGTTATGTTGTTGTGTCCGAACTACCAACTTTAGCTTGAAATTGTTATTACTTCTCGGGGAAGAAAGTTAAGTTGTTAGTTTTGGGCAAAGCTGGTGCTTTGGGCAGCATGGAAAAGTTTGGACTTGAGAGAGAGAAATGTTGATAGCAGGCATTGTAAGAACATATGGAGGGAACAAAAAAGGCATAGGGTGAATAAGCTGGCAAGTCACCTAGTATGTAATTTCAGCAAAATAAGGCGAATATAACAGAGAGTGAAACCATTGTAAATAGGCTAAACCATGTGTGGTTTATTACAAGTAGAATCCTATTAGCATAACATAATCTGGCAAGAAAGACATAACAGTAGATGATGAGATGGAGCACAAGCCCATGCAATTTAAAGATACTAGCATATGCAGTGAATCTTTTGGCTTTCTAGTTAATTGCTTGTTTGTTTTAAGCGTAGAAAAGAAAGCAGTAGCAGAGTAATGGTTGATTAGTTGGCAATTACGACATGGAAGGGGTCTGGATCTATCTATAGAAATAGAGGACGGATCCTCAGATGCAGATCCGAGAAGAAAAAGACAAGTGAAGTTCCCTTGCAACAACGAGGAGAGGAGAGGAGAGATCGGAGGAGGAGGAGGAGGAGGAGAGGAGAGTAGTTACGCGGATCCCTGGTTGTAGAGGTCGAGGGAGACGGCGAGGCGCTCGACGCCAGGCTTGGGGCGGGAGAGCGAAACCTTCTTGTGCGCGACGAGGAAGGGCGCGTCGGCGGAGGCGGAGGCGGCGGCGGCGAGGAGGAGGAGGAGGAGGATGGATCGCGCCATCGCCATGGTCGATGCTGCTGCAGCTGCTGCCTTGTGGATCTGATTCTGGATGCCCTTCCTCTTGCTTCTTCTCCTCGTGTACTAGTACTACTACTACTAGTATGTCAACTCCGCCCGTGGGTGGAGATCAGACTTTTCTTCTACTCACTTACTACTCGATAGGGACCTCCCTGGGCTGGGCTGCATTTGATGGGCCTCCGCACCAAAGCAAATGCATTGTCCATCGAGTTCCCACTTGTCATCCTGTCCACAGTTACAAACTTGCTCATTTGACACAAACACAACTGACGAACAAGCATAGATATGAACAAGTGTAGATTCTAGCCACACTCACAGCTTCTTTTTTTGAAAATAAATTCGACTTCTTTTTCATTCTGCTACATATGTCTCCCTCACAAGTCACAAGGGAATGTAAAAATATCAATCGAATGATTGATCATTCGGTACAAAATTAATCAATCAGTAGCTGTGGCGGCACTTTTTGCTTCCTGGTCCTGGAACATCTAAGGCAATTCCTCAGGGATCAGGAGGTACATACATGACCAACAGTCTATACATCAATGGATCCTTCCTTCTTTTAGAAGGGCTTCCCAGCAGCTTCCATCATCGACTTCGCTCGGATCAGCCTCTCTATTTGCCTCACAATCTGTTGTTCAAAATACACACAAAAATAATGCTGTCAACATTTCTTTCTTTCGCAAAACCCATTTCTTTCTTTCTTTCTTCCCCAGCTCTACAACATCTTTTTTACTACTTTTATCTATCTAACTGATTTACCTCAAGGACCATGTCCTCTAGGGTCACTGAGTCGATGCTACTGTAGCCCAGTTGAGATGCCACATCTGAAAGGTATTCAACACCAAGTCAATAATAACAACAACCATATATATAATTCAACATTTGCTTTCTTTTCCTTTTCTTTTCCAACTTTATGGAAGAAAATGATGTTTATGCATCTCTCTGTTTACTTTGTACTGAAACAGTTATATCAGAAACTCCATAGCGCTCTTTTAGTTCATCGTGTCGCTGTCGGACTCTGCTCATTGCCTGCAAACATGACATTTCAGATGTGACCGGCAGATATTAAGCAGTCAAGTGACAACAAAGTTGGCTCTTAATAAAGTCATTTTAATGCAACGACAAAGTCAGAAATATAGCCAGCCATGGAGTCAACCTAGACTCGCAACGCATCAAGCAACAGGATGTGGATTTTGGGAGGCAGTGTGTTTTACATAGGAAAAGATTATTAAGGGAGTATACTTGAATACATATTCACAGGCTGTTGTTAACAAATGCTGGAGTCGATTGTTGTTTAACAAATAAAGGGTTGCTGGACATAGTGTAGCCAGAGTTATATGTATTATGTGTAAAAACCGAGAAACTATGAAGGTTGCAGTCTTAAAGAGGATTGTGCAAGAGGAGGACAGATGAACCTCAGAAAAGGAATCAGGGTCTGAAGTAGCTTGTGTCTTCAACATATCATTCACCACCAATTCCAGAGGAATATCAATCCAAATGGAGACTCCATGCCTCAGTAGCCCTCTAAGAGAATTAGCATAAGAAGAGTTGATGAGAAGGCGGATGTGAGATATGAGAGAATGGTGGGTGAAGGCAGCATACAGATTGGTTGAGTTCATGACAGCACCATCCCCACAGCAAAGCACGAGGCTGCCCATGGAGGTGAGCTGTTTCAGGCCTTCAGTCTGCCATCATTTACAAGAGAAGACAAGTGTTAAATCAAGGGATGTATCTATGTCTAGATTGGTTGGAACTTGGAAGATAAAGTAAGTTGGACACGAAGAAATAAGGGTACCTCGACTTCGAGGTAGCCGTTGAGGTCGGATTCCCGGAAAGCATTGAGGGCATCTTTGCCTCCAAGAACATCCTCCAGCAGCTCTTCACTGCAGAGGTAGCGGTATATGATGGAATTGGCAAGGAGCTTTGCAATGTTGCGCTTGGCAGTACAGTCGGTTCCTGCCATGCATCGTTAACTAATAATAATGAATGCAGAATGAGGCAGATTGATTAGAAAGAGAGAGAGAGAGAGAGGAATGGGAATAGGATACGGACCGACGATGTAGATGGGTGTTTTCCTGAAATCGCCAACGGCCTCCGCAGTTTTCCTCTGAAATGGATAGCAACGCGTTATTAGTTCGCAGCAGAGAGGAAGAGGAAGGCAGGAAGGGAGAGAGGGTACGAACGAGCAGCTCAACGGAAGGGTTAAGCTCCTCCAGAGTTTGCTCCGAGCCTGCAATCCCAACCCAACAACGAACTGAGTTAGTTCAATTACTAATATACAGTAGATAGAAAGCAACGGAAGAGGCGCAGAGAAGGGGTGGAGGTGGAAGGGTCGGGCAGATAGATACTCGGGAAGGCGCGTAGACGACGACGATGGGGGCGGCTGGTGGTGGAGGAGGAGGAGAGGAAGAAGCGCTTCGAGTTCCAAGACACAGCGCCCGGACCCAAGCTCGCCGCCGCCCCTCTCATCGCCGCCATTGCCATTGCCATGCTTTCTCTTCGTTCGTTCGTTATCCGCACGACCGCACCGCTGCCGGCCAGGCCAGGCCAGGGCGAAGGCCAACACACACAAAAAAAAATCAATTTAAAAATAAAATAATTGTGGGTCCCACCTAAAATAATATCTCCGCCCCTGCTGTGTAAATGGACGGTGTGCGATGGGATGCGGGCCCCACGTGCCAGACTCCTCTTCCTTCCCCTTATAAAACTCACTCACTCCCTCCCTCCTTGCTCCCTCCAATTCTAGGGTTCATCTTCCTCCGCCGCCGCCGCCATTCTTAGCCCCTCCCATGTTTTCTCACAACAGACAGTGGATCACTAGATTGGATGGGTTTTGTCTTGATTTCACCCATCGCCCAATGTTCTTCTGCCGTCTTTTCTTCTGAATTTTGTTCCTTTTTATTGTTGTTGTTTCTCGCTTATCATACTGTTTTATGGTTATGGCGTTGGATTGGATTGGAGGATGAATGGCTGTTTCAATGCATGAAAAATGATATGATGAGCTCGTTAGGTTGCAGCAGCATCCGTGATGCCATGTGCATAACCATCGAATTCCACACGAGATTTCTGATCATTCTTGTTTCCCCCCTGTTTTCTTTCCCTCTGATTATTCCGAGTGCTGCTTTGGATGCTTGAATGGAGTGATGAAACGTTAATATTAACTGTTGTGAGCCAGCTGACCGCTGCGATGATACACTAATTCCACATGAGATTTCTGACCATTCAAGCTCTTATTTCCTTCACCCAACATCTCTTGTTTCTCCATCCCCGTTTTAATTCTCTTTTATTTTGACGAGGGGATCCGTTACAAGATGCCAGTAATTCATGATGACGATAAGTAATCGACTTAACATGACTGATTACTCATCAGTCATCTCCACTCAACATGACTACTGATTCATTCATCTCCATGATGGTGGGATGGGTAGATAATTTACCCAACACCAAGCCATTTACAGAACAAATGGAGTGAGCAATTACTGAGTAAGATTAGATCAATCAGTCATCGTTAAATTGATGGTAAGTGAAAAATGTCAATCCGGTCATCCCTCGGAAATCACAGTGATCTTTGGGACAGATTCACGAGCTTAAGTAGCGTTCTTTCATGGTTTCCTCATGCATGAAATGAGTTCAAAGCTATAAATACAACGAAGGATGATCCTATTTTTGCAAAGGAAAGAAGAGACTTTTACAGCAGCCATATCCCTCTGCAATGTTGGTACAATTTGCATGAGAAAACAAGTATTACATCTCTTTTGCAAATCAATTCATCCCCGCTCCAGTCAGATTGTGGCAACAGCAAGGACTGGAACAACGGGTAGCCCAAAACTGAAAAGAATGATCCTCATTCTCAAATGTCCAATCATGTCCCTAGAACGCAAGCAACCAAAAAAAAAAAAAACCTCACAATAGGCATGAGGCAATACCAAAATGCCGGTTTACAATGCCGCACAACAATTCACAGCATAAACTAGATCCGATATTCTACCACACTCTGAATCTCCTCCTCAACAGTCAGAACCTATCAAAACACACACTAATCAAATCAGCATACAAAACGAATCATAGTACACAACTTCAGAAGCAGGCAAGACCCTGCGGCGCACAGTTAGATCCTCTTGGGCATAGACGTTGCTCCTCAATAAAGCAATCTAGCTCAGATTACAAAATTGGCTCGACTCCATCAGTGACTAGAACTGGGGGAGCGAAAAAGAAGGAAGTCATCCTCAAAGTACAACAGCTGCCTTGTCTGGAGTAACATTCTGGAGGACAGTGGCTATCAAAGGCTCATAATGGTCGGCACCAGCACCACACCATGCTGCAAGAAAAAGAATTGGACATCTACCTTAAGTCCAGACACATTGCAACTGACAGCATAGACAGCAACTAAATTTTGTTGAGACACCAATTTTCAGTTCGTACTAGGTTGCTGGGCAAATGATTCCCAAAGTTACCTGTTCCCTTCATGAAAAGAAAAATCGGCGGCTCGCAAATTTCTCCTCTAGGGCGGTGTGGTAGGAAGAACACACAGTTGTCCTCATCAACCATTGCATCCGCTCCATGTGCTTGCACCTACAAACAAAAGGGCCTGTTAGATTGCAGATAAAAGTGCTGAGAAAACTATGAAACAGAGATGCAAGATAAAAGTGCCAGATCTATGGTGACTAGCAAACTATCATGCAGAACATTCACACGGGCTTTACCACATAAACTTCTCTCTTGAACTCGGTTGCCAGGCACTCGATAGCAATATCATCACCAAAAGCTGCAGCATGGCCATCCCGGTTCTCATCGATGGTCAGTAAGCCTTCCTCTGTGTACTGCAGAGTGATTATGTTGTGCTCGTCCTCTGCGGAACCAGAGACAGACATGTACTTGGCCCAACTATCTCCATTGTTTACAGCTATGCATCTCTCCCTGTATATGGTTTCAGCTGCCATTTCCCTGCAAGGCAGTGAACGTCAAGACTAGTATACAGAGGTGGATAGTAGGAAACAGGTTGATTTGGTGAGCAGGCTCCAATCCATGGGTTGTTACAACTGTACAGTTGCAGCAGGAAGCATAAATTGTTGTTTAACATGCATAGCAACTTGGGATTCTTGTGTGATGAAGATGTACAACTGTACAGGGTGGTCAACATGACGATACTAAAACTAATAGGTCAGGCAGCATCTAATACATGCATGGAAGTTTTGGATATCCAAGTTGATTCCCACTACATGTGCATACGCGTAGGTGACACTTTTTTTTTAAGAGAAAGAAATTCGTTGTCTTTGACCATTTCATTTAGGCAGGACCTAGGCGCAGTAGTAATTGAAGTCGTAATTGTAAAGCTAATAGTAGTAGGGATATGTGCAAAAGGAGGAGATTTATTAATCAATGGGGAAAAAAACAGGAGCAAGAGGTGGCATGAAAGAAATTCCGCGCGATTGGAGAGGGTGCAAGAAAAGAAAAGAGAGAGGGGATCGATCCGGGAGGGTGTGGATTGATGATAAGAACCAACCTTTGGATGCCGAGGTCGACGAGGTCGTTGATGGCAGCGTCGAGGTGGTGGCGCAGGGTCTTGGGCGCGAGCAACTTGAGCTCCTGCACGACGTGGACGCCCCAGCCGGCCTTGAGATCCGGCGCGTAGAGGTGGCGCACGGCCGCATCGATGGCGTCTCTGTCGGGGGCTTGGGCGGCGGCGTAGAGGTGGGAGAAGCGGCGGACGATGCGGTGCCTGAGGTCGCGCGCGTCGGGCTTGGCGGAGGCGGCCTTGCGGGCGGCGGTGAAGAGGCAGTTGCCGTCGGCGTCGACCTCCCCGGCGTGGTCAAGGCGGAAGACGAGGGGCGGGAGCGGGAGCGTGGCGGGGGGCTTCCAGGCGACGCCGCGCTCCCAGATCCGGTGGAGGCGGCGGCGCTGCTGGTCCTCGAGCGCGGCGACGGCGGTCCAGCTGGTCGGGGGGTCGGGGTCGGGGGTGGGCCAGGTGAGGAGCGGGGGCGCAGGGGCAGGGGAAGGTGCCTCGGCGACGGCGACGGCGGCGGAGGAGGAGTCGCAGAGGAGCTTGCCCATTGATGGATGAGAGGGAGGAGGGGAGGGAGCTTAGCTTAGCTATAGGAGGCGGCTAGGGTTTCGTTTGGTTGAAGAGGAGAAGGAAAAATGGAATGGAGGGGAGAAAGACGAGCGCCGAGCGAGACAGACGATGAGACCAACACAACACGGTAAGCAAAGGAAATGTGACCGTTGCTTCTTGGCTCCTCCTCTGCCTGCCACCCACCCACACCCACTACAGGTGTAGTAGTAGTATTTCCTTTCTTGCCCTTCCCTTCTTCTGGAAACTTCCTCTTCCCTTCCTATCTTGCTTGGTTATTTTGGTAACATCCATCCAGACGACTCACACACAGGAGGAGGATGTGGTTGGTGGGCTGGCCTCCCTGCTCCCCTCCCACGCCACGTACGCGTGTGCCATTCTCATCACCACTGCGTTTACTTCGTCCCAATTACAGATAATGAACTCGTGATTGGACCACACATGCGCAAGTACCGATCACCCTACATAGTCATATGCTTCTTCTTTTTTTTTTTACTCCGACTAACTTTCTTCTCTCCAAACAAACAACATTATATTCAACAAGAAAAAGAGTTACAACCTCATTCTTACAAAAGACATAAACAAAACTTGCCAACTCAATTACTTATATTGGCATTGCTACTACTTGGGTTTGCTAAAATCACGTCACCTAGGAATGGTCTTCATGCAACACAATCCCGCTGTGCAAAACACCGTCGTTTCTTGCTTGAAACTCCTCCAAAAATTTATCTAGCAATGAATCATCGGCCGTTCCTAATTCATCCCACCTAATACTGCATTTATTACCATCCGCAACACTTGCATTGATTATTCCTATATCAATGCTTTCATATATCTCATTTTGCTCAACATTTGTTTTCCTCTCATGTTCTTCTTCTTGACCATTGATAACTAAACCAGCAACATCCATGGTGCCACTAATATCTACACCCTCCGGTACAACAACAATCGTGTCATTGTTGTTATTATATAAGAACGAAGGACATGAGGACTCTTGAAGGATAGCAGGGTTAAAATGTTCAGAGGGAGCAAGACTTGCTTGATTTGCAACATTAATGTCACCAATGCTAGATCCACTGGGATCACTCGAGTTGATCATGTTCATCGTGCAGATGGAGTGAGAGTTTGGCGGATTTAGTGATGCCCCTGCAACGTCTAGTAAAGCAGGACTCATCATACTTGCAAGAACCGCGGGGCTACTACAACCAATAATATTGTCTGGGATATTATTGTTGGCGAATGTGCTGATATTGTTTCCTTGTAAGCCTAGACCCCTTGCTATGTTGTGAATGAGCAACATTGATCTATTCACTATGGGTGCGGAAGCCATCATCGTGGACACTTCTTGTGATAAGGATGGATATTGGAACGGTATATAGTGAGAAATTGGTGGCATTAAACTAGGAGTAATAGGGATGGCTGGAGTATATGTAGGAGCAAACAGTGGCAGCTGATGTTGGTAGGGCGGGCGAGATGTGGAAGGTTGATCGACTAACCTACAACGCTTTGTAGTAAGTGTAGAACAAGGAGTGGATTTGTGCTTCTCACGGTGATTATGGAGGATATCAACAAGAAAGTCATAAGACTCTGTGGAGGCAATGGCTTCAGCAATATCCGTGTCTAGTATGATGCAACGGTTATGGGATTGAGCAGATGCCCATGCACGCACAGCAAGTTCTTGTACGAAGAGCTCACACATCTTCGATAAGAATGCTGGCATGTCAAAGGACATCATCATGTTACCCTTTTGAGAAGATGCGATCTTCTTCAAGCGGGCCATAGGGATCGCATGCTCGCTAAAGTCCTTTGTTGTCTCAATCTCTTTTTGTCGATCCCTCCAAAATTCATCCATTTGTTGTTGAGCCTTTGGTGTCGGTAGCCTCAACGATCTAGGTACGTCCAAAGTTTGCTCCATTCCTTCCCTTTGTTGCTCCGAATAATAGACCTACATAGCAAGCACACACTTTTGTTACTTCTTTATCTTACTTTTATAGTTTAAAAGTTAGCAACACGATGTTACATTGCGGTCCAAGAAAAAAGAGATAGCTAGCTTAATTACAAATCAAATAGCATCGCTCAAATCACAAATTTTCACAAGTACCAGTATAGAAACTAATTAATACTAGGCACAAGAATAATAAGCTAGTAGGTGCATTACCTTACTTGAGCTGCAACTGCAGAAAATGCTACCTATTAGCACTAATTGGTTGGTAGTATGAAGATGAACACAATATGACACAAGGATGAACATACTATGCAAGGTGGGGTGGTTTATATAGGCCCAAAAGATTCTGGTTTCTATGACATCTGTGTTGTTGAGAAGGGAGACGAAAGAAAGTTGAAGAAAGAGAAAAAAAGGTTTATTAGTTTCTTGTTGGTTTGGTGAAATCTTTTAGCCTAGCGTGTATCTTTTCTAGTGAAACAACAAGCTTTATATATGTGGGGCTCACAAGGCTAAACCATGCATTCCACACTTCTTATGCTAAAGACAACCAAGATAAAGTATTGTAGTTTATTTGCGTAACGTATCAATCATGTCACAAATTGACTTGCTTGTTAATTGAACCATATATTTATTTGTCCTCTCCTATACCATGCATATGCATCATGATTTCAATTTGATGTGTCATACATGCTAATCTATCTCTAAGTTAGCTAGCTAATCAATGGACGGTTAGCTCCAGATGTATGCAAGATATATCGAGGAGTTTGTTTTGCTTTAGATTCACGCATATATGTGATAGCTTGATTCCAGCCAATACATGCTACGTGGTTAAATGATGGATGGATGCATGGATCGATGACTAGATCAGTAGATAAGTACTCGATCCATTGCTAGCAAACTAAGTATACTTTCGGCGCCTTTCCTGCTGGAGAATTTTGTATTTTAGCTTAATATCCTACATTTCTTCTATACATTGTGTAACGCAAGCAATTGTCTAATGACCTAGTTAATAATAAACCATGATGTCCTGGCCTACTTGCTTGCAGTAAGTGCATGGTTTGCATGCATACCATGCATAGATCATGTGTTGTTTGTGGTCCTAGCTACATAACTTATACTCCATGTACTTAATACTTTATTACTTTTGTATGCTATTCATCAGCTACAAGCTAACAAGCTTTGTATGTTAGTACTTTACTTTTGAATGTTAGTATAGAGTTTGTTTGCCACATTGCTCTCTCTCATGACTCGCCATCTTTTCAATGTTATACATACTTAATTACTTTTGTATGTTAGCAGTTAGCTAACAAGCGGTGCCTAAGGAAAACGGGCTAATCAAATATACCACTCCAAATTGTACATTGATATATAAACTCATGGAACTTGCTAGCTTAACAAAGAGACCATACCACATACAAATAAATAGTGAAACACAATAAAAGATAAACGAAATAGTTCAAGGCATATATAGCACTCCCTTTATTCCCCAAAAAACTTGAGTCCTAGTAATCCCAAGTATTTTAGTTGTTAAGGGGGAAAAACAAAAGTGCCGCTCACTAATAGAAAAATGGCATTAGTATAAGGGGTACTGAAGGAATAAAACTTCATGATTTATAGACCGATGGTAGGTAAGCTAGGGGCTATAAATCAAGTATTTTTCCCCACAAAAACAAAAGAAACCAAATCTTTTTTTAACAAATTATAAATGCTAGAAATCAAGTCTTTCTGGATGGAGGAAATCACAGAAACTAGAGGGACTTACATGGGTATAGGTAGATCCTGCCTTTGGCTCGATACATGCACGATGATGTAGATGGAACTTTGTTTGCAACCCACAAATTTTCATGTTTCTAGTTCCTACTATGGTTGAACTATTACATGTGAAATTCCTGTAAAATTCCTGCGTCCCCGGCCTAATCTTCACCCTAATCTTATAAAAAAAACATCACTTGAATTAGCAAATTAATATTAGAGACTAATTATTGGTTGCAAAAAAAACTTTGAGTTGAAAAACTCATAAGGAGAAGATAAAATTACCTTGTCATTTCGATATATGGCATTTATCATCTTTGCCCGTAGATAATTATAAAACTGGTATCAACCACAAACGGTATACCCATCAATGACGAAAGAGATCCACGGGTAGCATAAAAGGCTAAATATACACGAAGAGATGAGTGAGGCCTAGTAGCCCTTAGAGGGTAAGTATAACAACTGAGCGCTAGGAGGTCAAGGCTAGAGAAGCTACTCAATCCATCGATTGCTCCTAGTGCATATTGTGGGTCGACTTTTATAGTGCTTTCTATGCTTTGGGACTTCATCTTTCTGGAGGGTTCGGTTTGGCACGATATGCCAGTTGTCATGTGCTCCGCCTGTTTCATTTTCAAAGCATATTTTATTTCAATCGTTTGCGAATATAAGTATGCACATAAATTTACTATTTTTCCTATTTTCGTGCATAAATCAGATAGCTTCTCTACTATAATTTAATGAGGAACGTCTTCCTTACCGATCACCTATCCATAGGTTTTATTAAGTTTTTTGAGGTAGTGAAGTGTGGATACACGATCATTTTATCTCCAATATATTTCTTTACTTGCATATATAATCATCTCAATACTTGTGTGGTTGCCAACGATGGAAATGTCCCCATTTGGGACATGTTAACAGTGAAATTTGGTAAGCCCGGAGTAGTCATCGGCTTAGAGTCAGCATCGGCTTCGAAGTCCTGAGATTAGCCAATGAGAGTTATCAAGTCGTCAGTTGTCGGATTCTTGCTATATTCGGTTAAGAAAATTGATCTACTAGAGGAAGCTTATCTAGAAGAGACCGAGTTCAAAGAGAATGCGGCTTGGCAAGTTATCTATTAATTAGGAATAGTTTGTTAGTTTCCTTTTATCTTTAGGAAAGTGTATTTAGTGTCCTATAAGGACTTTATCTTTTCCTTTTATCTTTAGGAAAGTTTCTTTCTTGTCCGACAAGGACTTGTATCAACCCATGGGTATAAATATGTACACCCGGGGTTTATGTAATTTATCCTCACAATCAATACAATTCGGCACATCGCCACCTTTTACCTTTTCTACTTTATTTTATCGTCCGGCGGGACTTGGCACCTGACGCGGGGCTGCATCAGTGTTCGATCTCCAGCGAATGGGTAAGTTCCGTCGGCCCAGGCAATTGTATCATTTACGTCGGCGTCGTTCAAGGCTGCATCAGTACATTTGACCTCTTGGATTGCTCTGGTTTGGATGATATATTTGCCTACCTATTTATCATGTCTCTGTTAATCTAGTCTTAGCATATCAATTTAGCTCTATCGGCTGTCTCTCGCTTTAGTGTTTCTGCCGGTATCGGCTAAATCGCGTTGCTAGATTAAATTAGCCTAGGCATCTACCACCCTGAAAATCAGTCAACAGCTTGATTGTCTAGATATTATGTTTCTTTTCATACTTAGTGCTGCATCAGTTAAGTTTGATCTACTAAGTCATGCTTAGAACCATAATGTCTAGCCTGCTTCTTGATTGCCAATAAGGGTTTCATCGGGGTTTCAGCCGGTGAGTTATCTGAACGTTGCATCGGCTCATAAGGATTGCATATACATATAAGTTGGATTTAACCGATGACAACAAAGGTTTCATTGTTTAATCTAATCTTGTGGATTTCATGACATCAGACCTCCAGCCGATGGGTGCTTTAACCTTCGGATCAATACTTGTTCTACTATATCATATTGTTAGCCGATTGGTTTCTACTGGATTATATTGCTATATTACATCATCATCAGCCGATTGCCTTTATATCATTATCTATATTTGACATATAGCCGATTGCTTAAACCCTATCGCTATCGGCTGGTATCGACATCGGCTATTATCGGCTATCGGCTGGAACTACTCCATCGGCTTGTTAGCCGATCGGCTAATTTGATCTACTATTTGCATATCTTGTCAGTTGTAGGATCAAACTGGCTGGCACGCCTGCATCTCATCATATTTGGACCTGCACTGGAGCTAAGCAGATCTCCTAGGCCGATGTGTTCGATTTTCTTGTCAACAGGACAGGGCCCTACAACTACAAAGAAGAGGGACATCTAGCCCTATACATCTAATTAGATGGGGAGGCGAAATCATATGGGCCTTGGATGAGTCCATGTTTTGATCTGTGAGGTCTCGGAAGTATAAAATACATGGAACAAAGTGGCCTAATAAACCAAATAGAGATATGAAGATACAAGCATAGTCCTAATCTATATGTGGCTTGTTTAGTTGATATTAGTCCCATACAGGGGCGGATCCAACGTGGATGCGTGGGGACTCGAGTCCCCCCTACACCCACAAGACCCATGGATACCCCCAGAGCACCCCTTTATTTTTTTCACCATGAATGATAAACTAAAGGTCCCTAAATGGCTGAAGGTTGAAAAAACTGTGTAATTAAGCCCCTCAATTTTTTTTTCTGGATCCGCCCTGGTCCCATATGATGTTTACATGGGACAAAAAATTCAAAAGCACCCTACATGTCTGTCAGCTGGTGTTAGTTAAAAAAATTAAAAATACCTGTGAGGCCCACATGCTTATTTCATGACACAGTAAACAGTGCATGGGCTAACTCGGTGACCTACGATGAAAATTAAGGCCCAATATCATCCAAAAGTGCAAGGACGCCGGCCGGCGTAGAAATAAATTAGCATTTTGATTAATACATTTGTTGTGTATATATATCGGTGGCTACTAGTACTACTTAGTAGTAATAATAGATTAGTATTTGTATATGTGTCGTGGATGGATGGATGGATGAATGAATTTGGACGAGTTGTACTTGTACAGACTAGAGATAATGAAGCAAGCATATGTATGGCCTTGGTTAATAGTCGAGGATAGAGTGGTCGTCGGCGGTGGCGGCGTTGAGTAGGTCCGGGGCGTACCATCCGAGCTCCTGGGCGACGGCGGCGATCCTCTGGCTCTGCCCTCTTGAATCGCCGACGGCAGTGGTGAAGGGGTAGACGAAGATGACCTTGGTGGCGACGCATCGGTACGCGGCCACCACCTCCTGGGACTGGGACTGGGATTCCTTGAGGAGGAACTCCATCACGTCGCGGCCTGCGCCGCCGTCGACCTCCGCCTGGATGTAGTGCCCGTACGCCGTCTCCTCGTCGGCTTTGATCACCGCATTCCTCTGCGTCTTGAGGATAGCCTCGCGCAGCGACTGTCATTCATTCACATCGAATTACTAATTCAGAAACAAATACTGCTATATTAAATGAATAACAAATGCGTGCGTGCGTACACTTACAGCGGCGGCCTTGTCCGTTGGTGTATTAGCGGGGACGATGAGCGGGGAGGCCAAGGAGCAAGATGCGCCCACCGTGGGGTTTGTGGACACGCATCCGGGGTTCGTCGACGGGCACGCCCTAATCCTCCTGCATCCATAATATATATAATCTCTTTCTTAATTTTAAGATCGATCCATCCAGATCTGTGGCGGCCGGTTTAGTTAATTACCCTTTGGCGTCGAGGCCAAACTGCTGCTGCGATTGGGATTGGGAGTAAGGGGTGGACGGCGGCTGCGGCTTCTTCACGTTGGTGCCAGCGAAAGGGTAGGCTTGCCCACACGGGGTCTGGATGAGACCGCTCGTCGCAGCCGCCGCCGCCTCTGCGGAGAAGAATACTAAGAGAAGCCTCCGCCTGCTGCTGCGAACTACTCGTGCAGTACTAGTGTGTGGCGCCGGCGCCGGAGGAGGATTACGACTTCTACTCTTGCAACAAGCAGCAGCAGAGGCTGTGGATGATGATAATGATGACGTCATTACAAACGTACGATTCTGCTATCGATCACTCTGGGCTAGCGTGGTTAATTAATTGGTTTGTCGTCCCTCGATCGATCACACCTACACCCCACACATCTCCATCTGCTCTTCTTATCTACCCATCCAGAATGTACTTGCACTTTCTCCATTTTAAATTAACTATCGTTTTAGCTTTATCATAACTTAAACATATCTTTGACCATTATATATACTTTAACACCATGTGAATTATATAAAAATATTTCTTATGATGAATCTAAAATATTTGTCAGGGTTACGGGTAAGGTATACCCTCTACCCTTCGATATACGTCACACATCGATATGGTATACATACGCGTATACGGACGTTTTCGGCATACGTTAAGGAAATTCATCATGGAGTTCACAGATGGAAGGAGTCCTACTCGGACAGAACTGGGTCGTCATTGTATCGTGCCGAGTCCGATGTCTCCGAGTCCTACTTTGAGACCAGTTGACCTGCGATATAAAAGGGACCCCCCGGGAGGACCTAAGTGATTGAATCTCATAGTCAGCACATCCACCACAGCCTACGGAGTTGAAGCCTACAGGAGCCAAGTCGCCGGGTGATCTAGTCGAATCAACTCGACTACGATCTCGTCGGTATCATCGAGTTCTGCTTTTCCTTCTGTAATCTGTGGTTTCCATCATATAATCCCATATCAACTGGATTAGGGCTATTACCTATCAAGGGGCCTGAACCAGTATAATCTTTGTTTTCTGTCTGCTTGATGTCGTATTACGTAGATCCTCATACCAGCGTACCCCAATACCCTCTATATTCGGTCTACGGGTATCCCCCATCGACAGTGGCGTGCCAGGTAGGGGGACTTGGTGCTCAAGGTTCTACTACTATGACATCCAGCTTCGTCGACAACAGCGTCAACACCAACCTCAACCAAGGAGTTCCTACTTCAACAATGCTGGTGTGGACTCAAGTCGGCGAAATCGTCTTCCCGGTTTACACCACGGTGTCGATCTCGGCTGGTCCATCAATGACCGGAAGCGAGAACACAGTGGCTACAACCCAGGATGACTCCATGTCGAAGGATCCTCCCGCCGAAGCGAAGAACGGAACGTCGATGACATCCGAGCCCGAGAAGGATCCTAGTACGTCCAAACCTTGTCTTTCCGACAAGAATCACAAGCCGACGAGGATGATTTCCGAGGTGACAAGGTCCTGGTGTCCTATCCACAAAACCAGAAAACACAACTTGCAAGCCTGCTGGGTTTTTCTCAACGTCCACGCAGAAATTCGTGCCTGCAAAGAGTGCGGAATTCAGCGTACTTCTCAAACTCGTGATGTATATTGTCCTATTCACAAGACAAAGAATCACGACCTCTCAGGCTGCAAGGTCTTTCTCAGCGCCATGAAGACGTCACCTCCTAAGGTCCAACAGTCACGCATCCCCCTCAGGGATGAGGACAAGGAACAAGGAGCGACGGTGATTTCAGATCGATTCGTTGGGGTAGTCGATATCTATCCTCACGAACCATCAGTCTTGCATCTGCTCGAAGACTATGGCTCATCGTCAACAAGTATGCCGCGCGAGGTATTGGCTATCGACGAGACCGGCACGTCAGCGCGCGCTAATGTGGAAGCGGAGAATCAAGTGACTACACCGGCCCAGCACATCAGGGCCGTCAACGCAATACTGAGGGAAACCCCTTACGATCCCGTTCTGAACGACGATCTCGCACGATGGACAGAACAGTTGCGGGAATCAGTGACCAACCTCAGCAACGCGTTCGAGGAGGCCGCTACTGCAGCGCACCCGGAACAGCCACCAACTGGCGGTGCTAATGGTGAAAACCCTAAACAGCGGGAATTGCCTCATCGAGCCACCCCTCCACCTCGCGGCATCAACGATCTCCGCGATCACCTGAATGGCCGCCGAGAGGCGCGATGTGCACGAGACAACGAGAACAGTTTCCGACATCGCGTCTCTTCACGGCGTCACGATAACGAAGAACGAGGAGGCCGTTCGAGCGAAGACCGAGACCGTGATAACCGCCACAACCGCTACGATCACGACGATCGCGAACGGCGGGTGCTGGGCGATACTGGTCGAGGACGCCGCCATAACGACGACGACGACGGAGATCGGCGCCGAGACAACAACGGGAGACGACGACAGGATTCTCGAGAACCCGACCGACGTCCTCGTAATCGTACACCGGAACCAAGTGACCCATCGTCATCGTCGTCATCTTCCTCATCCTCATCATCAGATAGGTATCCACGAAGGACGTACGACCGCCGACAACCCATCGCCCCCAGCGCTGGTTGAAGAGCTTTCAGTCGTTCACTGCGTGATGTCTGATGGCCTGAGAGATTTCGACCAGGAGCAATAGAGAAGTACGATGGGAGTACCGACCCAGAAGAATTCCTTCAGGTTTACTCCATGGTACTCTACGCTGCCGGAGCGGACGACAACGCGTTGGCGAATTACTTGCCAACCACATTGAAAGTCTCTGCGCGTTCATGGCTGATGCATCTTCCCCCCTACTCGATTTCTTCGTGGGCAGACCTGTGGCAGCAGTTCATCGCCAACTTCCAAGGAACTTACAAGCGCCACGCGATCGAAGACGACCTACATGCGTTGACACAGAATCCGGGTGAATCCTTGAGGGATTATGTTCGGCGCTTTAATGAGTGCAGAAATACGATCCCCGAAATCACCGATGCTTCTGTAATCCGCGCTTTCAAGTCCGGTGTCAGAGATCGCTATACTACCTAGGAGTTGGCAACGAGGCGCGTCACGACTACTCGGAGATTATTTGAAATTGTCGATCGTTGCGCTCATGCGGACGACGCACTGAGACGCAAGAACGACAAACCAAAGACCGGAGGAGAGAAGAAACCAGCCAAGGACGCACCCGAGTCAAGCAAGAAGAAAAATTGCAAGAGTGGGAAAAGGAAAGCTCAAGCGGAAGTTATCGCAACAGAATACGCGGACCCTCCTAAGCGCCCTGACCCACAAGGCAGCGACGCGAAGAAAACATGGTGCCCTATACACAAGTCAGACAGACACTCTCTAGAAGATTGCCTCGTCTTCAAAAAGTCGCTCGCAAAACACATGCCATTGGAAAAAGGCAAGCGAGTACGCGTGGTCGAGAAGGACGCTGAGGCGGCTACTCAGGAATCGGGCTCAGCATACCCAGACTCTGATCTCCATGTCTCGCACATCTTCGGAGGTTCCACGACATACTCCTCAAAGCGAGAATACAAGAAAGTGGAACGTGAAGTCTGTTCGACGTGGCAGGGAGCTGCGCCCAAGATGAAGTGGTCTGAGCAGAAGATAGAATTCTCAGAAGAGGACCACCCCAAGACTGCTGTCATCCCAGGGCGATATCCGATCGTGGTCGAACCCACTGTTCGGAATATCAAGGTCGCACGAGTTATGATCGACGACGGCAGCTCAATCAACCTTCTCTTCGCTAGCACCTTGGACGCGATGGGGATCCCACGAAGCGAGTTGACACCCACCGATCAACCCTTCCATGGAATCACTACTCAGTCATCGTCCAAACCATTGGGCAAAATTACGTTGCTTGTGACTTTCGGCCAAGCAAATAACTTCCGAACGGAGCAGATCACCTTTGATGTCGCTGAATTCGATACAGCATACAATGCTATCATTGGGAGAACTGCACTCGCGAAGTTCGTGGCCGCATCTAACTACGTGTATCAAGTGCTCAAGATGCCGGGACCGAAGGGAACAATCACTATTCAAGGGAATTCTAAGCTGGCAGTGCAATGCGACAAGCGGAGCCTCGACATGGTCGAGCACACGCCCAGCCCACCCGCCACAGCTGAGCCACCCAAGAAAGTGAGCAAAACAAACAAGACGCCGAAACCGGACGGTGCAATCAAGATCGTTCCACTCTCTAGTGCCAACCCCGACAAGACAGTCAAAATCGGGGCATCACTAGGCGGGAAATAGGAACTCGCGCTCATCACCTTCCTCCGCGAAAATGCTAACGTGTTCGCTTGGCGGCCGTCCGACATGCCGGGGGTACCCAGGGAGGTGATTGATCACAAAATCATGGTGCGACCCAACGCCAAACCAGTAAAGTAAAAACTGCGGAGATTTACACCAGATCGAAAACAAGCCATACGAGAAGAGCTCGACAAGCTTCTCAAAGCTGGTTTCATCAGAGAGGTACTCCATCCAGAGTGGCTAGCCAACCCAGTCATGGTGCGGAAGGCCAACGGGAAATGGAGAATGTGTGTCGATTTCACCGACCTCAACAAGGCGTGTCCCAAGGATCACTTCCCTCTTCCTCGAATAGACCAACTGGTGGACTCAACAGCCGGTTGTGAGTTGTTGAGCTTTCTCGACGCTTACTCCGGCTACCACCAAATCAACATGGCGAAAGAGGACGAGGAGAAGACAGCATTCTTCACGCCGTTCGGGGTATTCTGCTACGTTAAGATGCCGATCGGACTAATAACCGCAGGAAACACTTTCCAACGCACGGTCTAGGGCGCACTTAGCGGCCAACTCGGAAACAATGTCGAGGCCTACGTCGACAACATTGTTGTTAAGACCAAGACAAGCGACTCATTGATTGACAGTCTGCGGGAAACGTTCGACAACCTCCGACGATATCGCCTCATGCTCAATCCAGAGAAGTGCACGTTCGGAGTACCATCGGGAAAGCTGCTTGGTTTCCTCGTCTCTAGCAGAGGAATAGAAGCAAATCCCGAGAAGATCAACGCAATCGAAAACATAAAGTCGCCTACAAGACTCAAGGAAGTACAGAAGCTAACCAGATGCATGGCGGCACTAAGCAGGTTCGTCACTAGGATGGGAGAGCGAGGACAACCCTTCTTCACTCTGCTGAAGAAGCAAGACAAATTTGTATGGACACAGGAAGCCGAAGAGGCATTCATTGCACTCAAGCGCTACCTATCAAATCCACCTGTACTTGTTGCCCCCCAACCTAATGAAGAATTATTTCTCTATATTGCCGCCACGCCATATTCCGTTAGCACTGTCATTGTTGTCGAGAGAGAGAAAGTGCAACGACCAGTCTACTACGTAGACAAGATATCCACAGATCCAAAAACT